GGCTGCCTGGAGCCCCAGAGATTCCTGCTTGCTCTAGGCCTCCCTTCTTGGGAAGAGGCTCTGGCCACAGCTGCAGGGGCGGCCAGGCGTGCCCAGAGCTGGTGATGTTGCAGCATTGGTGCTGCACTTGTGTGTGGGGGGGGTGGGGTGGGGGAAGGCAGGCAAGGGATGCTGCCTCTGCAGCGGGGGACAGCACCCCTCAAAGCCTTCACATCTGTCTTGTCCACTCAGCGTCTGCTTGTTGCACTGGTACAGCTGTGAGAGGCTGAGGCTGGAAAGGGCGAATCTGGGAAGACTTCCTGGAGGAGGGGGAGGAAGGGCATTGCAGCTGGAGGGGGAAATAGAAGAGTGGAAGGTGGTAAAGCAGGAGCTGGCACCCACAGGTGAGCCTCAGACTCCTGGGAGGCAGCGAGTCCTGAGAAAGGAGGTGCTGAAGAGATGTTGGGATAACAGACTCTGGCCTGGGAGACGTCATGCTTCTGTGTACGCTCTCCATGGCTCCCCGGTGCCCTCCTGGTCCTGGCCCCGCCTCCCTCTCTGGACCCCTCCTTTGCTGACTGATAGGCAGGTTCACTGTTGGCTTTGCGGAGGTGGGGGGGGGGGGGAATCCCAGCTTAGCTGCCTAACAGTTCTGTGCCCTTGGCAGGTGACCCAACTGTGCTGAGCCTCGATTGCCCATCTGGAAGGTGGGGACAACAGGGCCATGAGGATGAACCCAGACATTCTCTGTCTCTGGTCCTTGAGTCTCCCTCTGCCCAGCATGCCACGCCACATCCATGTGGCCAACTCGGATCTGCCCCGCCACCCCTGTCTCTCCGCCGACCGAGTTTCCCCCCCCACCGGAGATCTGGACACCCTTGATGCTGGGGTCCTATCTCATCACCCAAGGGCCCTCGGAACCCAGTGGAGGGCCTGGCGTTTGCCTGCATAGGCGAGGGGCTCGGTCAGCGAGGCCGGACGGGAGGGTCAAAGTCCAGAGCCTGGCTCTCCGCCTGGCTCCAGCTGGCAGGCGCTTTCGCAGTGGGCCTGTGCCTGTCCCTGAGCAGCGGGAGGGCGAGCAGGGCAGGACCGGGCCCACAGGACACGGGAGGTGCTCGTGGGGCCCTTGCGCAGTCAGCCCTGGTTTGGGAAGCCTGCGAGCCCTTCCCCGTGGCGCGGGCCTCGTGCTGCTCACCTGCGCAGGCTGACGCCCTGCTCCTGGGCGCTGGTGACCCGCGGGCCCCGGCCCGCGGAGTCTGCTTGCAGGTGTGGCCATCGCCTGTGCCTGTGTGTCAGGGAGTACCGCGGTGTCCGTCCACGTCCTGTGGGCCGCTGGCCAGTGCCTGTGCTGGCCCCAGAGAGCTCTGGCCGAGTGCCCAGCCTGGCTGGCCTACTGGAGGGCCTGCGCCTTGGCCTGGCTGGGTGTGTGTCCCTGTCTGGCTCCCCTGGTGCCGGCCCCTCCCAGAGATTGAGGATTTGGGAGGCCCGAGCCCAGCCCTTCCCTCCCCTCCCAGCCCGGGTGGGCGGGCGGGTGTGGGGGCTGCTTGGCGGGCTCGCCTCTGGCTGAGGCCCAGGTGCAGGCAGTGCTCATAGCCCCGCGAACCACCTCCCCACAAAGCTGGGCAGACAGGAAAATACCAGACATAGTTGTGCAAAGGTGGCTGCAGGCGGGCAGGCAGCAGGGGGTGGGGCCCCCCCCACAGTGGGGGCCCAGAGCCACCGGGCTGAGGGGAGGTCTCTAGCCAGGCCGGCCCGGCAGTGGAATGGGCATGCTCCTGTACGTGTGCGTGCGCCCACCGCAGGCCCATACGTGAGCCGGTGCCACCCTGCTGGCTCTGGGGACAGAAGGGCATCTCCTGGGAAGCCAGGGCTGGCGAGGGGGTGGGGAGCCAACCAGCATGCCTTCCAGCTACTGCTCTGTCTGAACGATCCAGGTGACCTTGGCAGGCCCAACTTACTGCGAGGGGCTCCCTAGCCCGGGGCCGGGAGCAAGAATCCCCCGGGTTCCAGCTGCTGGCACTGCCTGTGTGACAGGCGCCAGGCCAGATTCTCCCTGCGGGATCCCTGAGTCCCACACTGCCCTGTGCCTACATTATGGGGGGGAACCAAGGCTCAGAGTGGGTGACAAGAGCCCATCAGAAGCCCCGCTGCCAGGGCCAGGGGCACAGCCGACTGGCTCTGTAAACATGGACTGCTGGAAGCACCTGGCACGCGCCTGCTCAGGCACTACCCCAGGGTCCAGCGCAGAGAGCTCAGCCCTGCTGGAGCCCTGGCACTCCTACCTGTGTGGCTCTGACTCCCAGGGGTCCTGACAGGCCCCCGGTGCTGGCTGAGCACCCATCTCGGGTGGGTGAGGAGGGTGACTGAACCTCTCCCTCTTCCGGAAAGTGCTGCCGCCTCGGCCCCTCTCCTGGGACCTGCTGGCCAGGCTGGCCAGGCCCTTCCCTGAGCCCTGGGAGGCCGCCGCTTACCTCCCACCCCTCTCACCCCTATTGCTCCCCCAGGGCTGCTGCTCCTCCCTGGGGTACCCTGAGCCTTGCTGGTCCTCCCAGCATGCTTTCTGTGATGATTTGGGGCTGGTAGGAGTCTGGGGTCAGTGGTGGTCCCTCCACAGGACATCAGACTGAAGCTCTTGGGGGTCATGAGCTTGTAAGTTACATGCTAGGCTAAAGCTCAGGAACCCCCAGTTGAGGGTGAGACTGTAATATCTGTGGGGACAGCGGGAGGGCCTGTCCTCACAGCGCCACACGCCTTCAGCACGGTGGTCGGCACCTCCTGTGCACGCAGCCTGGCCGGTGCTGAGCGCCCGTACCAACGGGAAGCGCTAAGTCCCCACTGGCCGAGCCTCGTTGCAGTGCTTTCTCCCCAACACCCGGTGGGCACGGATGTCTCGCCGCTGTCGTCCTCCCATTTTAGAGATGAGGATGGCCAGGCCCCGCGTGGAGGCGACGTCCCCTAGGTCACATGGCAGGGCGTGGCACAGCCAAGCCGGAGACCCAGGTGACCCCTCCATGGACCCTGCTGTGCTGCCCAGTCAGGAAGGGGCCCAAGGGGAGGTGGCCAGGCCCTGCCCCGCAGCCCCCGCCCGCCGCCTGGGCAGCTGAGGGTGGAGCTCTCGCCCCAGCCAGAGCCTCATGGTTCCCAGGAATGCGGGGCTGCGGCCGCTTGCTTTGGCGGGGATCTGCCCTGGCTCTCCAGGCCTCCCGGCGGGCCCGGCTACTGGCCAGCTGCTGCCGAGCTCAGCGCCACGGCGGGAAGGGGGTGTCAGATCTCCCTTGCTGGCCCCTCCGCACCCATGGGCGCCAGACAGCTTCATTCTGGACTCACCTGGGCTTGAAACCCAGCTCTGCCGCGCCTGGCTGTGCCCGCCCCCTCCCTGCGGCTCATGTGGGAGGCAGCCCTGCCTTGCCCCGAGGTGCCGCCAGGCTGGCGTGGGTGCTGTCCACGGCTGGCGTGGGTGCAGTTGTGAGAGTCAGTGTGGTTTCCGGCACTGCCACCTCTTGCGCGCCCATCTACTGTGACACCAGCCTGCTGACAGCAATGGCCAGGCAGCACCCCTGGGGGTACCCAGGACCGGGGCGGGCTGGCCCAGGAGAGCCCAGGAGTGGTTTTTGCTTCTTTCCTACCAGGAAAGCCACGTGACTTTTGAGGGGTGCGTCTTGGCCCTGTCCCCAGGTCTAGGCCAAATGGGCCACAGCTGACCAAGGGGCAGTCTCCGGACTGTGCTGGCAGCCGCGGGCCCTCACCGGCCCATGCGGCTGTGCGGCGGGCAGGGCCTGCCCCATCTTACAGTGGACCCTGTCCTCCCCGTCCAGGAGACCCTGGGAGCTTCTCACCCACCTCCCCCTCCACAGGCCCCCTCGCGCCCAGGACCACGGCGGCGCTGCGCCGAGCAGGGGAGGGGGTTACCAGGGCAGCCCTTCCTGTTAGCCCGATGGCCCTTGAGCCTCAGTTTCCCCGTCTGCAGGGCAGAGAAAAGGGCTGCGGCTAACCAGGAGGGGTCAGGGAATTCCCGGCCGCGTGGCGCGCGGCGGCGGCCTGGGGGGCACTGCTGGCCTCTGTGCCGAGCCTTCCGGCCGCCACGGGCCCGGGCCGGCGCCTCTCCGGGGCCTCGGTTTCTCCGAGCGGCCCGAGCCTCCGCGCGGGCTCCGCCCCCGGGGTGGGCGGGGCGGCCAGGTAGGCCGGGGCGCCGGGCGGGGCGCGGGGGGCGGGTGCGGCCGGCCGGGGGGCGCTGCAGCTGGGGCGGTCGGCGCGGCGGCGGCGGGCGCACAATAGCGGCCATTGTGTGCGCTCGGCCGCGGGGGCGGGGGCCGGTCCCCGAGGGCCAGCGCGGCCCACCCGGCGGGTGACCCCCGCCCCGGGGGGGGCCGGGCGGGTTCCCGCTCCCGCCCCCGCCGCCCCGGTGGTCCCCGCGCCCCGCCCGGGCCGCGCTTCCTCCGCGCCCTCGGCTCTAATTAGTTCCTTTCGCCGCCGAGCCCGACCCCCGGGCGCACGCACTGGGGGGCGCCCCGCCTGGCGGCCGCCTGCACCCCCGGGCGGGCGGGGCGCTGCTGGCGCCGCCCGGAGCCGGCGGGGAGCTGAGCCCGGTCCGCGCGGACGGAGGCGGCCGAGGGACCCGCCGCGCCCCCGGCCGCCCCCGGAGGAGGGTCCCCGGCCGCCCGCGGGGCTCCTCAGGGGAGGGCTCCCGAGAGGCCGGCGCCAGCCCCGGGGTCCGGGCTGCCGCGCCCCCGCCGGGACCCCCAGGGCCGGGCTCGCCCGCGCCGCGGGGACAAAGGCAGAGCCGGGCCCAGAGCGGCCGCGGGTGGGGCGCGAGGGCGCGCGAGGTTGGCCAAGGTCAGCGCAGGAGGGGGGCCACGGGCGGCGTCCCCTGGGGTGGGGCCGCCCCCGGGGGGACCTTCGGGGGGGCCTGCCTGGGGTCCGGGCTGCCGGGAGCTGTGGGCTCTCGGGCGGCGGCTCCTTCCTCCTTTCCCGGGGCGGGGGAGGCGGGGCGGGCTGAGCCTGGCTCCATCGGAATGACCCCCGCCTCGCCGGGTCCGGGCAGAACCCGGGGACAGGAAGGGGGGCCCCTGGGGACGGGTCTGCTGGCGGGGTGGTGATGGAGCCCCGCCTTCCACCTTGGGCCGCCCGCCGCGCTCTGGGGGAGGCTCCCCGGCCGCCCCTCCCTGCTCAGCAGTGTGCAGAGCAAGGTGACCCCGCGCCTCCTGGCGCCCCTCTCGCCTGGGCGCCGAGTGGGGCAGGTGCCCAGGGGTGCCGCCTGGGTAGCATCACCAGTGAGATTTGGTGTCAGCTTGAGCCACAGTTCCCCAACCATCCTGCCTGCATGCCCTCCCCGGGAGGTGGGTGTCCGGCGGAGGCTCGGGGAGGCCTGTGGCCCGGGTCCAGCCGAAGGTCCACGCCACCAGCCCTTCCTGGCTCCTGAATTCTTAATCAGCATAAATATTTACTTCCTTCCCCCCTCCAGGCTCCCAGCACAGAGCAGCTTCTGGGAGGTTGGACGGGGCCTGTGTCTAAAAATAAACAGGTGGAGGGACAGCAGACACAGACAGACAGACTGAACTGGGGGCGGGGGTCAGGCGGAGGGCAGCTCCCTGCCCAGCCACAGGAAGTGTGGAAGGGCCAGATCCATCCATCTCTGTCACCCGCTACCTGCCCACCTGGGCCTGGGGTTCCTACAGGACAGCGTGGGGGTCTGCCCGAGCCCCCAGCAACCACTGGCCATGCCTGGCCTGCGGGGCAAAGCCAAGCAGATTTCTCCGGACCAAGTTTAGTAGGGACAAGCCCTCCAAGGGGGCAAGAAGGCACCCCTGGTGCCTGAGGACTCCACTACTGGTAGCTGTGCAGGTGGGGTTCTGGGCAGTGTCCGCAGAGGGAAGGATCCCCCCAACGCCTGCCCCTGAGGGCTTTGGGGGGGACTCATGGACCTGGGGTCTGAACAGGGGAAGACCGCCTAAGGAAGCTGAGTGGGCATGGTGTCCTGCCCTCCCTGCCCCGCCTTGCCCCAAGGGGGCCTGGCAAGTGCACCCCCAGAGACACACCCACGGGACCCGGCAGTCTTCTACCTGCTGCAGGTACAGGCTGCTCTGCTAAATCTCGAAACCCCAGATTCTGCAAGCGGTGGAGGAATTGTCTTCTTTACCAGATAGATTTTCCGGGTGTGATCCTCTAAATTAACAAAGGTGAGGAAACACGTGACTGTCCCCACCCCACCCAGGCAAGGTTGCTTCTCTAAAAAGGTTTTGGGTTTGGAAGGAAGACTTGAATTGTTCTTGGGTCCTTGACATGCAAAGAATATGACCGCCCCGAGAAGTCCTAAGAAAATGGAGGACAGTGCAGCCCGCGAACTTACAGTAAAGGGATGTTGCCACCAGTAAGAAGCTGAACACATGGACGCATTCTGCTCGCCCCGGGCTGCGCGGCCCTCTTCCCTCAGCCCTGCAGCTGCCAGCTGGGCCTCGGTCCCCAGCGCCCCCTCGTGGTGGCCCAGAGCCCTCAGCCTCCAGTGCCCTTGGTGCCTTTCCTTGCCACCTCCCTGTCTGTACCCCCAGCCCGTGGGGCTGGGTCCCTCAGAGGGACCACTGCTGCCATAGGGGCTGCCAGTCAGTAGCGGGGCCAGCTCATGGTCCCCTGGGGGGACGCTGATGGCCCGAGCAGGCCTGCACCCAGGCACAACTTACCTCTCGACCTTTGGGGGTGGGTGGCTCAGTTGCAGGGCCTTGATCTGGTCGCCCTGCGGCTTCCCACAGGCCTGTGCGGCTCTGGCGTTCAGCTTGGTGGGGGAGTGGGCACTGCGAGCGCGAGAGACTGGTAGGGTGGACACGGAAGCTACGAGCAGGTGGTTCTCTTCGTGGCACCTGCCCGCCAGGGCCCCCCCGAGGGTCTCCCCCGCTAGGGAGGAGACCACCTTGGCAAGATGCCCCCTGCTGCCCTGGGCTCCTCTGGGCTGCAGTGCGCGCAGCCCAAGCCACAGTGCAGCGCCTGTCCTCCCCAGGTCCCTGCTTGAATTCCAGCTTGGGAGCCCTCGCTGCCTGCTGCCGCCTCCCGCCGCACCCCTCACCATGCACTCCCTGGACGAGCCGCTCGACCTGAAGCTGAGCATCACCAAGCTCCGGGCGGCGAGAGAACAGCGGGAGCGGACGCTGAGTGCTGCGCGGCACCGCTCGCTGCACAGGGAGCTGGGCCTGGTGGACGACAGCCCCACCCCCGGTTCCCCGGGCTCCCCGCCCGCAGGTAGGCAGCCCGGGTCTCCGAGCCGCTCGTCCCGCCCTGGCAGTTCATCTTTGGAGGTGGCGCTATCTGCGGAAGAGGGAACCAGCCCGCCCTGCTCCCGGCAGCAGCCAGGCCTCGAATCAAGGCTCCTGGGAGGGCTTGGCGCAGTGGGCACCGGCGCGCGGCAGCGTCACCAGCAGCGACTGAAGCCAGAGGCCTGGCTCCTGGGCTTTCGGGCTGGGGACCCGCCCAGCCTCTCTGAGGGTGCGGGGCTCAGGCCTTGTGCTCTCTTGGGTTTGTCTGGAAAACCCAATCCCCACAGCCGAGCAGGAGGCTCTGGACGAAGCCCAGCCCCCGCTCATTGTCCAGAAGGGAGTGCTGGGGCCGGTGGGGCCGGGGGCCTGGGCTTCCCGTGTGCCAGCGCGCCACCTGCGAGGCGGGGCTCCCACTTGCTGCCTCGATGGGCGGCCCAGCTCCGCCCCTGGCCCCGGTGGCTTGGGCGTATGGCCAGGTTCTGCTTCCAGGGTCACCGTGGGAAACAGAGGTGGGAGGATCCCCTCTACTCCCCTGATTCGTGCCTCTCCCTTAGGCTTCCTGCTGAACCCCAAGTTCCCCGAGAAGGTAGAGGGACGCTTTTCGGCCGCCCCGCTGGTAGACCTCAGCTTGTCACCGCCGTCTGGGCTGGATTCCCCCAACGGCAGCAACTCGCTCTCCCCTGAGCGCCAGGGCAGCGGGGACCTGCCTGCGGTGCCCACCGCCCCGGTAAGGAGTGGGTGCGGCATCTGGAGAGAGGAGGTGCACTGGTCCCCTGGGACAGCAGGTCCCTGGTTCTGCCAGGGGGCTCCTTCCTGCTCTCCAGCTTCTGGGCCTCAGCGCCCCCACTTCCCTCTGTCTCCGGGTGCTTTCTCCCTGTCGAACACACGGGTCGCGGGCTGTAGCCCCCCAGTCCAGTCTGCCCTCCGTGTAGCAGCTCCGTCGGCGAAGGCCCCGCTCCCCAGTTAGGTCAGGTGTGCAGGCCCGGCGCGGGGCTGGGGCTGGTCTTGTGGGGACACGGCTCGGGCCCCCGCAGAAGCCGACAGAGTGTCTGGCCTGGACACTTACCCCTCTGGCCCCCTCTGCCTCCAGGACTTCCAGCCGCTGCGCTATCTGGACGGTGTCCCCAGCTCCTTCCAGTTCTTCCTGCCCTTCAGCTCCGGGGGGGCTCTGCACCTGCCTGCTTCCTCCTTCCTCACCGCCCCCAAGGACAAGTGCCTCTCGCCAGAGCTGCCCCTCCCTAAGCAGCTGGTGTGTCGCTGGGCCAAGGTGAGTGGGGACCAGGCAGAGGGCCAGGGGCTGGGGGGGCGCGGCTCCATGGGGGCTTTAAACGCTGCCTGGCCCCCCAGTGTAACCAGCTCTTTGAGCTCCTGCAAGACCTGGTGGACCACGTCAACGACTACCACGTCAAGCCCGAGAAGGACGCCGGCTACTGCTGTCACTGGGAGGGCTGTGCCCGCCACGGCCGAGGCTTCAACGCCAGGTGAGGGCCGCCGGGTGACCCCCACCGGAGGGTCCAGGGTGGGGGCCGCCGGTGGGGATGCACCTGTGGGGGGCCGGGGCAGGGGCCGCCGGGTGAGGGTGCACCTGTGGGGGCCAGGGTGGGGGGCGCTGGGTGCAGCCACTGAGCCGGCCCGCCCCCCGGAGCAGGTACAAGATGCTCATCCACATCCGCACGCACACCAACGAGAAGCCGCACCGCTGCCCCACCTGCAGCAAGAGCTTCTCCCGCCTGGAGAACCTGAAGATCCACAACCGCTCGCACACAGGTGAGGGCCGGCGGGCACCAGGCGGGAGGCGGGACCCTGGGGACGCTTGCTGGGGGCAGCCTCTCCTGAGGGCAGCCCCTCCATGCCCACTACCGGCGTGGCCCTGGGAACCGCGGGTCGGCGTGGCCGGGCGCTGCCAGCTCCGTGACCGCGGGCGGCGCTGTCCTGCCTGCTCCTCGCTGCAGGCCACACGCCTCCCTTGAAGTTTCTGCTCGTGTTACAAAAAGCACAGGGAAGAGGTGACGTGAGTGGTGGCGGTGCATTTTCTGGAACCCATTACAGCCAAAACGTTCCTTCAGTATTACAAAGTAAATTCAAGACGACACTGAAATTCTCCACAGTCCTCGGCCTGCAGGACCTCGCGTCTCCCAGGCTCGCGGCCCGTCTCAGCCGGGCAGCCGGCGCCCGGGCCCAGGGAGGCCTTGGCCAACTGGGAGCTATTTTGCTGAGTGAGGGCCAAGGGGCGTCCACGGGGTGCTCAGTGCAGGACACCCCTAAGGGGCCGTTATAGGGAGCACCTCTAGGTTCATTTTCTGCCAGTTGTGGGCGCTGTCGTGCGAGACTTGCAGTGGGGCTGGGGTGACAGTGGGCGGCCATCCCCACGCGCCCCGTGGGGTCAGATCTCGTGCCAGCCCGTGCTCTCGGGGCCCTTTGTGGAGGGAGAGGCGGGGGGCGGGTGCTGGGAGGGGAGAGCCTCACCGAGCCTGGCCTGCAGGTGAGAAGCCCTACGTGTGCCCCTACGAGGGCTGCAGCAAGCGCTACTCCAACTCCAGCGACCGCTTCAAGCACACGCGCACCCACTACGTGGACAAGCCCTACTACTGCAAGATGCCCGGCTGCCACAAGCGCTACACGGACCCCAGCTCGCTGCGCAAGCACATCAAGGCGCACGGCCACTTTGTGTCCCACGAGCAGCAGGAGCTCCTGCAGCTGCGCCCGCCCCCCAAGCCACCCCTGCCTGCGCCGGACGGCAGCCCCTACGTCAGCGGGGCCCAGATCATCATCCCCAACCCCGCTGCCCTCTTCGGAGGCCCGGGCCTGCCCGGCCTGCCCCTGCCCCTGCCCCCTGGCCCCCTCGATCTCAGTGCCCTGGCCTGCGGCAACGGGGCGGGTGGCGGGGCTGCGGGGGGCCTGGGACCCGGGCTGCCGGGGCCCGTGCTGCCCCTCAACCTGGCCAAGAACCCACTGCTGCCCTCGCCCTTTGGGGCTGGTGGACTGGGCCTGCCTGTGGTCTCCCTCCTCGCTGGTTCCGCTGGCGGCAAGGCCGAGGGGGAGAAGCGCGGGGCGGCGCCAGCCAGGGCCCTGGGCATAGAGGGCCGCAAGACACCCCTCGAGAGGACTGAGAGCGCTCGCTCCCGGCCAAGCCCCGACGGACTCCCCCTGCTGCCGGGCACCGTGCTGGACCTGTCCACGGGGGTCAACTCAGCGGCTAGCAGCCCGGAGGCACTGGCCCCCGGCTGGGTGGTCATCCCACCGGGTTCCGTGCTGCTCAAACCGGCAGTGGTGAACTGAGCCCCGGGTGGACCGCTGCCCGCACCAGCTGCAGCTCCCGGCCGCCCCGACGACCAGAAACTCCTCTGCGAAATAGCAATAATGCCCTCCTGCCCCGGGCCTGGCTGGCCGCGTCCCCAGGGCCCCCCGCCCCAGACGAACCGGGCAGCAAGGATGGTGCTAGGTCACTGCTGGCATCCCCGGCTCCCAGGGAGGAACTGGACCTGCCGGCAGGGAGAGCCACGCTCTTGGGTGCTGAGGCCTCGCCCTGGCCCTCCCGGCTGCAGCCCCACGCCCTCCGCGTCTCCCGTCCAGCAGGGTGTCCAGCGGGGTGCGCTCCCTCCCCGCCCGGCCCACCTGCCGCCCACACCCCAGCAGTGCGGCGGGTGGGGTGGTGCCTGCCCCCCTGCTGGCTCGGGGACCTCTACCCCCTCCACGTAGTGAGCTGTGATAAGGAGCCCCCAGATCAAGCCCCCCCCTCAGCCCTGCCTCGCCTCACTGGCCTCTGCTCTGGGGGCTCTTTGAACCCCTTTCCCTCTGGCCCGCCCGCCTCAGGGAGAGCAAGACAGACGCAGGCCCCAGCACAGCCACAGGAAGAAGCCGCCCACCCCGACAAGGCGCCTCCGCTCCGGGAGGCCCGCTCCCCCGGCTGCTCGCCCCGACCCCGCACTCCAAGGCTGACCCTCCGCGGGGCCGGAGCCACCCCCCAGTGGGGGACAGCTGACCACCTCTGCCCGCCCGCCACCTTCTGGGGAGACCTGCAGGAGGAAGGCTGGGGACAACTCCAGGCTGGGGTGCAGATCCCAGCCTGGGGCCCAGGTCCCACCTGGCAGGTAGGGGAGGGCTCCAGGCTGGTCCCGGGCTTGGGGGCACCAAAGTGGCCAAGGATGGCCAAGGGCCTGCCTCCTGCTGGGACAACAGCTGGGCGAGGAAGCCGGCTTGGGCGAGAGTCCTCGTGAGCCGGCCCCAGCGGTGTCCCTCCAGGTGTCCCCCTTTACGCCTGCCCTGCCTGTGCCAGGTGCCCATGGCCCTCATCCCCACCCCAGGGGCACACACTCCCCTCCCCAGCAGCCTGGCCTGACCACTGGGCCTGGGGGAGCCTCTGGGCCGCAGAAGGTCCTCGGCAGCCAGCGCCTTCAGGACTCCCCTGCTGTTCCCAGCAGCACTGCTGACCCCGCCCTTCCCCGGACTGCCCTTCTGTCCCAGAGGGGTCACCCTGGCTCCCCCACTCCGGGCCCGGCTGTGCTGGCTCTGCCCCTCCAAGGGGCTGTAAGCAAAGCAGGAGGGAGCTGGCCTCTTTTCCAGCCTCCCCCCAGGTTCCAGGTACCCCCCCATGCAGGGCCACAGGCCTTAGGTCCAGTGGGGGGACGAAGGTTTGCGCCCCAAGCCTAGGGAGCAGAGGACGGCCCTGGGCCACGGCAGCCCAGCACTTGCGTGGGCCGCAGGGCTCGGGGGCGACATTGTGGTGTGGTCGTGGGTGTGTGTTGCACAGGCCAGGATATCAGTATTGTGACGGACTCTAAGTGCCTTTCTATGTAGCTTGTTTTCCTCCTCTTGGCTCCATTGCTGTTAGCATAGAGTTTAAAAAAAGAGATAAGCTAATGACTATAACAAATATTCCTCCGTGTGAGAGGAAGTTTATAAAGAAACAATAAAAGTGAGTTGGAAAGACGGCTCTGTCTCAGGAGCTCAGCTGTGGGCCCCCAGTGGGGGGCGACCTGCGACTGCTGGGTCTGGCTGGGGGGGGTCACGCCCCTAGAGGGACCACCACCGCCTGGGCCGGGTCAGGCCTCCAGAGGCCCTGGTGCTGGGGAGCCGGCGAGCCAGGGCCGAGTCAGAAGCCTCCGACCACGTCCCAGGTTGGGCCCTGTCCTGCCACCACCTGCTGTGACGTTGGTGAGCGGCTGGGCCAAGGCCAGCTGCTCGGCCTGGCTCCACAGAAGCCTCCGACCACACCCCTGAACAGGGCCCAGAAGGCTAGATGCTAGACACAAATCCAACTTGGGGCCCTGAACTGGGGGCTGGGTGGTACCCCAGGGTGGGTAGGCCCCAGGACAAGGATGTCAGGAGCATGTTCAGGGAAGGGCTGCTGCCTCCCCCTGGCATGCACTGCCTGCAGCTGGCAGGAAGAGCAGCCTGCCTGCTGGCATCTGGATGTGCAAACTCAAGAATGTGGAAAAAGCATTTATTACCGAGCTATAAATTAGAGGGGGCGGGGCGGGTGGGAGGAGCCCAGTGGTCACGTTTTGGGGTCTTTCTCTCTGTTCTCCTGGGCCTGGATCCGTAGTTCCTCATCTAGGCGCTCCTTGGCTCGGACCACCTGGGGGAGCAGGGACAGAGTTAGATGGGACCCAGCCTCCGCCCTGCTTCTGCCTGTCGGGATGGCCTCGCTCCAGCCTGCTCTATCCTTGAGTCCCGGGACAGCACCGCACAGGCCTGAGGGACACAAGGGACAGCCAGGGTGGCTCTTCCTAGGGATACCTGGGAGGTAAGAGCCCTTTGGAGCACTCCCCCAGCCGGGTCCTGTTCCCCCTGTGGGGTTTCCAGGAGGGCCACTGTCCAAGGCGGGATGGCTGGGCCCCATGGCACTGAGGCAGCAGAGGGCAGTCTAGGGACCTCCCTGAAGCTGGGGTGCCATGGAGAGGCTCATACACCAGGGACCCCAGTGGGAATAGCCCCCGCTTGGTCTCTGCTCAGAATCAAAGACCACACACCTTGGACTGCAGGTAGAAGGAGCCGCCCACGGCCTTGTCGTTCACCTTGAATAGGTGTTCGTAGTTCTGCAGGAGGGAAGACAGGAGAGGTGTGCAGCTTCTGGGTCACACAGGAGGGCCTCCAGGTGACAGAAGGAAGTGAAAAGGCTCCAACCCTCTGCCCTTGGTGCCCACCTGGTGATACCAGAAGCCGCTGCTACCACTCTGGGCAGAGGAGTGGACAGGCGCCCATGGAGGGAGGGCTCGGCTGCTGCCCCCACTGCTCCTCTCTGCCCACACCTACCCTGGGCCTAAAAACCAGGGAGTGGCAGTGGCTCCTACAAGCAGGAACCCAGTCTGACTGCGCCCAGGCCCCCTCCACGCTGCCCCCACATCTCTGGTGACCAGGCCAAGCCTCTCTTGGAGCAGCGTGGCAGCCTCACCTTCTGGATCTCCTCGGGGCTCAGCCTGGAGACATTGAGAATCTGCTGGGCCTCCTGGAGGCTGAGGCCGGAGAGGTTGGAGGCAGCTGCAGACTGGTGTCCCGCACGTCCTCGGGCATCAGCTGCCGCCCGGCTCGCTGTGTGGACACACGAGTGAGTCCCAGCCAGGTGCCGTGGGAGAGACAAACAGGGACAGGGGCATCACTTCTCCAAGGATGGTTGTGTTTTTGGGAGGTGGGGTGGACAGACTTGATCCACTGGGGGACAGGGCAGGGTCTGGTTGCTGAATGTGGTGTCTAGTCCCCAACTGACACCAAGCAATGATCCTGTCCCTCCCCTCATGCCGGGCACACAGAGAGCTGGGGAGCTTCAGGCTACTGTGCTACTGTGGAGACCAGCGTGAGGCAGCAGGTTGGTGGGAGTGGGGAGCTCAGATCTATTCAGAAATTCCTGCCCATCAGCTACCAGGGCCACCCAAACAGGTTCATCCTTTTCAATGACCCAAAAATCAGGAGTCACCCTTTTTCTTAAAGGATCAGGGTAGATATTTGGGACTTTGCAGGACAGTTACCCTGCCTGGGAAGCAGCCAGAGGGTGTGACTGTGCCAATAAAACTTTATTGATAGAGGCAGGTGTCACACAGGCCAGTATGCCACTCCTACCTGGATGCTCACCTCGCCCAGATCTCCCTTTCATGAAAGAGCCCAAGTCCAATGTTGCTCCCAGGAAATGCCAGCAGCACAGCCCACAGAGGGCCCACAGCAGAAACATCTGGGCTTACCTGCAAACTCCTGCTGAAGGGCCCGGGCAAAGGCTCTGCCCACCACCTGTACCCCCATCACGATGATCTGGGCCAGGTACTTGGCCTGTGGGCAAAAGCAGGCACCTGTTTACAGGCTGCCTTCTCCGGCCCCAGAGCAGGGTGCCCGGAAGTGGCTGCGAGTGGCAAGACTTCTGGAGATCCAAGGTAGGAAATGGGTCAGCAGTCACAGGCCACTTCCTGCAAATACCCTGAAGAAAAGTTCTGGGTGCTCCAGGTACTTGTGGACACAGGCTGGGGGTGACCTGATGGATCACCAGAGGTGGCCAGGAGCCAAGGCAGAGTGGCTGTAGCGCACAGAGGCTGCTGGCTTCAGAGAAAACTTCTGGCCCTAGACCAGAGCAGACCTCAGACCCACCGCCCAGGCTCCTGAGGGGGCTGGCCAACCTCATTTCTAGCAGTTTTCACACTGGGGGTTCTCCCCAACTCCCCCCCAGGCTTTCAAATCTGTTCCAGTTAGACAAGGAGTGAAAAGTCCGCCGGGTGGGCACTTAAACACACCCTGGGGGGAGGGGAGACCGGCCAGCATCCCCCCAGCCCCTCCCTCACTCGGCATTTGGCAGAGGTGCTGGGGGAGCCGCAGACAGGAGCACGTTTCAGAGGGAGCACCCACGGACCCAGGGGACTCATCCAGGCAGAGATGAGCTAGTGCACAGAGCACTGTGCGGGCCGCCTGTGGTACAAAGGTAGGGTCCGGGGCCTCCCGGGTGGCGCAAGGGGTTCAGCACCACACGATGAAGCTGTCCGCCGCCTCTGCAGCACGAGTTTGATCCCCGGGCAGGGAGCTACCCACAGGGCGCAGCAGACCTCTCCTGTCTCCCCGCTGCTCCCCTCAGCAGTGTTTCAGTAGATCCGCCTGTTCTGCTCCCCACTGTCTCTGGTGGATCCTCTCACCCCCCACATCTCTGGCCTGCACCCCAGCTCTTGTATGCATAAATAAATAAATCTTTAAAAAAAACAACACAAAGGTGGGGTCCGAGGACCCTTGCAGAAGCTCCCACAGGTCAGCGCTGCCGGCATGGCCCCTCTGCGGGGCTCCCTTCTCCGCGTTTCTGCAGCCGGCGCTCCTAGCGGCCCACAAGATCGCCTGAGCCCTGATTGTGCCCAACAGCCCCCGGGACACCGAGGCACCGCCCGAGGACACACAGCGGGCTCACCAGCGATGCGGGAAACCCAAAGCCGTCCTGCGGGAGCTCAGGGTCGGCAGGCAACCTGACCACAGCCCCACCCGCTGGCCTCGGCTTCCAGGGAACCCAGAGCCAGAAGTGGCCTAGTTTGGCCTCCTAAGGCAGGGTGTGACTTGGGCCATTAGTGGGAACTAATAAAAGGAAGTGGGCTTCGCTTTCACAAGCAGGTGAAGATTTCACAAGCGCTGCGTTTCACACCAGGAAGCCAAGCTCCGTGAAGACGCTCCTGTGACCCAGGGGAGAGTGGGCTGAGCCCGCCAGGCTGCCCCGGCTTCCACAGCCAGAGAAACCAGGGCCCTGTTGGTGCCTGTGCTGACGCGCCAGCAGGTGGCCCCACAGGTCCCCAGGTCTGCGAGATGGTTCCCCTCCCCACTGCAGCCACACCCCCTAGCAGAGGCCACCCCCTTGCTCTAGCAAGTTCACTTTTCTGCCCAGGGTGCAGCGGTGCTAAATACAGTTGGTCAGAGGAGGGCCCCGCAGCTGGCCACGGCTGGTGTGTCGGCTCCGCCCCCCAGGGGTGCAGCCACTCCATGAGGTTCACACAACCCCGAATGCCGCCTTTCTCTGCACCTGTCCCCGACGTCAAGCATCGTGACTGTAATGAACGTTAAGAACTGGGACAAACCCCCAGTCACCCCCTCAGACTTCAAAGCCATGTGGTGTGGCGGCCCCAAGGCGCGTGTATCCACTGCTCCACGCTGGGGGAGGTGGGCTGGCCCACAAGATCCCCGGCCAACCCGGGAGGCTGAGGGAGCAGCATCTCCTGGGGAGGCAGCGTGGTGTGGGACACTTTGGGGTCCCAGCGTAGGACCGCAGTCCTGGACCTCCCTCACTGCAAGACGCGGCCAACTCTTGCTGTCCCCGGGGTTGAATGAGCACCTGTTTGCACGGGACTGGGCAGAGCCTGGGGACTCAGCAGATGGCCTGTTCCTTGGCTCAGATCCAGCACTCCAGGCTCCAACTGGGACTAAAAGAGTGTCTCCCAACACAGCCGCTCCCTGTTCGCATGCTGAGGCCTCAGCGGAGAGGGCCGCACTCTGGAGTCTGGCTGACAGCCCTGCTTCTAGCTGCGTGGCTCTAGGCAAACTGCTCAACCTCTCTGAACCTCGGTTTTCCTGTCTGTAAAATGGGGGGACATGATGCTGTCCTCCCAGGAGAGTTATAAGGCCCTTAGGAGGCAAAGCACAAAGAAGTAGACAGACAGCGGACCGGGGGGATCTCAACAGCTGCCTCTCCTCTAGGACCAGCTGGTGCTGTGGTCTGGAGATCAGGGTGTGCAGCCAAGCCTCCCCCGCGCCCCCATTCAGCACCCAGATGCCCACTGCGGGTCAGCCATGCTCAGAACTAAGTATTCACGGAGGCGCTGAGCTCTGCCAGCTGCAGCTACCACTGGCGATGGAGAAAGCCGCTGGCTGAGGTGGCTCCTAGAAAGCCCAAGACCCCCCTAAGTCACCAACAGGCCTGAAAACCCTAGGCAAGTGCGAGCAGCTGACACCACTCGGACTCTGGCCAAGACTCAGAGAACAGAGGTCAGGGCCCCAGGACGCCAAGCCCAGGGGCCACAGTGGATGGCACATGTGCTCGCTCACCTGGAGGCCTGTAGTCAGGGCAAAGGCTCACAGGCAGGTGGGGGTGGCAAGCACGCAGGAATGTGGCTGAAATGTAGAGAAACAGGAAAGGTGATCTGGAAGTAGACCGTATGGAGGGAAGGGAGAGGAGGAAAAACCAGGCCGAGCTGAGGAGTGGACTACGCACATGCACCAAGACGGGTGTCAGGTGAGCACGAATACCCACATTCCCTTTAAGGCAATTCCAAGTTTGGGGGCTGGTGGGGCAGGACGCTCACTGACATTCACCCAGCTCTCAAGCACGCTCCCAGAAAGGAGGGTGCTCTGTTCACAGAGACCCTGCACACAGCTGCTGGCATCAGAGCTGGGCAGGAGGGAGCCCATGACTACAGCCAGCACCGTCCTGTGGCCAGCAAGGCGGGTTCCTGGTGTGAATCTGAGTGGGACGCTCAGCCTGTGTCCCAGACAAGGGACAAATGTCTCCCATGCCCTCTGAAGGGCTCTGATCCTCCCCTCACAAACCCCCCCCCCACACACACACAGTTGCTACTGCTGCCAGCAAGTGTAGTCCACTCCTCAGCTCGGCCTGGTTTTTCCTCCTCTCCTCTCCCCTCCCTCCATACGGTCTACTTCCAGATCACCTTTCCTGTTTCTCTACATTAATGAATTCACACACCACACCACACTGCTCTAGTCAACCGCACAATCCAGCCCTTTGTAACATGTTTGGAAAGCAATGCAACCATCACTGGCTCCAGAATAGTCTTATCACCCCTCCCTCCAAAAAAAACTCCGTACCAATCAACCTGGGAGTTGACTCAGACTGGCAGTCAACACCCACAATCCTTCAAACTTAGCCCCACCCATCCCAACCACCCCAACCCCTGAAACTTCCCAAATCCTGTTTACACCTTCCCCGGCACTCTTCTCCTTCCCGCCTGCTGTCACGCTGTCTTATTACACAAAGTCCTCCAGCTTTTACTCAACTGCGGCTCAGCGCACAAGTGAAGGACCTGGTTCAGGCGAGGGCTGATGTCCTTGATAAGGACAGTGACGTTACAAGGAAGGAAGGACACCGTGATGGTGAACGTGCGGCCTCGCAGCTCAGCAGGAGCTGGGCTCCATCGCCACACTTGCTGGAGGATGGACCCTGGAGAAGTCCAACTGAGCTGCGGGTTCCTTATCTATAAAACGGGGGCAAGAGCAGAACCCTCTTGTTAGACTTGAACGAGCATCTGCCTGAAGCCTCAGCAGGGGCTGGCACTCGGAAGCTGGTATCACCAACAGGCTGAACCAGAATCGCCGGGAACTTCAGGGGCTGGGGGTGTGTTTCGCGCTCAGGACCCTGCGTTTACAAAGGGTCCCCGGGTGACCTGAGGCGGCCTGGGGGGCCCCGGTTTGTGGATGGCTCTGGGTGCCACTGGCCCCGCAACGCTGTTTTCGGTGTCGCGGGGTCTGGTTCACGTCAGAGCCCGTTTCGTCAGAGCCCCGGGACGGCACCGGGCGCGGCGGCGAGGAGCTCGGGCGCAGAGCGGGGGCTCGCGGCGGCCGGCGCGCACGGCGACCGCTGCCGTTGGGCGTCTCCCGGGCGGCAGGCCCACCTGCCTCCCAGCCAGGCGCCGCTTCGCCCCCAAGGCCGCCCGCCTCGGCACCCCCGGAGCGACGCCCCGCACCCGCTTCCCGCTGGGCACGCGGCGGACTCGCGGTGCCCGCAGCCCGCGGACTCGTCGCCCCCGCCCCGGCCCGCCCCGGCCCCGAAACGGGCTCCCCTCCCCGGGCGGCGCCCAAAGGGGGGCCTCACCATGGCGGCCGCTCTGCCTGCGGGGCGCGGGTCCCGCTTCCTAGCCCCGCTTCCTAGCCCCGCGGCCCCGGTTCAAGGGCGGCCGGCGGGTCAGAGGGCAAGGGAGGCAGCGGAGAGCGCGTGCGCGACGCAGCACCGGGCATGCGCACCGTCTCCGCCTGGGGGCGGGACACAATGACGTATAGCCGCGGGGCGGGGCCCGGCCATCCGGAGGAGGAGCACAGTGACGTTGCCGTGGGCGGGGCCTGCCGTGGGCTCAGAGGACACGGGGGCGGGGCGGTCGCCGGCCCTCTCGGCCCACGTGCTCGTCCTCCTGCGGAACGTGGGTTGTTCTCTTGATGTTGCCCGAATGTTTGGCACCACGAGATATGCAGTGAACCTACAACTGCCACGAGCATAACAAGATTAGGACGCCAAGGTTTCATAAATATTTAAAAAATCAGGAAACCTCAAAATAGTTTTCATTCCAGGTCCCTCCTGCCTGGGAAGCGCCTCAGAGCCCGGGGGCTGGCCCTTCCTCCCTCAGGTCTTCGTTCATGTGTCACCTTCTCCAGAGGCTCTCCGTGACCCACCAGGCTCTCTGCTTATTTAAATAACCGTCTTACTGGGATGTAATTTACACACCATGCAAGTCACCCTCTGAAAGTGCAACATTCGGTGCTTTTTGGTACAGAGTTGTCAACCATCACCACGATCTAGTTCCAGAACAGCTCCATCAGCCCACGGAACCCATAGCCACTAGTAGTGGCCGCCCACCCCCTCCCAGCTCCTGGCAACGCTGGCCTTGCCCCCCTGGACCTTCAGCAGGTGGCCTCTCCTGTCTGAGGGAAACCTTGGTTCTTAATTCCCCATGGAATTCTTCCTCTCTTCCAGCCTGCGTGATATGTCCCCTCCCACAGAAGGTGGAGCCCTGGGGGTCAGGCCCTGTCCTGCCTCCCCTCCCGGATGTCAGCGCCTGGCAGCAGGGGCCTGACATGCTCTGGGTGACTGCCCTGCTCTCCTCCCAGGGGCCCAGGCCCTCCTTCCTTCTGTGGGAATAGGGGTCCCACGCTCTCTCCTGGCTCAGGGGCCTTCCCGCCAGAGCTCTCAGCTTCAGCGTCAGCTGCTCAGTTCCTAAGGACCCCAGTCTTCCCCAAGCTCTCCTCACGCTCCCTTTGGTCACTTACACAGCCGGACATCCCTGCATAAGACCCTAAGCACACCTGGAAAGGCCCTGCCTCTCCTCACCACAGGGCTTCTACCCAGGACACGGGTAGTACTCCCAGCGGCTGCAGCTGGCAAGACCCCGGGCACAAAGTGAGGCCTGGGGTGAGGAGCAGCCCAGGGCCAAATGGTCCTTGCCTGCAACCCCGCCCACCCTGGCCCAGAGACCACAGCCTCACAGCAGTGGCCAGCTTAGGAATGTTTAATTGCCGAAACTCCAGACAGGGCACCTGCCAGCCAGTCCTTGAAAGGCTCCACCTCCCTGGGCTGTCTTAGTGGGGGGCCAGCCCCCCAAGGCCCTTGACGAGAACTGGGGTGACTGGCAAGACAGGGTGGCAGGTGATAACAGAAGGTGCTGGGTGAAAGCAGCCCAGGCTGGGACCAGCCCAGGTCCAAGGAGGGGAGACGGTGCCTGCCCAGGGACCTGCACTGGCCCCCCACACCATGGCACCCTCCGGCCTTGGCTCCACATGCTAGCAAGCAGCCGAGACTCAGCGGCCCCAGACGAGGCAGAGGTGCGGACAATTCACGGGAGAATGCAGTGGCCCCGAGGGAGCTGGGGCTCCAGTCATGGTGCCGGGGCTAGGGGACACCTTCCAATTTCGGGGTGAGATGTGAGGTGTGCAGGGGCACCAGGTGGCTCTTGGAGGTGGCAGCAGCAGGTGGCTGGTGAGCAGGCTAGTCCTGGGGAGACAAACCAAGAAGTGCAAGGGGGCAGGGGATGGGAGCAGGGAGTGGGAGCAGCGGGCACATGCCGGGGCCCTGGTCTCCTTACCCACTCGTCCTCGTCCACGCCTTCAAAGGAGTCCTGGGGGAGCGGGTCCTCCCGGTTCCCCAGCTTCGCCACCATGGCATTCAGCAGCTGGGAGAGGGGGCAGAGGTGGGAAGAGAATGAGAGTCGGAGGGCCAAGAACCGCACCCCTCGGTTTAAACCCCGCATCGAGTTGCGAAGAGCCTGACGTGGGCATGTCCTTGCAGACGACACCAGGACAGACCGCCATGCACACAGAAGCTGTGTGTGTCACCTCACCCCACCATGTGCACCAAGGTCCCCTCTGCTATGGGTCAGGAGCCTCCGGCCTGGCCAGCATGGGCCCCCTCTGCACTTGCCCCGCTTCCAGAACCCCTGCCCTGGCGGCAGTGATCAGCTCCAGGGCTCTGGAAGGTATCCCCCGTGAGCTGTCCAGCTGAGGGGGGGACGCTGCTCCAGTCCCAGTCTGGGTCGGCCCAGGAACTGCAAGGAGGTCCCTGGAGCAGCCAAGACCCGACCCCCACAGCCAGCTTCCCCCACGCCTACCTCCTCCTTCTTTTGCTGGTCTGACTTCTCTTCCAGGTAGACTGCCGAGGAGGGGGTCCGCCGGGCAGGGGCCTCACGGGGGGCCTGGCTCACTGGGTCGGGCAAGGGCAGGCATCAGAGATTCCCCTCTCAGAGGAAGCCCGCCCTGCAGTACCAGCCCCTCAGAGACCCCAGAGTGGCATTAACATCTTCTCAACCCTGTTCCTAGGCCGTCGGGGGCACAGGCTGTGTGTGGGCGTGTGTGCAGGGCAGGTGTGTGTCCTGGCATGCTCGTGCGCAGGTGTGTGTGGAAACGCAGACCTCGGGCCCTCCCTCCAGGGGCTCAGAGGCTGAGCCTGGAGATGCAGCCCCTGGAGCCCAGAGAGCCAGGTCTCTGCCTGCCGGCAGGGAAAGCACAAAACTTGGGCCTCAGCCCTTTCCCCAGCCCTGTCTCACCCGCCCGCTCCTAGTCAGCCCCTCGTCACACCTGGGGTCATGCCGGTGGGCTGCAGGCTGAGAAGTCGGGGCTGCCCGTTAGCCCCCCCCAGCCAGGCCTGGGCACTGAGCACGGGCTCCCAGCTCACCGCCGTGTCTGGGAACACGTCGTCCTGGAAGAACTCTTTCTGCGGAGGGGAGGAGGGGCTGCTGAGGCAGGACAGGGCACTGGGCACACCGCCAGCAGTTAGGAGGGTGTGACAGGGCTGCACCCCTCCCTCAGCCTGGGGTTTCCCAGTGTCAGACTCTCAGCAGAGTAAGCAGGGGCAGGCGTCCCCAAAGGCAACAAGTAGGTCAGTGTGGGGGCTGGGCCAGGCAGGTCCCAAAGCCTCCCAGACAGCTGGGGAGGGCAGCCGGGCGGCGGGTGCTGGGGGCCCTCACCCTGACTCGGGGCAGCCGGAAAGCCACGGGCTCTAGGGAGGTCTGCCGCAGCCGCAGGCACCGGGCGAACTCCACCTCCGCAACGTCACACTCCGTCTTGGGCAGGAGGACGAAGCCCTGAGGGAAGAGGGTCCGCACCAGGGCTATAGCCGGAGCTCTCCGCTGGGCACGGGCTGGGGGCCAGCAGCCCTCACTTGGCGCCTCTGGACATGGCCAGCCGGCCCGGGTGAGAGCGCTGGCTGAGGTTGGCCTGCGGCCCGGGTGTGCGACCCCCACCGTGGCTGGTTCTGGCTGGAATTTTTTTTATAGTTTTTTTTTAAGATTTATTTACTTATTTATTTTATACAAGAACTGGGTACAGGTCAGAAGCGCGGGAGGGTGAGAGAATTCACCAGAGCCAGAGCGGGGAGCAGAACAGGCAGACGGAGCGAAGACACTGCTGAGGGGAGCAGCGGGCAAGGCAGGAGAGGTCTGCGCGCCATGTGGGGTTCTCCCTGGCCGGCGGGGAATTGAACCGGTGCTGAAGAGGCTGCAGACAGCTTCACAGCGTGGCGCTAAACTCACTGCGCCACCAGGGAGGCCTGGCTTTTTGTTCTTTTAAGATTTATTTTTATTTATACAAGAAATGGGGTACAGGTCAGAGGCATGGGAGGGTGAGAGAATTCACCAGAGTCAGAGTGGGAAGCAGAACAGGAAGACGGACTGAAGACACTGCTGAGGGGAGCAGCAGGCGAGACAGGAGAGGTCTGCCACGCCATGTGGGTTTCTCCCTGGCAGGCCGGGAATTGAACCTGCGCTGAAGAGCCTGCAGACAGCTTCACAGCGCGGCGCTCAACCCGCTGCACCACAAGGGAGGCCCCTGGCTGTTTTTTTTTAAAGATTTATTTACTTATTTATGCAAGCACTGGGCACAGTCAGAAGCGCGGGAGGGTGAGAGGATTCACCAGAGCCAGAGCAGGGAGCAAAGCAGGCAGAAGGACCGAAGTACACTGCTGAGGGGAGCAGCGGGCGGCAGGAGAGGTCTGCGCGCCATGTGAGACCCTCGCCCGGTGGCTGGGGATTGAACCGGCGCTGCAGAGTCTGCGGGCAGCTTCGCAGCCCAGTGCTCAACCGCTGCGCCACCAGGGGAGGCCCTGGGTTTTTCATTTAATTAGTCAGCTCACATAATTTAGCCTTCCGGGGTTTAACTTTCAATAATGGCTGAGTTTAACCATCAGCTCCCGCAAGCTGTGGGCGCCCCCTCCTCCCCACTGACCTGCTGACCCTGCAGGCCACTGTATTTCCCCATGTGGCCACGAGAGGGCGGAGGAGCTCTGTGGTTGTACCCAGGTAGGGGGACCAGGGAGCACCCCGCTCACCTTGTGGGGCTCTGGCGATGTGAAGCTGTTGCACTCCAGGAAGAAAGGGGTCTCGGGGAGCAGCTCGTATAGGAACACACGGGTGTCACCCTGGTGGGGCCGGTGGGTGGAGGTGAGAGTGAGGTGCCAGCTAAAGCTGCCTCCTCCCCACCACCTCTCACCTGCTGCCACCCCAGCCTGTACCTCCAGCCCACCTTGCCTGTAAGTAGCACCAAGCCGGTATCAGGGTCGTAGCTGGGTAGCAGGGTAGAGGGAGCCACGTCGAGGCCCAGCACTGCCAAGGGGCCCCTTGCTAGCTCCCCCGCCGAGTAGAGGAGCAGCTGGCGCTCACTTCGGCTGCAAGATGAGGGGGGCAGAGGCACACCTTGAGAACCGGTGGGGCCTGGGGCAGAGCAAGGCTCCAACCAAGACCCCAGCCTTGATGGCCTGAAGGACCGAGGCCCTCAGGGTAAGAGGGGAGGCCTGCCCGGCCTCTTCCTGGTCCAGAACCCGCTGGACTCAACCTGCCACCTCCTCCTAAGTGTACCCCGCCCTGGCCCCGCACCTGTGCTGTGGCTGCTGTGGCCTACTCAGCCTGGACGTTTCTCCCCACATCCTGCTTCTCACCCTCTGCTCCAACCAGGATGGGTGGCTAGCTGGCTGTCCACCCAGACCTGAATGCCCGTGTGACCCAGTCCAGGTGACACCTTCCATAAGAGGCCTCCCTGATCCAGCCTCCAAAGTGCCAAATGCCTGTACCGTGGATGGGTCCAGGAGCTTGTCCTGATTCTGAGCGTCACCTGCTCCCTGTCAGGCTGGGGCTCCTGCATCCGGGCTATCTTATCCCTCTGGGTCCCTGGTTGACTCATTCTCCCTGCCCATGTCCTTTCCGCTTCCATCCACCACCCCCCGCCTCCGCCAGCCCACCCACCCTGCACTCATCAAGAAAGTGAAGCAGGGGAACAGCATGCTCAACAGGGGCTGAGTGTTTGGGGAAGGCGACACCGATGGCCGCGGAAGCCCGGGGCAGGGGGAAGTGGTTGCTGAGTCCTCACCTGTCAAAGCCGGACACCAGCAGACAGTGACCACCGCACACCCAGACAACACGGGCTCCGCGGGCCCCCTCAGGCCCTGGGCCTTCCTGTCAGGGCACACAGCACATGAGGCCCAGCCATGGCCTCCTGACCAGGTCCCAAGGCCACCCCCAGCCGTGTGGCTCACCTGCAGGGGCTCGGGGCCCGCGCGGGGCGTGTAGACCCGGAGGCGCCCGTCCTTGCAGACAGTGGCCAGCTGCTGCCCATCAGGACTCCAGGCCAGGCTGAAGATCTGGGGGCAGGTGGGAACATCAGAGGTGGACTCTGGCCTGTTGGCTGAGCACCTGCCCCCAAAAGCAGCCTACCTGGTCCCGGTGGCCCTCCAGCCTCAGCCGCTCAGCTCCTGCCTGCAGGTCCCAGATGCGCACGGTGAGGTCGTAGGAAGACGAGGCTAGCACGTCGGCCGCCAGCGGGTGAAAGCGCAGAGAGTAGATCTTCTCCGTGTGGCCTGGGGAGGGTGGGGGTGAGGGTGCCGCCAAGTCCCTGGGCGCCGCTGCCCGGCCCCAGCCCCCTCACTGGGCCCACCTGACCTGTGAGCACGGTCTCGGGTTCGGTGAGCACCTCCACCAGGCCCTCTGGGGGCACCCGCCACAGTCGGATCCTGGCGTCCTCTCCAGCTGCAAAGAGCAGGCAGCTTATCACGATGGGGCTCAAGGCCCCCGAGCTCCGCCGCCCTCATTCCAGGCCCAGCCTCCTTACCCACGGCCAGGCGGTGCGGGTCGAAGGGATCCCACGCCAGGTCGGTCACGGCCGCCCCGTTCTGCAGTGTGGGCAGCGCCGTGTCGGGTAGGCGGCCGGGTTTCTGCAGCTGTGGGAGGTGCCCCCAGCGAGGCCCATCAGGATGAGGTGGCACAGCCAGCCCCCCAGGGGCCGCAGGGCAAGCAGCGTGCCCAGGCCCCTGCCCTCTGCAGCCCGTGGTGCAAGTTCCGTGCTCAGCACCTCATGCCAGCCGTGAGGCCGGGAGAGTGAAGGGGCAGCGTGAAGTGGTGGAAGGAGCTCAGGCTGGGGCACAGGCTCTGCCACTTACACAGCTGAGTGACCCGGCAGGTCACCAGGCCTCTCTGGGCCTCACGGCTCCCGTCTGTAAATGGGGATAAGAAGGCGCCCCACATGGGGCAGTCGGGAGGGCCAGGGGGTGTCGGGTGGTGCTTGGCACCTGGTGTGTGCTCAGACATCAGGAGCCGGACAGGTACCTGGCGCCCGGGCGAGCGCAGGGCCTCACCTCCAGCACGGCCACCTGCCCGCCACTGCTGAGCAGGGGCACGGCCACGCGCAGCCGGTTGGCACAGAAGCCATCGCTCTCGCCGGGCGTGGTGAGGTTGAGTCCCTTGAGGTTGGTGATGTGGCTGTCTCGGTGCAGGACGGTGCCCTGAGTGTGGCGGAACTTTGAACTAGGGCCTGCGGGGGCAAGACACGGAGCCACGTGAGGATGCCCGCCGGCTGCCCTGGGCCGGCTGTGGGGGGGGCGGGCTGACTCTGAGGCTAGTGTGTCCACCACCCCCCGAAAAGACGTCCAGGAACGACTCGAGACCTCCGGGTGGGATCCCAGGGCTCCAGGAGCAGGCTCTCTGCGTCCCTCAGGGCCACAAGGCTGGGGAGGGAGGCAGGGGTCAGGCTTCTGTGGCGCCTGCCACTCACCCAGCAGGCTGTGCAGTGACCTCTGGCTGGGGCTGGTGCCGAAGCCGCTGGTGCAGGAGAGCGAGGGCCCCAGGCTGGACGGCGTGGAGGGCGAGGTCAGCAGGCTGGGGGCGGAGGAGAAGCCCTCCTGGGGAGAAGCAGCCTGGGTCAGCTGCAGGCCCCCAGCAAGGTTGAAGAGAGGGCCCGACCGCCGGGGTGATCACTCTGGGCGCCCGCCCGGCCGTGGGCCCCGGGCTGCCCGCAGGCACCCGGTGTGGGGCGTGGGCACAAAGGCAGTGTTGACAGGGCCACCAAGGGCGAGCTGAGTTGGGCGGCGGATGGCAGGCGGCAGCCTCCTCACCCAGCTCTGTGGAAGGGGCCCTGCTAGTTACGATCTGCCAGCATCTCAAGAGAAGCTAGAAACTGAGCTTTTTTTGGCAAAAGTCTTGCTTTTTGAGTCTGCTCAATTCAGGGAAGGCTGTGGAGTTTTCTCTGCCTCGGGTGTTTCTCCGTGTCGTTCGGCCCCATGGTCAGCAAAGACAGAGGCCCACGGCAGCCTGGACTCGGCCCCGCAGGCAGGGCTGGCGGGGCTGGTGGGCAACCTGGCACTCACGCTTGGGTCTGTGTCGTCCACTGGGGTCTCTGCAGGCTGGGCCTCAGCGAGGGGGAGCTCCGCGGGGGGCACCAGGTGTGACGTGTAGCTGGGGTGAGGCTGGCAGGCCGGGTTGAGGCTGACCTTCCGCACCTGTGGGCGAGGCGGGTCAGCGTGCAGTTGGGCTGCAGGGTCCTGGGCAGGTCCCAAGGGTGGGCAGCGCCCTGGGTCCTACCTGCTGGTTGCTGCCCGCCCACCAGGTGTGCGGGTCAGAGGCCGGCACACAGCCGGCAGTGTCTGGGAACAGGTCTTCGTGGAACTCCACAGCCTGGAGGCAGAAACACAGGTGGCCAGGGAGGCCCAGGCTCCCGGGCCCTGCCAGTGCCCCCAGCCCCACCAGCACCTCACCTTGCGTGGCACGTGGAAGCTGACGGGCACGATGGCCGAGTCGCTTAGCTGCAGGATGCGCAGCACCTCGCAGCCCAGCACGGCCAGCGCCCGCCGGGGGACCAGGGCCGCCCCCCGAAGCGGGCTCTCCACGAGGCACTGAGTCACTGTCAGGGACACCAAGGGCGATACTCAGGGCGGGGTGGGGGTGGGGGTGGGGTGGGGTGCGGGGTGGGGGAGGGCTTACCTGGGCTCAGGGCCGGCTGCAGCGGGAGCACCTCATAGCAGGAGAGCTGACTCTCGCCCTGAAAGGAGGCTCAGCTGAGGGCGCGCCCTGGGCCTGGGGCAGGCGTCAGTCCCGTCCTCCTGGGGACCTGAGCCACAGAAGGTGGCCGGAAGGCGCTGGGCACTGATCTGGGCCCAGGGACGACCGCCCCTCACCTGTTCGTCACCACCGTGCAGGGTGTGAGCACAAGGGTGTGCTAGGCATTAATGAGCCCCCACTGTGTGCTCACACTGCTCTATGCCCTGTCCACAGGCGGCTGGTGTGCCAGGCCTCACGGTTCCCCTGACCACAAAAGAAGACGTGAGACTGGACATGCAGAGGCTGCTCAGTCTGGTTTGAAGCAGCCTGGGCAACCCTGTTTGGGTCCCTCTTGCGGGGTGATGGTACCCTGCACTTCCCACTCTCCCCACTGGCTTCTGAAGTCAAAGGCTGGGCAGGGCCTGGTCAGGATGGACAGGAGCCCCAGGTGTTGAGCTGGGCGGGCACGGTAGGGCTCCCGCTTCTCACTCACCTTTCCCGCGAGGACCAGGAGCCCGGAGTCGGGGTCCAGCAGGGGCATCAGAGGCCTGGAGGAGAGAGGGCCGGTCAGCAGGATGTGGCTAGTCACCCATGGCAAGGGCAGCAGGAAGGCTGTGAGCCTCGTGACCCCAGACAAGTTCTGGCCAGAGTCACAGTGTCCAGAGCGATGCGGAGCCCCCGCTGCATCCAGCCTCCTCTGGGCCTTCCCGTCTCCGTCCTCTGCCACCAACACACAAGCACGTGCCCAGGCCTCCAGCTGCCCGCCTGCTCCCCCCACCAGGGGACAGGGGAGCGTGCCCCCTTTCTGCACCTCAGCCCTGAACTCCACCCTGGGTCCACAAGGTCTAGGAAGGCCCCACACCTGTTGTGTCTCCGCCAGGCCAGATGCCAGTGAGCACGGCCCCAGCAGCAGGAGCGTGCTGGAGCTGGGCACCCGCCCCCTATTGGCACTCTGGGGCTGCACGCAAGTCTGGGGGCCAATACTCAGTCACCACACGCCCCTGGGGCCTTGGTGACAATGTAGACACAGGTCCCACCCCCACCCGGCAGCCACAGTGAGCCCGTGTCCAAGGCAGAGCTCTCTGCCCCCGGCATGAGTGGGCTGTGGAGGGGCCGGGGCGGGGAAGTCAAGGGCAGGCTGGAAGCCCTGGGCCCCCCTCCACTTCGCCCAGCTCAGCCCCGGCCTCTGGGCTGCCGCTGCCAGGGCAGCCCCGCTCACCTCCCTGGGCTGCAGCCATCCTGGGAGCCTGGCTCTCAGCTCAAGGGTGTCCTCCATCATTTGTTTCATCTCTGGTCTTGGTCTCACCTCCCTGGGGACCCACAGGCCTGGATCCCCCACCCTGACACTTCCAAACAGAACCCCAGCCCCACTGTGGACCTCGTGGTCAGAGGTCGCCCAGCTGTGGCAGCTGCCTCCATCCCTCACCCAGGCAACCAACGTCCAGCTCCCCCTGACCAGTTGCCTAGAGCCACGGCTGTCTGCCCCCTCCCCCGCCAGAGCCATAGAGTGGGCCGGGAAGCTGGGGAGGGCCCAGTGTCTCCACAGCTTCCGGAGTGGCCGGGCCGGTCACCTGTGAGTAACACAGTCTCTAATTATCTGGGGCCGGCAGGGTGAGCCACTCAGAACTGCCCTCCTTGACCCGGTCTGACCACTGCCTGCTGCGGGGCCGGGGCTGATGTCGCTGCCCTCGGCATCGAGGATGTGCCATGAGTGTTTCACTGTTTGTCTGTTGGAGGGAGGCAGATCCCCCTCCTGGGGTCGCAGGACCTGATCTGGATGTCGGTTCCTGGTGGGCTGGACGCAGGCCCCTGAGCAGCTCCAGCAGGGCTTCCGCTCACTTACACACTCACTCAGCATCATTCATTCCTTTGTGGTCTGTACCTGGCCCTTGGCTTGGCCTGCAGGTGTGAATGGTGGTATGGGCAAGGGACCCCACCTCTGTCTTCAAGCAGCTCAGATGCCGGCGAGAGAGGCAGACCCAGTCCCTCGGGATAAACACTAGCAGAAAAGTTCTCTGAGAACATAGGGCAGGAGACAGAGGCACCAGCTGTGACTGGCCACAGAGGACCCAAAGTTTAAAGAGAAATCAGCCACATCAAGGGGAAAGAGTTCCAGGCAGCAGGAGCATGTGCAAAGGCCCTGTGGCCAGAGGCTGCACAGGGAACAGGGAGTGTGACAAGGCTGGTGGCCTGGGTGGTGAGGGTAAGGGGTGAGGCTGGGGATAGGGCAGGTGGAGGCCAGACCGATCAGGACCTGCAACCCCAGGAAGGGAATCTGCCTCCCTCCATCGGACAAACAGTGAAATGCTGATGGAACAGTCTCGGTGATGAGGGCAGGGCAGGTTGTGCACGGAGCAGAGACCCATGTGAGGTGTGCAGGAGGGTCTCCTGCCTGTGGACAACTGGGAGACAGGCCTGTGGGTTCCACCACGACAGTGATGGGTCACCATGCTCTAAATCAGCCTCCCGAAGAGGCTCAACCAGCCTTCGTGCAACCCCGCCCCAGCAGCTGGCCCACTGACTCAGGTGCTGGGGCGCGGGGGCAGGAAGTCATGGAGGGCAGGGCTGGCTCCCCTGACAGGTCAGGCCAGTCTTCCTTGCCTGGGGCAGAGCCATCTGGGCAGCTCCACCAGGCCAGAGCAGCCTGCACACCGCGGCACGGGCCAGGAAATGGGGTCATGGCACCCAGCCCCAAGGATTGGCCAACAGCTGGCACGGGCCTGACCCCAGGCCTTGTAAAGAGTCAAGCAGGGTCTGGGTCTGGAATGCAGAACTGGGCCGGGGCCTGGCAGAGGACCAGGGCGGTGAGAGCTGGCACAGGCCCCCACCCGTTGCCCATGGCTGGGGGCGGCAGGGCGAGGGGGACATCTGGACCTGCCCCGGGAGGTAGGAGTTGGCCCCAAACCCAAGATCATCAGAAGTCTAAAGTCCAGACCTGTCCCTACCCCCAGTCCAGGTTCCAGAAGATGTAGGACAATGGTGGGGGTAGGGGGTCTGGTGGGGGAAGGGCTGGCCCGAGTTGAGGCAGTCCCATCAGCTCCAGAGTGTGTCTGCAATTAGCATGCAATGGAAGTCCCCCCTGTGCCCGCTGGGAAGGCAGTTGCAAGAGTCCTCTGTTCTCCCTCTTCAGCTACTCTCCCCTCATACCCACTCACCAAGACATCTTGGCCCTGCCATGGGTCCGAGCAGCCCAGGTCCCTTGCATTTGTCTTGGTCACCCAGGCTGGGCAGTGGGGATCCCCCTGGACCAAGACCTGCCCCATACTCCCTAGCCCCCTCCTCCACGGAGGCTCCTCAGTCCCCAGGTTCTAAAGGGGGTGGTGCCTTGAAGCCACCTGAGGAAAGGATGAGGAAGCCACCGTGGAGGCTCTGGGTGGATGGGGGCCTGGCCTGTGTGAGTCCAGGTCACAGCATCGGGAGGGGGATGGAGCCTCTAGGCAGCTGGGATCTCTTGTGCTGGATACCAGGTGCAGAGGTACATGACTTCTTCAGGACAGGAAGTCCTGTTCCTTGGGGAAAGTCAGGCCAGAGGTCCTCAGAGCATTCTCCAAGGAGCTCTGTGGACCCTCCTGAGAGCCTTGGGGGACACAGGGTTCCAGGACAGAGACACGGGGACAGTCTGATCAGACACACAGGACCGGCTGCAGGCGCAGATGCTTCCTGGGCTGAGTGGGAAGGCAAGTGAGTGTGGCAGCCTGGTGTGGGACGCCAGGGAATGGTGGGGACTGCAGCAACCTGTAACCCGAGGCCTTGGTCAGTGGGGGCAGTGGAGCTCCTATTCGAGGCAAGCTGGGAAGTCCCGTTTCAATGTGAAACTACCAGATTTTTCAATGTTGGCAATGGCTCCAAAGTTCTAAAAAGTACCATTTAAACCAAATGAAATAGCTCAGACCCAGGGCAGATGTCTGAAAGCCACGGTCTCCATCCCTATGTACAGAGAAATGCATGAGGTATGGGGGATGGAGGTGGACCCCAACGTGTTCCAGAAAGGGGTGCTGTCAGGGAGAGGACTTGAGGAGGCTAAGAGCTGAGACAAGTCGGGGATGGGGGAGAATTGTCCCAGAAGGACCCTGCTTAGTGCCTTAAATGATTGGACAGGAGGTCGTCCACCCTTCTGGAGGCGATGCAGTCCTCCCAAGACCACGCCACCCCCCAGCTTGTTTGGCCCAGCCTCCCCGGACAAGCCTTTGGCCCCCATCCCCTGAGACTACCCCTCCCCTCCAGAGTTGTTCCAGCCAAAGGTCTTGGCTACAGGCGGGGCTGGTGTCCCTCTGGAAGCTGGGAGCTGAGCTGAGTCCCCAGAGACTCTGAGGCATGACCCTGACCACAAACACAGAGGGGGGGAGGACAGGGCAGCTTTCCTGGAATCCTCCAAGGCAGGGGATTTTTCTGGACTAGTCCAACCCCTGGCACCCGCCCCTCCTGCCCCAACATGGGCAGCTGTCAGCTGCAGCCCGGGGCCCAGCCGCTGACACGGAAGCCCAGTCCACCATCCCATCCCACCCCCTATACACACACACACACACACACACGCGCACACACACGTGCGCGCACACCCACGCCTTGAAGCTGCCAGTAAATGTGGGGCTGTGGACAGACGGTCCTGTCCTGGTCCTGTGTCTTGGGCCCTTCACCTCAACCTTGGGATGCTCCAGCCGGGAAGGCCCTCGAGGCTCTGAGGACCCCGGAGCCCAGATGGGGCGCCAGAGCCCTCGCTTAGGAGGCCGTCAGAGGGCCCGTGTGGTGCCAGGGGGTTCTGACAATGGGATTAGCTACCACAAGAACAGAGTCCACTAAAGTGCCCAGATTTCTCTCGAAAACTCCAGGGCTCCGGCGGGCTGGAGCAGTCACAGGCCCGAGCCCCGGCTCCAGCCCGCGCCCGCGCCCGGCCAGGGCTCCTGCGGGCGGCCGCACCTGCCCGCGCTCTGGCACCGGGTTGGGACTTTTGGTGTCAGCGCCACACTCGCCCGTTTCACCCCAAAACAGGGATCATTCGGCAAAGCAGCGCGGCCCGGGCCGGAGCGCGGGCTCCCGACCGGGCCGGGCCGGGCCGGGGGCCGCTCCGCCCACCCAGGCCGAGGCCGGGACCCCGCGGGCCCCGGGACCGTCCGGAGGGGGCGGGGCTCCGCCGGCCCCGCCCGCCAATGGGGAGCGGCCCCCGGCCCCGGCCCCGCCCCGGCCCCGCCCCCGGCCCTTAAGGCGCGCCCCGCCCCCCGCGAGCCGACTCCGCAGCCCGAGCCCGGGGCCGGGAGACGCGGACGCGGCTGCCTCGGGCCTCGGGGACCCGGGATCCAGGACCCCTTCGGCCGCGCCGGCCGGGAAGGACTGAGGCCGCGGCCGCCCCGTCCCGGTGAGTGTGCGCGGGGCGCGGGGGGACGGGGCGCCCCGCGGGCTGTGCACACGCGCCGTCACGCGCGCCCCTCGCCGCCGGCGCTCGCGCTCGGGCGGGCACGCGGACCGGCCCCGCGGACCGGCCCCGCACGGCCGCCCGGCGCCCCCCGCCCGGCGGGGCCCCGCGCCCCGCTCCGGCAGCCCCGGGGCGCCGCAGCCCCCGTCGGGCGCGCTCGCGTGTACACGGTTCACTGGCCGGCGGGGCTCGGAGCAGACAAAATAAACACCCCCTCCCTCGCTTCCTCCTCCCACGGCGCCTCCGGCGTGACCAGTTTTATGAATCAACCCCCTTGGAGGGGACGGCCGGCCGCAGTCTTGGGTGACTTTCCCCGCGGGGTCGGCCCGTCTGGCTCTGGCCTGGAACCCCCTGGCTCCTGGGCAGACCGCCTCCTGGGGTCCTGAGCACCCCCGGCACTGAGGGCAGAGCTGGGGCCTCAGGCAGGCAGCCTGAGGAGGGGTGGAGGCGGCTGGCAGGTACCCGATGCCACATCCCCCCGGTGCAACAGGTATTAGACAGAGATGGTCTCGGCCTCTGCCAGGGAAGGGGCTTTGCTCTGGCTAAGAACCCAATGGCCTGGAGCCAGCCTAGTCCTTTGTGTCCTGGGGCTGGCAGCACTGGGCCTGAGGGCTGCCGCCGTCCCCTGTGGTCACTGGCAGGCCAGCTGATTGATGCCAACCATTTTGCCTGGCCCCATCCGTTAATGATTAGCACACCAGGGTCGCTGACCGCCTCTCCCCCTGGGGTCCAGGTGGCGTGCTTAAGATGGGAAGGAGGAAGAGGCGCAGGGGGCCCCGGCGACCCCTGCTTGCCTTGTGCATCCAGGGCACGGGAGGCCCTGGAGAGAGGCCTCGGGACCCAGAGACCCACTGCTCAGCTCTGGAGCCTCTGGGCTGAGGGGACTGAACGACATCTCAAAGGTCCCTTCCCACTAGGCAAGACCCTGGGTGTTGAGGGCATGAGGTGTGACTGGGCTAGTGCCCTCCGAGTGGGTCCATCAGAGCTGGCCCAGGGGCAGTGAAGTCCAGTATGGGCCCAGCTGTTGGCGAGGCCCCACAGCGCTCAGGCTGGCGGGCAGGGGGATGGGAGAGCAGCCCCCGAGGTTGCTGTCTTCTCCCCGGGGAGTTGGCCCCTGGAGCTTCTGTAAACAGAGTGTCAGAGGCAGGAAGAGGGCTCTGGTAATGAGCAGCCCAGCTGGATCCCCTCCAGACCATTATCTGGCCGCTCCTGGGCCCAGGGAGGGAGGGTGAGCACACGCATGCCAGGCTGGGGGTCTGGGCACTGCCTGTCCCCTTCTCCCCCAGCCTCACGCTGCAGATTGAAACAGCGTCCAGGGACCTGTCCAGGGGCCACAGGGTCAGGCGGGGCCGGGTGGGGGCTGGCATCCAGGGTGGGGGCCTCAATATAAGGAACCCCTCAGCCAGTGCCCAGACCTGCTGTCCCCAGGAAACCCCCTCTTGCAGCAGCCCCAGGGCAGGAGAGCAAGCTTCACTTCGCACCTAGCTCAGGTGCTGACCCCCAGCCTGCTGCCTGAGAGGGCTGGGCCCAATCCCAGTAAAGAGAGCTGAGCCCCCTCGTGGGGCTTGTGAGTGGACCCTACCCCAGGGCACTGGAGGGAGCAGGGTCCCCGCCAGGCCCCGGGCCCAGGGGGCAGCGCCCACCTCAGCAGCAGCCAGTGCTCCTCGGTGGCTGAGGGAAGCCAGGTGAGCCCCTGCACACAGACATCTTGACCACTGGCCCTGAGCAATGGGTGAGTGACCCCTCCTGGAACCCCCATTGGCTCTCCTCAGAGTCCCCTCCCTGGACTGGGGAGCCCAAGGCTCTGCACTGCCAAGAAAACCAGCTCCCCTCACTGCTGTGGAATTTGCTAGAAGGGGGGGCTATGTGTGTGTCAGTGTGGCCCAGTGGGCGTGTGTCTGGCGTGGGCGTGTGTCTGCGCGCGTGACTGGCGTAGGGCTGTCTGGGGGCGGCAGGGGTGCTGGGGTGTCTGAGCTCACCGAGGGCTGGGGTGGGGGGGTGGCGGGGGCTCAGCCTCTTCCTTTTATCGGTTTCCACATTCCAGAGTCAGCCGGATTGCTTTCCCTCCGCGGGCTGGGCCGCCTTGGCCTGCCAGACCCACGGGCCTCCCCCACTTTTCCTCATTCCAGCCTCCCTGGGTATGAGGAGGCTGGAGCAGGCGCCCTTGAGCCACCTTAGGTCTGGGGGTGGGGGCAGGCGAGGGGCCAGTTCTCCTCCAAGGTTGGGGACGAACCCCCACCAGGCCCCTCCCAGGGAATGCAATAAGGCTCTGACATTCCTCAGAGGCTGCCCGAGAGATTTAATTAAGGAGGGAGGAGAGAGCTGGCTCGCATGGAGAAGGGGCTGGGGCGGTCACGGGGGCCCACTGGCCCTGGGCCCGGATGGGCAGCAGTGACAAGTGAGCAGCCTGTGGAGGGGGTGGCTCCCCCCATCAACCCCACCTGCCCACCTATGCACTCACAGACCCCAGGAAGGGCCATTCCTGCCGCCCACCGGGGGGCCAAGAATGCTAGGCGTCTGGCGGGGGCTCTGGGCGCAGGGAGGAAGCCACTTCCTCCTCAGACCAGACCTGGGCCTGACGGCTTGGGGCTGGCGGCCTCCCCAGTGACTAAGGTCTTCCTCCGGCGGGTTCAGGGTTAATTGCATGGTTAGAGTGCAGCTGATGAGTGGGTGGCCTGGGTGGGGACAGGGCTGAGTCTGAGCCCAGCCCCCTGGCATCACACCACACGTGCCTACGGTGGCATCTGCCTGGCCCACTTCTCGCTGGGCACAGTGCTCGGGTGGCAGGTGTGCTCCCAGCGGCAGCACTGTCCTGATGGAGGGCCCGCCCTGAGGGCCCACTGGAGCAGGACTGGCCTGAGTCACTGGTCTCCTGCTCTGGGCTAACAGGTGTGGTGGCTCCTAGTCACCCGCAGGGCCGTGGAGGCACCCACCTGGGCCGGGTGCAGAGAAGTGGGTGAGGGAGGGCCGCTGGCCACACTGGCTCAGGGAGGCAGACCCCTGCCTGGACAGGGCAACAGGGGCCACCTAGGGCGACCCTTTGCCATCCTCTGCTCCAGGGGCTGCGCATGGGAGGCTCCTGCCCGGCCTCTCCAGAAATTCCAATTGGATTGCTCCAGAGGTGGGGCCGGGCAGGAGGAACCACCCAGATTTCCCAGGTGAGTCTGATGTGCAGCTATAGTCACAGTTGGGAGGTGGCAGCCCAGGAAGGGGGCTGGATGGGTCACAAAGTGACAAAAAGGGGGTGTCTAGGTCCTGTGTGTGAAAGGTGCAGAGCCGGTGTGGGGTGAAGCTGAGGCTGGTGCAGGATCCCTGTTATCACAGGGCAGAGCTGCTCCCCACCCCAGGTCCAGGGAGCTGCCTCCACCCCTTCCATGAGGGAGCAAGACAGAGACCCCTACCTCTGCCCTGCTGGGCTAGGGGCTGCTGTATCCGGGTCGGGGGATGGGAGACGGGTGGACCCAACCAGGCCCTGAGTCTCCTCCGACACGTCAGCGAAACCAGAGCCAGCCATCCTGGCCGCCGGCACAGTCCCGCCTGCCCGGGGGGTTGGCAGCCTCCTGGGCTGGGCTACGGCCAAGCCTGGCCGGCTGCGCTTAGCCGGGCGGGCCCCGGGAGCCAGAGGCCCAGAGCCTCGGGGGAGACCTGCAGCGACTGAGATTGCCCTGCATGCAGCCCGGACCCTGGAGGGGATGTGCCAGTCAGTTTGCCCCTTCCAGCCGGGCAAGAGGCCTTCTGGGGAGCCGTGAGGTGCTCCGGCACAAGTTGCAAGGGATCACCCACCGGCCCTGTCTGATCCGGGGCCTGTGTGGGTGCCTCCAGGCGTGTCCCTCCCTTGGGAGTGGGTGGGGGCACCCTCTGCCCCCTGAGAGCCAAGATGACTACTTCTCCCAGAGCCCCTCCCTCTGCTCCCTCACCCAGAGGTCACGCGCCACAGGCAGGCAGCCAGAGGGCAGCTCGCTCCCTGTGCCTCCTTACAGAACCAGAAGGAAGCTCCCCTGCCCCCAGGATACCCTCTCCAGCCCCTCCTGCTGTCCTCTCCTGTCTATGTAGAACCTAGCACGAGTCCTCTTGCTCTCCGACACCCTTGAGCCAGGCAGCAGGAGGGCCTCAGGTTTTTTTTCCACATGACGCCCCTGCTGGCTCTGACCACTCAGACTCCAGGCACAAAGCATAGCCCCTGAAGCAGGGGCCGTCACCAGCCCCCCACTCCACAGTTGGGGCCTAGGTGAAGGGCTGGTGGCCAGGCCATTGTGCAGCCAGAGTGTGATGCCGGCGGCTGGACCCCAGAGCCCCATCCCAGTAGCTGCCTCCCGGAGGGCAGCAAGGCCAGCAGCAGAGCCCAAGCCTCGACCTCCGCCCCATTGTGGGGCAGCATGAGTACAGGCAGAGGAGGGAAGGCCCCGGGCCCTCAATGAGTCCACCCCCCCAAATCCAGAGCTGCCTCCAGGGCTCTCCCTGCACCCTTTGCAGAGGATGGGTCCCACCTGCCTGCCTGCCATCGGCAGGTCAGAGGCCAAACCCCAGGTCCTGTGGAGCTGCTGTAGCCATTGGGGATGTTCCGCGCAGCCGTGCCCCCCAGAAGAACCCCCATGCTCAAGGCACACATGTGCGCGCATGCACGTGTACACACACACACAAACACACACACACACAAACACACACGACAAGCACCCAGAGAGGCTGAATTGCTCCCAAATTTGTTAAAGAACTTCCCATTTTAAAGCAACAACACAGGACCACACCCGTGGGGGCCCAGAGCGGCTCCTGAGTGAGGCAGGGCTGTAGAGGGGCCAAGACCTGCTGTTGAGGGCGCTTGGGAGGCCGCTGAGGGGCAGGGCATGGACCTGAGCTTGGCTCTGCCCCCTGGGACCCCACGCCTGTCCACTCCTGTCAGCCCTAGCCCCTGGGCCCCGCTGGGGGCTGTCTGATCGCAGAGCTCAGAGCTGCCAGCCCCCCATGTGGCGTTTCCAAAGCCTCAGTGCAGACTCCCTGCCGGCCATGGATGGGGCTGAGGCTGAGGGGCTCACCCTTCATTTCGGGACCCCGATAGGCTCTGGTTCTGACCCTGTCCCCACGGAACCAGCCAGCTTGCCCTCTGTGCCGAGACCCACAGCACCAGCCCCTTCCCCGCGAGGGCTGTGCTGGCTCAAGGGTTAGTGGATGTGGAGTCCAGAGCCCAGGGTCCCCCTCCTCCGTGCAGAATGGGGAGAGAGCCCCTGGCCGCCGAGGGCACCGAGCTCAGGGTCCTGTGAGGTGCTGGATCTGAAAGGCAGGATTGATGGATGACAGGGAGGCGCTGAGAGAAAGCCTGTCTGTGCTCACAGTGCGATGCCTGGCCCGGGGCTGCCTGACCGAGCGGAGCTCTTAACCATGACCTTCTACGAGGCCCGGGGGAGTGGAGCCGCAGGGGTGGCCAGGCTGGCCACGTGGAGGGCCCCTCCCACCCGGAGCCTGGCTGCTCCCTTCCTGACCCCGCCTGCCCGCCCAGAGGGGTGATTCAGGGGGAGGCGTCTCCCTGTCCACGTGGGGGGCGGGGGTCGCTCGCAGTCCACATCTGGAAGCCAGGCTGCACCGTGTCTCTGAGTCAGTGAGGGCGGAGCGGGCGGGGGTGTGTGTGTGGCGGGGGGAGGTGGCCAGGGTGGGGTGCAGGGAGCCCCTTGGGGCAGAGTGGGCAGGGCTGGGGGCACATAAGGCCTCAGGGTTTTGGTAGGAGAGCCACCTGAGGCCCGGGAGGCCATCCACCCTGCAGAGGGGAGCAAAGTGGGCTCTGGACACGGGAGAGCAGACAGATGAGTGTCACCACCTCAGGAAGCAGCCAGGCAGCCCGAACACCAGCTCGGGGTCTGGGAAGGCCCCCAGCTGGCCCCTTAAGGGCAGGCTTTGTGGTAACTAGAGGGGGCTTTGGAGAGGAAGCAGAGGCTGGTGGCAGCAGGGACACTGGAGGGACAGAGCCTAGGTGACAGGCCTTTAGTGGGCCCACACCCAACACCGGTGGGCTCCCCTGTGACTCGGTCCTTGGAGGGACCACCCACCCTCCTCTGCCTCACACATCAGGAGCCCTTGTCGGGGGAGGGGCAGGCACAGGCTGGAGGGGGGTTGGGGGGTGCTGTATTACCTGCCCAGGCTGCGTGGCTCCCTGGCCAGCCAGCCAGTGTAGGGGGAGGGGAGGCAGAGCTCAGCACAAAAGGCCCTTGTGTGAGCCGGTGGCGCCTGGAGGGGGCGGGGTGCTATCCTCCTGGGGACTTCTAGGGGTCCAGAGCTTGAGGACTGCTGCGGGGGTGGCCCCTGGGCTGCCCCCAGGGCCCGGGCCACGGAGGCCTGAGCTGTGGCCCATTCTGCCCGGGGCAGGTCTGGCTACAGCATGGAGCTGCCCCCACCTGGCCCATCACACGCGCAGGCCAGCCCCACCTGGACGTGGTTAAGGCCTGGCTCCGGCTCACATTTCCCTGCACCTCGGGGAGCCCCTTCTTCCGGCATCTGGGAGTGATGGGAGCAGCTGTGGGATGGGTGGACAGGACAAAGCGAGGTGCTAACGGCCTAGTGGTGCTGGCATGTGGGGAGGGCGAGGCTCCCCTTTCTCAGTGTCCAGAGTCGACCCCAAGAATCAGTGGGTGAATGAACCTCTGTGGCGTCTCCAGGCCTCACAATGCCCTGCGGCCACCAGAGCCCTGGCCAGCCTGGGGTTCCGTGACATGACTCAGAGGTGGGGGTCAGGATACTAGGCGCCCCCCCCCCCCGCCCCGACCCAGGTGGGACACCTGCTAATGGCACCAGCCTCTCTGCCGCTCCCCTAAGAACTTCCCCGCCCGCGCCCCACAGGCCCACAGCTCCCTCCCGGGCAGGTCTGACTTCACAAGTGGAAAAACACCGACCCCATAGTTTCCATGTGAAGTCTTCCCGCCGCGGTCTCTGCTCACTCGGAGGACGCGGAGCGTGGCGGCAGGGCCGGCGGCCCGGGCAGCCAGCTTCTCTGCTTACGCGCTGGGCCCACTGCCCACTCCATCTCCCAGACGCGGCAGGAGGGGCGGCCGCTGCAAGACCCGCCGTCCTCCTGCACCGACGCCTCGCAGAGGGGCCGCAGAGCCGTGTGTTTTGGACCACATGCTCTCTCCGAGCACAGAGTGGCCGGGGCCCGCAGTTAGGGAGGAGGGGGCTCTTCATGGTCACTGTTGGGGGGCCCAGCCCCTCTGCATGCCTCCACCCGCTGGACCCTGGTGACAGCACACGACATATAGACTGACGCTGGCGGGGGTGGGGTGGGGGGTGTGACGGCGGGCTGGGGCTGTGCTGACAGCTGGGGAGCTGACTCATCTGTGCTGTTGGTGGGGTGAGCCGCTGGGACAGGGCCGGGAATTCCCTTCTCCATCCCTCTTGGTGTGCTGTCCCCCCACCCCCACGTCCCTGGGCCCCCTGACTCATAGTCTCTTGTCTGTCCTCTCTGCTGCCAGGAGCCAAAAGATGCACCCCAAGATCTCTCCACCCCTGCTGCTGCTGCTGCCGCTGCTGCTGGCCCCAAGGCCTGGGGCGCAAGGCTGCCCATCCGGCTGCCAGTGCAACCAGCCTCAGACGGTCTTCTGCACTGCCCGCCAGGCGGCCACGGTGCCCCACGACGTGCTGCCCGACACGGCCAGGCTGTACGTCTTCGAGAACGGCATCACCACACTAGACTCCAGCAGCTTTGCCGGCCTACCGGGCCTGCAGTTCCTGGACCTGTCGCAGAACCAGATCGCCAACCTGCCCGGCGGGGTGTTCCAGCCACTCGCCAACCTAAGCAACCTGGACCTGACGGCCAACTGGCTGCGTGAGATCACCAACGAGACCTTCCGCGGCCTGGGCCGCCTGGAGCGCCTCTACCTGGGCAAGAACCGCATCCGCCACATCCAGCCTGGCGCCTTTGATGCGCTGGGCCGCCTGCTGGAGCTCAAACTGCAGGACAACGAGCTGCGAGCGCTGCCCCCGCTGCGCCTGCCGCACCTGCTGCTACTTGACCTCAGCCACAACCCCCTCCTGGCCCTGGAGCCCGGCGCCCTGGACACAGCTAACGTGGAGGCACTGCGGCTGGCCGGCCTGGGGCTGCGGGGGCTGGACGAGGGGCTCTTGGGCCGCCTGCGCAACCTCCATGACCTGGACGTGTCTGACAATCAGCTGGAGCGCGTGCCGCCTGCCATCCGGGGCCTGCGGGGCCTGACGCGCCTGTGGCTGGCCGGCAACACCCGCATTGCCCAGCTGCGGCCCGAGGACCTGGCTGGCCTGGCCGCCCTGCAGGAGCTGGACCTGAGCAACCTGAGCCTGAAGGCCCTGCCACATGAGCTCTCCGGCCTCTTCCCCCGCCTGCGGGTCCTGGCGGCTGCCCGCAACCCTTTCAACTGTGTGTGCCCCCTGAGCTGGTTTGGTCCGTGGGTGCGGGACAGCCACGTGGCCCTGGCCAGCCCCGAGGAGACACGCTGCCACTTCCCACCCAAGAACGCCGGCCGGCTGCTCCTGGATCTCGACTATGCCGACTTCGGCTGCCCAGCCACCACCACCACCACAGCCACCGCGCCTACCACAAGGCCCGTGACGGGAGAGCCCACGCCGCCGCCGTCCACCGTGGCTCCCACCTGGCTCAGCCCCACTGAGCCTGCCACCGAGGCCCCCAGCCTACCACCCGTCGCCCCGCCCACCGTGGGGCCTGCCCCCCGGCCCCAGGACTGCCCAATGTCCACCTGCCTCAACGGGGGCACCTGCCACCTGGGGGCGCAGCACCACCCTGAGTGCCTGTGCCCTGAGGGCTTCGTGGGCCTGTACTGCGAGAGCCTGGTCAGGCAGGGCCCGAGGCCCAGCCCTGCCCCAGCTGCCCCGCGGCCACCCCAGCCCTTGCCCCTCGGCATCGAGCCCGCCAGCCCCACATCCCTGCGGGTCGGGCTGCAGCGCTTCCTGCAGGACAGCGCAGTGCAGGTCAGGGGCCTCCGCCTTACGTACCGCAACCTGTCCGGCCCCGACAAGCGGCCAGTGACGCTGCGGCTGCCTGCCTCGCTGGCGGAGTACACGGTCACGCAGCTGCGGCCCAACGCCACCTACTCCATTTGCGTCAGGCCTCTGGGGGCCGGGAGGGAGCCTGAGGGCGAAGAGGCCTGCGGGGAGGCCCGCACGCCCCCCGCTGTTCGTTCCAACCACGCCCCGGTCACCCAGGCCCGCGAGGGCAACCTGCCACTCCTCATCGCGCCTGCCCTGGCCGCGGTGCTCCTGGCAGCGCTGGCTGCCGTAGGGGCAGCCTACTGTGTGCGGCGGGGGCGGGCAGCAGCGGCTGCAGCCCAAGGCAAAGGGCAGGTAGGGCCGGGGGCTGGGCCCCTGGAGCTGGAGGGGGTGAAGGCTCCCCTGGAGCCAGGCCCCAAGGTGACTGAGGGCTGTGGGGAGGCCCTGCCCGGAGGGCCTGAATGTGAAGTGCCACTCATGGGCTACCCAGGGTCCTGCCCCCAGGGGCCCCTTCCGGCTAAGCCCTACATCTAAGCCCACGAGTGTTGGGCCCGCTGAGGCCTGGGCTCTCAGCCCTGCTGGACCGGCCAGCGCCCTCCTGCTGCCAGACCAAGGAAGTTCTCAGTTCCCGCAACGAGGACGCACTGGGGGGCGTGACCGAAGCGTGTGCCTGCCCACGGTGGACCTTGGGCACCCAGGCGATGACCTCTCAGGTCCCCCAGGCCCAAGTGCCTATGAAGACAGCGCTGGCCCGTCCTCTGCCACGTGCAATACCGGGGGCCGTGTGCCGGTAACACAGGCCCTGGGCGGCCAGGCACCCCAGCCCCAAGGAGACTCCGGGGCCAGTGAAGGAAGCACCCGGAGAGCGGAGGGAGTGGGGCTGGGCATGGCCGTGCGGCCCTGGCCCCAGGAAACCGAGGAACAAAAGAAACTGGAAAGAAAGACACTCTAGGACAAGCCGTCTTGCTTTGCTCTCAGACTGTATTTATGAGGTCCCTTCCCATTTTTTCTGGGAAAGTGTTTTTCAATTTCAGACAAGGACTGGTTTTTGTAAGACAAACAATGATATGAAGGCCTTTTGTAAGAAAAATAAAAGATAAAATGAGACGAGGGTTTCTCTGGCCCGGCCCCAGAGTGCCTGGGTGCAGGTGGAGAGGAGACTTGTGGGTATGGACACCTGCATGAGCCCACTCCCTACCAGCCTCCCAGGCTCGGGGCTGCCGCAGTGGGGCCGGCCCAGGCATCCGGCTCACGGGCAGGAGCAGGGGGCAGCCTCTCCCCACTGGCCCAACTCCTACCAGCAAGAGCCACTGGCCCCCAGTAAGAGGCTGGGAGGGTCTCCTCGGGCCACCTGCCTCCCTCCTGGAGGGGGAGCTCCTGGAGGACCCCGCCCAGGCGCCGCGGCTCAGGCTGGAGCTCTAATGGCAGGAACCCCCTTGGGGTGAGGACAGAGGGGCAGAGTCGGGGCAGGCAGCCCAGGGACAAGACCAAAGGTCGGCTTTGGCCGGCAGAGGCCTGGCGATGTCCCTTCACTCCCTGCACGTGGGATGTGCCCGGGCTTTCCAGAAACCCCGGAAGTGGGGAAGTGGGAGTGTTTTCCAGGAAGGCCGCGGGCCGTGATGGGGGCAGGGCGAAGGAGGCCGAGCTCAGCTCTGGCTGGGAACTTGGGGACAGTGACAAATACAGCAGCTTTCCCTATGCTCCTGGGGGTGGAGGGGAGGTGGGCATGGGGCCAAGGAGAGGCCCTGCAAACCTGGAGCCAGCCTGCCCAAGCCCCAGGCCCAGGTTCCTCCGTGGGTCAGGGGTCACTGGCCCTCCGCCCCCAGCCTCACCCCACTGGGGGAAGGAGGCATCCCAGCCAGGTCTGGGGAGCAGGCGCTGTGAATAGGGGCGTTGGTGTCAGCGCCGAGTCAGGCCCGGCCACGCGAGGCTCTGGAATCAATTAGCGGCTGCTGAGGGTTCTGGCACGAGAAGGGAGGAGGCAGGCGTGGGTCGGGCGGGCAGCGGGCCTGGGTGGGGCCCCGTCTTCCTGAGGTGGCGGCGGCGGCCCAGGTGGGCTTCCTGCAGGCCTGGGGCCCATTAGGGGAACAGCTATGGTGAGGCCTGCCCTCCCCCTCTGCAGCCCCATCAAAGGGGCCATTGTGGGCCTGCGGCCACTGCTACATAAATGTTTTCACTACGAAGCCAAACCTAGTGGGTCGGCAGTGGGGTGAAGGGACCCCAAAATGGGGCTGGCTGCTCACGCCAGCCCTCCCAGAAGAGGAGTTTGGTTGTCCCATTGGATCAGGGGCAGGGAGGGAGGCCCAGGGACCAAAAGGAGGGCCCAGTCAATATGCAGCCCCGCCAGGGCGATCCTGCAGGCCCAGGGGCCACGTGGGGAGATGCCAGCTCCTCTCACGTCCTCCCGGCGGCAGGTCCTAAGCCATGAGGTTGCCAGGCCCCACTGCCCTCTGCAGAAGGGACTTTAAGGCCAGCTTTGCAGATGGGGACAGGACCCCAACACCCCGCCCTGGGCCAGACTGGGGCGGCCAGCCACCACAGGGCTGGGCTGTCACGAGCAGCAAAAGCCACCGGGAGCAGAGGGGAGCCCCAATCTCCAGGCAATGTGCTGGGGTGTGGAGCCTCTGGCCAGTGGCTAGGCCTCGGGGTGGGTGTCTGGCCAGAGGTAGATACCTTGGTGTGAAGAAGCAGACACGGGGACCCTAGCCACCCTGCACGGTATTGCTGCTGGGGTGACCAAGCACCCCTTGGGGAAGGAGAGAAAACGCCCATCTGTCTGCAGCGCTGACACAGCTGACCGTTCAGCGTTCAGCGAGCAGGTTTCCCTCAGCCTCAAGGGCAGGCCCTCAGCACACACACACACCCCTAGGTGCCTGACAACGCCACGGCTGGTGGAGGGGGGTGTCAGTATCAGCCGGGCCTGGTGTTCCTTTGCACCCCACCTCCTCTCTGCCAAGTGTGGGTCCTGGCAGCCCCAGGGGGCCCGCTCCTGGGTCAGTGTTACAGACAGGACCCCAAGGCCCTGCTCTTTCTACAGGGGCCCGGCTCCTCTTAAAGGAGGCGACCCTACAGAGACGGGTGGCAGGAGAACATGGGGGCAGCCCGACAGGCCCCAGGAGGGACGTCCCAGGGCTCCTTGGATAGGTGGAAAGGGCCTGTGCCTGACCCCAGCCCTCTGGCCTCTGAAAGCATGCCCCGTTCCTCAGGATGGAGCCAGAGATCTGCCAGAGCCGCGTCTGCGGAGTGCCGTGGAGACGGCCGCCTCCTCCCACCTCCTCCCGCCGGCTGTGCCCACCGCGGACACCCTGCGCATTTTTCAGTTCCAGCCCAGTTCACTCGGCAGCCCCGACACCCCTGGGGCTGGGGAGGGGGGGTTTGGCTCCAGGAGGCCAGAGGCTGGCACACATTCCTGGCGCCCACCAGCTTTGCAGAGGGCTGGAGGGTCCCGGTCCCTCTGCCAAGGGTGGAGGCCTGCTGGTGGCACCAGGGCTGAGGGCTGGAGGGGGCGGGACACCGGGCTGGCCGCCCATCTGGGAGTGATCTGAGACATTCCAGGCCTCGCTGGCCCTGGGAGGCTATTCTTAACTGCTGTAATTACAGGTCAGCCTTGGCCGGTGGCACCGTGGGGTCTGGGCATCGTTAACTCCTCCCGGGGCCACACTAGGGCTGGGCTGCGGATGGCTCCTGGGGGAGGGGACAGAGCAAGCCTGGAAGGCAGGAAGTGGTGGGCGGAGGAGCACTTGATGGCTGGCTCTGGTCCCTGGTCAGGTTGGGCCAGCTCCCTCCAAGGCCACCTCTGCCGGGGGCCTGAGGAGAAGAGACTGCGGCCTGGGGAGGGCCGAGGGCCAGATGCCAGAAAGGCATCAGGGCCAGGAGTGGGTACTGGACACGGAGCCAGGATGTCCCGGAGCTCTGATCGCACCGACACCTGGGGGCCTGGGGACCATGTTCTGAGAGGGGCACTGGGTCTCGCGCGGGCTCCCCTTTCCCATCTGCAAAATGGACCTTGCCAGCCCCCAGTCTGTCCCTGTGCCATGAAAGGGGTTAAGAGTGGAGCCCCACTGCCACCGCGGGCTCCCCTGGTGTCCCAGAGTCTCAGCCAGGGAACAGCCTGGCAGGAGCTCTCCCGGCATTCAGCCTCCTGCCCTTGCAGACCCGCGAGCAGGGCAGGCCCTATGCCCTCCATGCCTGTGCCGTGGCGAAACGGGAGAGAACGGTGATGAGCCAAGCCCGCGGCCCTCCCGGCTCTGACCCTCGGATGCGGCTTGGAGGGAGCTTGGACAAGAGCCGTGCATCCCCAGCTGGGCACTCACCCTCCCGAGCCACACGTCCTGGGGCCTCAGAGGGTGCCTGTCCAAGTCTGTCCCCTCTGCCACCTGCACTCCAGCCTGCCAGCCCATCTATCCCCAGCACCCACATCCACCTCACCACTCACCGGCCCCCAGGCCCAGCAAAACCAAGTACATTCGCACATTCTCCGGGTCCAGCCCCTTACACCAAGCCGCACCTGTGCGGCCCCAGCCGTGACCCTGCCCTGCGCCGGGGCTGCTCTGGCCACGTGGGACAGGTGGGTAGCCAGCTTCTGCCAGGCGGTGGGGCCACCTTGCCATGCCTGCTGGGGAGTCGAGGGTCCTGGACACAAGCTGCTTCTGCAAGGACCTCACGGCCCAGCTCTGGCACCTCTGACCACTCTGGCGACCCCTGCCACGCCCCAGCAGCTTCACCCCCCCACTCTGAGCGGCCTCCCAACGGAACCTGGAGGTGCCCCGCAGGGCCCATCCTCCCGGCCCTCCACCCCGGCCTATCCCAGCACGCGGCCACTCCTACCCGGGCGCCGTGTCCAGGGTCAGGGAGGTGAGGGCGCTGGAGAAGTGCCTGGTGTCCCAGAGTCTCACTTCGCGTTCACGCATCTGCAGGGAGGGCGGGGAGGGCTCAGAGAGGCTGGGGCGGCCATTCTTCAGCCCAGCCCCGGCCTCCCTAGGAACCCTGGGCCCAAGGGCAAGCCTGGCACCGAGTCACATGCCCCACAGCAGCACAGTGCGGGGAGCGGGGCAGGAAGTCACTTTAGGGAGGGAGCTTGGGTCATGCCCTCCCCTTCATGAACCCGAGGTGAAAAGGGGCAGGGGCGGGCCCTCCGCGGTCTCTGGTCCCTGTGGGGCCACCACAGTTCCCAGGGTCGGGCTTAGCTATTGCAAATGGAATCTGCCCGTTCTCAGCGGCCTGTCCCCTGGGGCCCTGACACCCGGCTGCACACACAGCCGTATATGGACAGCATGGAGCTGACCAGTGGGCCTTGTCCCCGCCCTTGGGGTGGTGCATCCAGAGTTCCCTACCTGGTTGAACCCAGTGGACACGAGGTGCTCCTGGGTGCCTGTCCACACCAGCCGGACGTCCCGGTTGTTCTCATGGGCCTGTGTGCTCTGGGGGACACAAGAGAAGTGCTGAGCCACCTGAGGGCAACAGGGGCGGCCTGAACCCACTGGGCCGCCCGCCCCAGGCTGGGCTCATGGCCCATCCTGCTCGCCACCCACCTGCCCTGCTCGCCCACAGGTGTCCTGGAGGCGGTGCTCAGTCACGAGCCACCGCCCCGGCTCTGGGGACCCTGTGGGCTCCCGGAAGCTCACTGCTCTCTTATGAGTGGGGCACACGATGGCCGCCTACTTCCCAACAGGCCGCCCGCAAAGCCCTGTGCAAATCGAGGGATTATGAGCATTTCTGCCTCCTCGGACGCTGCCAGGGGCCAGCCAGGGCCTGGGCCAGCTCTGGGGACAGTCCCTGGAGAGGGCAGAGCAGCAACCCCTCCGCTCTCCCGTGGTGCCGGGGCTGCCAGCAGGAAGGCCTCGTGGGCTGGGGAGGAGAGGCGAGGTCACACCGCGGGCGGCCTGGTCCCCCTGGGCCCAGGCAGGGGGAACCGAGGGGGCCGGAGGAAATGCGAACGGCTCCCTCCCAGTCACCCCCGCCCCTGGAGCCTGAGACTAAAGACCCGGTTACCAAAAATAGCTCACCCCAAACTGTGGCCAGCTTCCTCCAAGCTTCCCACGATCTCCTTGGGAATGAATGAGGGAGGGAGCCGCGGCGAGGAGCTGGCCCCGCGCCCCCTCCCCAGCCCTTGGAGGCCGACCCCAGCGTGGGAGACGGTTGGAAACACTCCGTGTCGTTCAAGGGGCTTTTCTCACTGCTCTCTTCCCACCCAGTCAAGGCCAGCACAGGAAGTCGGGCTGGAGCCTGAGAACTAGGGCCCTGCACCCCTCGTGCCAGGCAAGAGGGACTGTGGGTCAGGGCAAGGGTCAGCCCCGGCCCTGGCACCCTGATTTGGTCAGTCCGAAGTGCCCGGTGGGCAACTGGCCCTGTGCGAGCAGCAAACCGGATGGCTCCCAAGGCCTCTGCACACACCGGTTCAGCCGGGTCCTGCCAGGCCACCCCAACAGGTGGCGTGCGGATTGTGGGCGTCGGACTCCACGAGGCAGGACGCCCCCTCATCTCTCCTTCCACAACAGGAGCGCCCCAGCTGCCCACACAACACTGTGTGGCCCCTGGCTCGCACGAAACACGCTGGGGGAGCAGCGGTGACTGGACAGAAGGACTCGGCCGTGACAATTGGTCACATGTCCACGAAGGGGCCAGGAGGAAGACGGAGGGTGGCATTCTCGGCCATGTGAAGGGCTCCATGCCTCGGTTTCCCTCCCTGTAGCGTTCTCTGGCAGGAGGACCCACTGGGGAGGATCCTGGGGGCATAAGTGTCAACACTGGCGAAGCGCTCAGCCTCCTGTCAGGGTCCCCACCCATGAGGGACGAGGGGCGCAGGGTGACAGGCAAGAACATCCCCACAGAGCCACAGCCACAGGCCAGGCCCGGTGGAGTGCTGGGCCCTGGCTACTCCGGGACCTCCGGCTGCCAGTAGACACCCCTGCACAAGCTGCTGGTGGTGGTGGGGCGGGCCTCTGGGCAGGGCAGTACTGCAGAGCTGGAGGCCTGCTCCCTGGAGGCCCAGGCCGTGCCTCTCAGCCTCAGAGGGCAGGAGGGCAGCAGGGGAGTTGGGACAGGGAAGAGCTCAGGTTGAGCCCAGTGGCGCCTGCTGCGGGCACACCCTGCTCTGTCAGCCGGGGGGCCACCGGAAGCCCCTTCCCTTCCTAGCCCCAGATCACTGGAGTGATTTTCATTTTCGAAACTGGCAAGTTCTTCTTGCTGACCTCAGCAGAACTCGGGGAGGAGGGGCGCACTCTCCAGATGCCCAGATTCTCTATCTCCTGGGCGGGGAGGGGGGCTGTAGCTAGAACCCAGCACCCTGCTATCACGCAGCCCCAGCCCCGGCACTGAGCAGCCTCGGGGGCTGGTGGAGGTAACCTGGGGTGTGCAGTCCAGACCACGGAGTTTCTCTCACAAGGGAGGGCCATCAGACAGGCAGCAGGCCATGCGCTCAGTTCCCCAGTCCCCCCCCAGACCTTGACCCAAGAAGAGAGCAGGAGGGGTGAGGCCTGGTAGCTCCTGCCCAGCACAGAGGTGCAGGGGTGCAGGAACAGGCGCATACCCTGCATTCCAGCTGGGGTGCAGCCAAATCTCCCTGTCGCCACGGTAACACTTCCGGTGTGGGGCGGGGCAGCTGGGCTCCTTTCACTACCTGACCAGCCCCTACTCAGCCAAACTGATTATGGGGTTCCAGAGGCTGTCCCCACAGAGCCCACCAGATGTGTGGGGGTGATCAGAGGGCACAGGCCTGCCTGCACACACCAGAGGTCAGAGGGCTTGACCTGGCGCCCCTTCTACTCCTGACAAGGGTGCCTCCTCAGCCTCAGGCTGCTACTCCCTGGCCCCATAGCTTCAGGACCTCGACAACCCCCTCCTTGGCTCTGGCAAGAGAAGGGACAGCAGCGGGGCCCGGGGGCTCTGAAGCCAGACAGGTCCAGCCTGCCTCTGCCACTCAGCTGGACACCCTGGGCAGAAATGCCCCAGGGCAGACTGTGAGGGTGGAGAGGGTCCTGTCTGCCAAGGCCTGGGCCATAGTAACTGCTCATAAAAGCCATCTGGACACAGAAGAGGGGTGCTTCCAGCTCAGGACTCCAGAGATAAAACCAAGGCAGACAGTGGAGGGAGGACTGACCCCCTTGTTCCCTGCTCAGCCCCCCTGGCTCTGGGGGAAGGTCACGGGAGCAAGGAGGGCAGAGGCCAGACACAGGGCTGTGACTCCTTCCTCCACCCCCAGCACAGCCCCTGCTAGTGGGAAGGAGACTCTCAGGAGAAGGTGCTCCCTGAAGGCCTCCCTGCAGCCGGCCCCTCGGCTCACACCGACCCTGGCCGCCAACAGCGGTTTTCCTAATAGAAGCCAGGTGTGGGCCAGATGCCCTGGGCGGAAGTGGGGGCAGGGCCACGCAGAGGGCGGCATTCCAGGCCCCGCTGCCCCCGCGCCCGCGCACTGGCCGGGCCCAGGCACCGTCCCAGCAGCTGCAGGGGGGAGCCACCCACGCTCTTCCCAGGTCTCCTTGCCCCAGAAGCCCCGTAGGGGGTCCCCAGAACCAGATCCTCTCTCATTTAGGGACTCAGCACCCCTTGGACGACAGCCGACCCGCCTCCGCCGCAGCACCACCACCGGGCCCCTCGCTGGAGGAGGAGGCAGCCCAGGGAGCTGGCCCGATGCAGGACCAGCTGGGGCAGGAGTGGGGGTGCCCCGCACAGTATCCTGAGGGCCCTGCAGAGGAAAGGGCAGCCCGAGAAAGCTGGGAGGAGGCCTCAGTATCTCTTCTTCCAGCTGAACCTGGGAACCCCTTTCTGGGCAGAGGCCTGGGAGTGAGCCAGAGAAAGCTACCGCTCCCACCCACCCCGCCAGCTCCCACGGCCAGGGTGGGGCCGCGACCACTTCCGTCTGGCCCGGCTCACCTGGCACCTGCCAGGCTGAGGCCCGTTTGGGTCTGCAGCCAGTGAGAACTGACTGGACTGCTCAGGCAAGAAGCTGCCATTGGCCATGTAACAGACCCCGCTAGCCCTAGTCAGGGCAGCTGGAGGGTCACCCTTGATCTGGGTAGGGAACATGCCCCAGAGGTGGAGCCCGAATCTGTGAAAGGTCTGGGGCTTCGCTGGGGAGTTAGCACAGGACCCTGGACTTCACTTTCCTCAGCGAAGATAGCAACTCTGCTTTAAAAGTTCTTTTTAAAAACATACAGCTGCTCATTTCACTTCCCCCTTAAAACCCTCTGATGGCTTCCCAAGCCCGGGTGACGGGCCCTTCCCGTAGCACAGGTCTCCCCTCCCCCGCCTGTGCCCCCTGCCCAGACTCCCCAGCCAGCTGGCCGCAGCTCCAGCCAGTCTTCAGGGAAGCGCTAAACCACCCCATGTCGAGAAACCCCCCTGGCAAGCAGCCTGTGCCTCCTCCGTCCCCTGGGACCTGCGCTGGCAGGGAGCTGCTATTGCGAGAAGGACCAGCTCCCCGGGGCTCGGGGCTTGTGGCAGGAGCACCACTCGAAACGCATGGCCACACGCCCAGGTCCCAGGTCCTGAGGGCCTGGCAGGCTCCCCCACCCCCAGGCCCGGGCACAGTCCACAGACTCCAGGAGCAGACCCTGCAGCTGTGGGACCGGGAGGGGACAGGGCACAGGCCGTGCCCTCCAAGGCTGTCTGCCGGGAAGGGCCAGTGGGGGATGAGGGTCTCAAGAGGAAGCTGGAGTCTCAAATTAGCTTCCTGAAGCCACAGGGCGCCTCCACCGAAGGCCTGTGGGCAGCCTGGCTGTGCCCACCCTGTGATCAGTCCATCTCCCGGAGCCTAAACACACTTCCCAGAAAGAGCTGCCGGTGCAGGTGACCCCCACACCCTGTGCCTCGGCCACCGGAGCAGAGGCCACAGCAGCCCCCACACCAGCTGGCACCACAGGGCTCAGCCAGAAAGGAGGCTTTTAGCCAACCTGCTGCCGGTAACTCACCTGGGCGGCCATGGGCTGTGCCCTGGGGTCAAAGATCCGCAGCTGCTTGTCCTGAAAGAGCAGAGAGGAGCAAATGAGAATACAATGGGAGGTGGGCAGGGTCCTGGGTGGCCTGCCTCCCCACCCCAGGGGACCTGGGCATCACACCCTGGGATGCCCTCCCCAGCTGGGTTCCTGCTTCTCACTGGAGGGGTCTCAAGACCCCCTGGCCCGCCCACCCCAGTCCACTATAGAGGGCTCAGCGATGAGAGTCCACACTTCCGGAGCACCTATTATGTGCTTTCCCCAAATTTCTAACCATTCATCACCATGACCTCTGCACAGGGGGAGAAACAGGCCCAGAACCACACTCTAAGTGAGCAGCCGCTACACCTGCGCCCAGCGCTGCTCTCAGCCCAGCCTCGAGGGCTCAGGGTCCCATCATTTCTACACCGGGTGCCCAACCCAATGAGCTTATTCACCCGTCCCTCCCTCAGCACACAGTTTCTGTAGTTTCTGTTCAGGTTACCCAACGGGGGCGTGGGGGGTAGGGGGTGTACGCAGGCAGACAAAAGAGATAGGAAATACTGTTTGAAGATTTCGTTATTGTGGAACAGTATGTGAGAGAGAAGCAGATGTGCATCAAGCACTGCAGCAGAGACGAGGCACAGTCTGCATCCCAAGACTATTTACAGGTTTGGAAAAGATATATATATTTTTAAGTGCTAGAAGGAAGTTGTGGAATAACAAGGCATGGTAAAAATAAACGTAAACCCTACTTGTGGACAACGTCCCTGTGTGTTTTGTAAGTTCTTTGAGCCAGGGGAAGGGTCTTGACCGGCGCAGGTGGTGTTATTGCTGGGTGCCAGGGTTTGGGGAAGGTGGGCATGGTCAGCTTTTCACATCTTAACGCAGATCCACTTTGGTTCAATCAGCACAAATTCATATTTTCATATTTTGGAAAACAATGAACTAGCAATGAACAATTTGAATTTGAAATTAAAAACACATTGAAGTCAGTGCCCCCAAAATTGAAATACTTAGCTGTAAATCTAACAAGATTATGTATGAGACTTGAGTGAGGAACACTACAAGACTGTGATGGAAAAAAAAACCTGTGATGAAAGAAGTCAAAAAGGATCTAAATAAACGGGGGAATAGTCCACGTTCATGGACAGTAAGATGCTATACCGTCAAAATACCAGCCCTTCCCAACTATATTTACAGAGGCAATGTGATCCCAGGGAAAATTCCAGCAAGTTATTCTGTGAATGTTGACAAACGGATTTTAGCCTTTAAGTAAAGGTTCAGAATGGTCAACACAAAATTAAAGATGTTCAAAGTTGGAAGACTACCCAACTGTACTAAAAGGCTAGTAATCAAGACAACCCAATACTAGCAAAAGGATAAACAAATGGATCAAAGGAATAGACTAGACTCTAGTCAACTGGAGTGACTCCAACACTGACTTTCTATCTTCCACAAAAATTAACTCACAATGAATGACAGACCTAAATGTAGAATGCAAAGCTGACCTCTACAAGATAACCCGGGAGAAAACACAGGTGACCTTGGGTCTGGCAGTGAGTTTTCAGACATGACACCAAAAGCATGCTCTATAAAGAAAAAGTTGGTGAGTTGGGCTTCGTTAAAATGAAAAACAGGGCCTCCCTGGTGGTGCAAGGGGTTAAGATGCAACCTATGAAGCTATTGGCAGCCACTGCAGCACAAGTTCGATCCCCAGCCAGGGAGCAACCCACATGGCACGGCAGACCTCTCCTGTCTCGCCCGCTGCTCCCCTTAGCAGTGTATTTCATCAGTCTGCCTGTTCTGTTCCCCGTTCTGTCTTTGGTGAATCCTCTCACCCCCTCCCCCGCCCCACACACCTCTGGCCTGTACCCCAGTTCTTGTATGCATAAATAAATAAATCTTTAAAAAAAAAATGAAAAACATGTACAGTGTCTGCAAAAGACACTGCTGAGGAAGTAAGATGACACAGCAGACCTCTCCCTGCTGCTCCCCACAGACCAGGAGAAAATCTCTGCAAAGCACCCATCTAAGAAAGGACTCGTATTCAAAGCATACCAAAAACAAACAAAACACTTGAAGCTCAAAAAATAAGAACGCCAGGCCTCCCTGGTGGCCTGGGGGTTGAGTCTCAGCGCTATCACTGCTAGGGCCTGAGTTCAATCCCCGGCCAGGGAGGTGACCCACATGGCACAGCAGACCTCTCCTGTCTCCCGCTGCTCCCTTCAGCTGTGTATTTCAGTAGATTCGCCTGTTCTGCTCCCTGCTCTGTCTCTGGTGAGTACTCTCACCCCTGCACCTCTGGCTTGCACCCCAGTCCTTCTACACAAAAAATAAACTCCTAAAAAAAAGCCAGTTAAAAATGGGCAAAATACCTGCACAAATAACTCAGCAAGACAGGCAGGTGGAAAATGAAGATATAAAAAGATACTTAATCTCATCTCATTAGGATGTTGTAAATTAAAACAAGATGTCATTACACACCTATTAGAATGACAAAAATCCAAAACCCAACTGCTGATGAGGAAGCATAGCAATAGGGACACATTTGTGGCTGATGGGAAGACAAAACATTACAGCCACTTTGGAAAAACAACTTGGCATGTTCTTACAAAACTAAGTGTAATCTTACCATATGATCCAGTCCCTGTGCCCTCAAGTATTTACCCAAATGAATCACAAATTTATGTCCACATGAATGTTTACAACAGCTTTACTCATAACTGTAAAAAAACACAGAAGCAACCAAACGCCCCTCAATATACAAATAGACAAATACAATGGGCTATTGTTCAGAGATAAGGTTAGCTAGATTCCAAATCTTCTAGAAGAAAACACAGAGAGAAACCTTAACACTAGAGTCAGCAATGATTTCTTGGATATGTCAACAAAAAGCACCGGCAACAAAAGCACATTCGGGGCCTCCCTGATGGCGCAAGGGGTTAAGCATCAGCACTATGAAGCTGTCTGCAGCCACTGCAGCACGAGTTCAAGCCCCAGCCAGGGAACTGAACCCACATGGCACAGCAGACCTCTCCCTGCTGCTCCCCTCAGCAGTGTATTTCAGTCAATTCGCCTGTTCTGCTCCCAACTCTGTGTCTGGTGAATCCTCTCACCACCCCCCACCTCTGGCCTCTTCCCCAGTTCTTGCATAAATAAATAAATAAATAAATAAATAAATAAACAAAGCTTTTTTAAAAAAAAAGCAAAATCGACAGATGGGGGCAATGTTGGGACAGAAACTATGTTGCTGCTTTGTTGCCAGAATGAGGGCCACAGCAGTTGTGGAGCAGGTTTGCAAGGCAAGATGCTGCCAGTCGAGCAGAAGTTCTTGTGCCATTTATTGAAATCCTACAGGCTAATAAAAGCTGACTGACGTGCGACAATGGCATGAGGAATAGGGTCTGGAGGGTGGGACAGGAATGGGGGACAAAGCTTTCCAAGGGAGAGGGAAGGGGACACTGTGACCATGCATCAAGAGACAAGTATGATGTCAAGAGAGCAGAGTATGATGCTATTGCAGGCAGAGTTATCCCGAGACTGCCGTGGAGACAGTCACGTAATCAGGTCAACAGCAGCCTGGGTATCCCAGGGATTTGTAGATAGCAAATAGGTCACAGTTGCCTGTGAATGGCCAGCTCATAGGAACCCATGGGACAAAATCACATTTAAATTTTGCTCATCAATAAAGAGAAGTGGGCCTCCTTAGTAGCGCAGCGGTTGAGCGCTGGGTTGTGAAGCTGCCCGCAGCCTCTGCAGCGCCGGTTCGATCCCCGGCTGCTGCCCGGCCACTGGAGGAGGGTCCCACATGGCGCGCAGACCTCTCCTGGCGCCCGCTGCTCCCCTCAGCAGTGTACTTCGGTCCTTCTGCCTGCTCTGCTCCCCGCTCTGGCTCTGGTGAATTCTCTCACCCTCCCGCGCTTCTGACTGTACCCAGTGCTTGTATAAATAAATAAAAATCTTAAAACAAAACAAAACAAAACAAAAAAACCCAGAAGCATCAGAGTAAAAAGGCCATTTACAGAATGGATAAAACACTTGCAAGTCCTATATCCAATAAGGTCATTTGGGCTAATGCCTTGAATACATAAAGAGCTCTACCCTCCAGCAACAGAAATAATCAAATAACCTGACTTGATGTGATCCTGGTGAAAATTCCAGCAAGTTATTCTGTGGATATTTTTTCTTTTCTTTTTTTTTAAAGATTTATTTATTTATGCACATAAGAATGGGGGTACAGGCCAGAGGTGTGAGGGGGTGAGAGGACTCACCAGAGACAGAGTGGGGAACAGAACAGGCAGATCTACTGAAATCCACTGCTGAGGGGAGCAGCAGGGAGACAGGAGAGGTCTGCCGTGCCATGTGGGTAGCTCCCTAGCTGGGGATCAAACTCGTGCTGCAGTGGCTGAGGTTAGCTTCATAGGTTGCTTCTTAAGCCCTTGCGCCACCAGGGAGGCCCTATTCTGTGGATATTGACAAACTGATCCTCGCCCTTAGGCAAAGGCTCAGAGTGGTTAACACATTATTAAAGAGAAACAAAACTTGGATAGATGTTTCTCCAAAGATTACAAACAAATGGCCAACAAGCACAGGAAGGATGTTCAGCATCTGTAACAGTCAGAGAAACATGAATTGAAACCACGGTGAGGGGTCACCCCATTCACCCCCAATGGCTACTGGCAAAAACCAGACAAGGACAAGGCTGGGAGGGTGTAGAGAAGGCAGGAGTCTGCACATGGCTGGGGATGTGCAATGCTGTGGAAAACAGCATGAAAAGAATTAAAAATAAAAAACAGGATTATCATATGATGCAGTGATTCCCCTCTAGGAACAGCCAGAAGGGAAAGTGGGGTTGTGAGAGCCGCACCTGCACGCCCACGTTCACACAGCGTTACTGGAAATGGCCAGGACGGGGAAGCGACCCATGCCCGCTGGCCTGGGCAGGCAGGCCACAGGTGCTGTGTCCCACGGGACAGTCTTCAGCCTTAAAAAGGAGGGAAATTCTGACACTTGCTGCAGGTGGACGAATGCTGGGGGCATGAGGACAAGGAAGTCAGCCGGACAAGAAAGGACAAGCAGCGTGGGTTCCACTGCGTGATGCCCAGGCAGGAGGAGGTGGCGGGGCGGCGGGCAGGGCAGGCGGAAGATGCTGCTGGACGAGGCCGTTTCAGCCCTGGGGACAAAAGGGTCCCGGAAGCCCAGTTCACGGCGATATTAGCAGTTGGTTAGCATCGCTGAGCTGCATGCTAAAAATGGTTAAAATGGTCCATTTTGTGGGGCCTCCCCGGTGGCACAGGCGGTTGAGCGCCGCACTGTGAAGCTGTCCACAGCCTCTGCAGCGCGGGTTCGATCACAGCCAGCTGGTGAGAATGCCACATGGCGCAGCAGACCTCTCCTGTCTCGCCCGCTGCTCCTCTCAGCAGTGTATTTCAGTCAGTCTGCCTGTTCTGCTCCCCACTCTGTCTCTGGTGAATCCTCTCAACCTCCTGTACATCTGGCCTGTACCCCGGTTCTTGTACAAATATAAATCTTAAAAAAAAAAAAAAAAAAAAAGATGGTCCATTTTGTAAGTGTTTCTTATAAGAGAGAAAAACATTTGGAGGGAGCGGAAGTGCCGGCTGCTAAGCAAAGGAGCCAGGCTGGAGAGGCGGGGCCCTGTGGACTGCAGCTAAGGACTCCAAGGAAAGGGAGGGCCATGTGGCCAGGCCGGTAGTGCCAAGGCTTTGGGGTGGCGGGGGCGAGTGGAGGGTGGGGCGCCTTTTGGGAGGGAGCCCATTCTGCATGGGCAGTAAAGACGGGTCCATGACGCCACGTGTAGGTGCAGCCCAGAGGGGACATGACCTCAAGCGTGATCCTGCCACGCTGGGGCCAGAGGCCATCACAGGGACGGCGAGGGCCGGGGGTGCTCCCTGTCCTCACTTCATGTTTCCACCCCACCCTGGGGTGTCTGGGATACAGGCACAGCCAACAGTCCCCAGTGAGGGCTGCACCCCCGAGGCGGCACAGGAAGCTTCAGGAGTAAAGTGGACCCCAAGCTGAGCCTCGAAGGACAAGAGGCGCCAGTGTTGGGAAGGGAAAGGCATTCGAGGCAGGTGGAACTGCAAGAGCAAAGGGTGAGGCACAGCGGCTGGTGTGTGGTGCGAGGGGCTGCGGCGGTGGGAACGCAGGGGCAGTGGGCGAGCACATGGCCCACGAGGGAGGGACCTTGAAAGCCAGGTCTCCCCAACACCCCCTGGAGGGGCCCCAGGCTCCATGGGGCCCCCCGCCAGTGCCTTCCCAGGGGGTTCACGGGGCACATATTCACGGCAGCAGCAGGCACAGCCCAGCACTGCTATGGGTTCCACTCAGCTTCCTGGCGTCAGGTTCAGGGCAGCTGAGGGATAAGTCAGATGAGAAGGGGGAAGGACAGAGAAGGACAGAAACGGGACAGCAAGGGGCGGGGGACAAATACAGACAGGAGACACAGCAAGGAACAGGGGAGCCGCTGGACCAAGGGCTGGAAGCGGCTCTGGGCTGTACCCCAGCGAGAGCTAGGATCCATGACGCACGCAGGAGCCCAAGAAGCTGGCAGCCATGGCCACTCTGCCCGGCCCACTGAGGTGACCTGAGCGGGAGCACCAGCCCACACGGTCAGCCAGGTGACCTGGGCAACCCCTGCCCTGGCAGGAGAGCGGCCACCTCCCAAGGTCAGTTCCTGGCACACGGGGCACCGAGTGCAGTAGCTGGACGTGGGGTCCAGGGCAGGGTTCAGACTGGGCATGGAGGCTGGCCTGGCCCTGAGGGGCCACAGAGCCCTGGAAGAGGAGGGCACGGGACTGTGAGGCGCTGTCCTCACCTGGACCCCAGCGCCACGGACCGCCCGGCACCGAGCACAGCCATCCGTGAGGCCAGCGCGCCCCCTGGTGGCCGCCCGCCCGGTCTCAGCCCAGCGGCTGGAGCCCAGCAGGAAGGGGCTGGGGGCCCAGGGTCCTGGGAGCAGAGCTGCTGTGAGGCAGGTCTGGGGTCACAGCCAGGCAGGCAGCAAGGTTTTCCCTGCGGGGAGGAAGAGGCTGCGGGGAGGGGAGGAATCAGGCAGCCCTGTGTGCAAACCCTGCCCACTGCCCAGTGCCCACGAGGGGTCAGGCTCCCCACTGCTAAGAGTGGGACACCCACTGACTCTCCAACAGTTCAAGACAAATCTTGGGCACCTCCAGTTGGCCTGGTCACGGGGCAAGACCCTCCCACACCGTTCCAAGGGCCCTGGCATTTGACACACCCAGGATGCAAGAACCTCCCCTTTGCAGCAGCAGCAGGCACAGGACCGTGGTGCCCACCAGCACACACTGACAGGTGAGTGTGGAGACGATGCTCAGGGGTCACCTGAGCACACAGGCCGAGACCGGGCCAGGAGTGCAGCTCTGCTCACCCGCGCGGAGACCCACCCAGGAAACCGCACTTCTCCCCGCCGCTGTGACCTGAGGCCCTCCGGGTCCAGAGCACACAGTCCCGCCTGAGCTGTGTCCTGGTCACACACCTCGCCCTCCCGACACCAACAACAGGGAGGACACGCTGTCTTACACACACACACACACACACACACACACACACACACACACACACACGCTCCACCTGGCTCCCCAGCCCCCAGCCCCAGAACCCCACAGGTGGCTTCCTCGCTTTCCACTGCCCGTCATGTGGTGCTTCAGGCCCCCGTGTACCCCAAAGGTCCTGGAGACCATCTACATCCCAAATCCAACAGAAGTGTCTTCTGTCTCTCATAGACTCTTCCCTGTGCCCCCACCACCTCCCTGGGGGTCCTCTTGCCTGCGCTCTCGGGTATAGATGCCCAGGCCTGTGCCAGCCTCCTTCCTCCCCGCAGCTCCTCCACCCCCTCCTCAGCACCCCTCACCATCCCGCTGGGAGCCCCCCACCCCTCTGCAGGCCCCACAGACATAGAGACCACGCCACCTTTCCACCTGGCACCAGAAGCTGCCCCAGCCCTAGCCACAGCTGACACCTCAGCTGGGATGTGGGTCCCCCCCAACCCGGACCAGGTGCCCAGGGCCAGTGGGGCACACGCCGGCCTTCACATGAGCCCCCAGGCCTGGTCCCAAGGTGGGGTGGGGGGCATCCAGGTGCAGATGTGAGCCAGAAGGGGTGAGGGCAGCTGAGGTGGGGGCTCACAAGCCGCGGGCCCCACAGGCATTCAGGGCTCGCCACCCGTGCTCACCACCCACCTGCTTACCTTGCACGCCGTGCCCACAAGGGCTCCGTCCCGGCTCCAGACAGCAGCCTGCACCAGGTCTCTGTGGGCTGCCAGTTCTGCGGAGAACAGGCAAGGTCAGGTGGGGGCTCAGGGACCCCCACCCCGCGCTGGGGGACAGGGCAGCCTTGGGGCAGCCGCTGGCAGAGGCAGAAGGAAAGTCTCCCTCGGGCGGGAGGAGGAAGGGCTCTCCCTTCAGCCGCAGCCTCCCCAAGCGCCCTCTCTTCAGCCCAGCTTTCACCCCAGCCCAGGCTCACCTCCCATGCCCGGCCTGGGACTCTGCTCTGCAGTCCTGCCAACCCCCTAGGGTGCCGAAGATGTTTAAACGTGCCCACAAATTCTTTGACACCCCTGTTACAGGTCAAATCGTGCCCCAACCCCAAAGACGATGAAGTCCAGGCCCTCAGCCCCCGTTAACAGGTGGAAGCAGGCTCTCTGCAGACGACCTCGTTAGGTGAAGCGGTGAGGGTGAGTGGACCCCCCACCCGGAAGCACCGGGGTCCCAGCAGAAGCGACACAGGGTGGATACAGACACGCAGAGGGAAGACAACTGAGATGAGGAGGCGACGGCACCAGGCCGGCAGGCAGCGGAGCGCCCCAGGTGGCAGACGGCGGGAGAGGCCCCCTCTGGGCCTCAGAAAGAACCACCCCGGCTGACACCTGACTTAAGCTTCTCGTTTTAAGCCACCGTTGGTGCCATTTTCTCGCAGCACCTGTGGGGAGGGCGCACATCCCGCCTTCACCCTGGGGCCCACTGGAGCGGAGCAGGATGCGTCCCCGGCTCTCACAAGACAACATGGCAGCAGCGGAGGCACGTGACTAACAAGGCTGGGTCTTGGTGGAGTGGTGGCTCCCCCCAGCCCCGCCCCCCCAGACTGCTCACCAGGGGAAGGGGTGGCCATTTGGAGAGGGCACCCCACACACGGTCCTTCTGGGGACCAGACTCTTGACCTCAGAAACTGCGAGGGGACAAGAGTGTACAGTGGTTCCCAGCTCTACATTTTGGGGCGCTTTGTTCCTCGGGAGTAGAGAACCTTTACACCGCCACCTACTGCACAATCCACAATGTTATTCTACCTCCTGTCACAGAAATGGCCGCACACCGAGGACCAGCGTTGACCTGTGAAGCCCGGCACGGTGCACGTGGCACACGAGGCCATGTGGAGGTGGCGGCAACCGCTGGGAGGCACCAGGGCTCCCTGGGGCAGTTCGTGACCCTGTGACACAGGACGTGGGGGGCACTGGCTGAGCTCCCAGCAGCTGCTGCGCCAGGTGGGAATCCCTGAGACACCCAGGCAGGCCACTGACGGCCCCTGGGCCAGCCCCGAGCAGCAAGTCCTGAGCCTCCTGACTTTACCCCAGAAAGGGGTGAGCATGTCAGGGAGGGCTCTGTGGGGAGGACCCAGGGACCCGGCCACAGTAGCAGGTGTAACGGTAGGGGCGACGGTTCAGAAGCACGGAGGGAAGACAGCGAAGTGAGGTGAAACAGGTATTCACAGAGAGGGCAGGTACTGGGGAGCAAACGACGAGCCTTGGAGAATCTCATCACTTTTTATGCTGCCCACACGTGACTCCTGGATGCACACGTTAGGATTCACATCCCCTGAACACTGGCAGTGAGGCCTACCTGAGAGAGGCTGGCGCCTCGCCAAGTCCCACACCTTCACGGCCGGGCCGGCCGCACTCACCAGGACGCCGTCTGCAGTGGGGTGGAACTGCAGCACCTCCACCTGCACGGCCTCCGGGCCCAGCACCAGGCCTGGCTGCGTGGGGAGGGCCTGGCCAGGGGCCGGCAGCCGCCACAGTTTCACCTGTAAGAAAGGCAATGGCCATGACCCCAGGGCCGGGGCCTTGTCTCCCCTCCCAGCCAGCCCTGCCCAGGGACTGCCCCGCCCCAGCGTCGCCCTCAGGCACGGAGCAGAGGGTCCTGGGTTGGGGACCCAGCACAGGGTCACGGGGTGCAGGTAGAGGCTGGGGGAGACACGGGACCCCCCACACCACCCCACCCCACAGCCCCACAGCCGAGCAGCAGCTCACAGCACACTTCAGGTTGAGGAACTCAGGGCGAGGCTGGCCCTGGAGGAGGCAGGGTCTTGGGCAGCTCAGCAGCCGCCCACTCACCGTCCTGTCGGCGGAGCCTGTGGCCAGGAGGAAGTCATCAAAGGGAGAGAAGTCCAGGTCCGTGACCAGGTCTGTGGGAGAGGAAGACTATCAGCCCGCCGCATGCCCTGCTTCTGCCCGGCACGTGATCTCCCCAAGGCCTCTGCCCCAAGCCCTGGGGCTTCTGAGGCAGCATCCACCTACACAGGACGGGCTGAGCCCCCCAGTCAGGGGCACCTCTGAAGCCCCGGGCCAAGGCCACAGGCCCCACCTGCGTCCTGAGCTCCGCGAGTCAGACTCGGCGGCCAAGGGCCGTGGTCAGGGGGCAGCAAGACAACGGGCAGGCTGACATCTAGGCACCTGTATTCACCCAAAATCCAGAGCCCAGCTCAGGCCTGACCCTCAAACGTGCGACTGAACATGGACTCCAGCCACTATGAGCCCAAAGGGACTCACAGACACCACCCAGGCCTGACGAACCCCCAGAGCCTCCTCAGGGAGACATCTCTATGCAGACTCAGGGAGACAGTTGTGCCTGCAGGGGTGACCGCAAGGTCAGGGGTCAGCGTAGGCCTCATGGGGGGGGGGCATGGTGGGCTGTGGAGGACTGGAAAGTTAAGTGGCCGGGGGTGGGAGGTGTTTCTCCTCCTGTGGAAATGGCCCAACCCATAAAGAGAGTCTCCCGAAAGCCAGGGTGGGCAGACCCGTCTACGGGAGCACAACTGACCCAAACCGGGGTAGCCAGTTCCCTCTGAAGAGCACTACCTGGGATGGAAAGGCCCAGTGACAGGGCGCCAAGGGGCTGGCCAGGGTGGAGGGCGGCCAGCTGGGAGGGAGCCAGCAGCTCCCAGGCCCGCCCTCCTCAGCCCATATGTCCAACTGCTGCTTCAGTTCTGGAAGTGCCCCAAGAATCTCCAGTACGTTCCTCTTTGGCTTAGGCAAGTTGGAGTCAGTTCTTTCGGACCAGAGAACCCGAACTGCTCAACGCGGGAGGACTTGGGAGCAGGGAAGCGGGGGTCTCCAGGGGCGGAGACAAGTCCAAAGCTCAGGTGTGGGGGCACAGGGGAGGTGGGCAGGATCACCAGGCCTGCACCACCCAAATGACGGTCTCCACCCCCCACCCCACTGTGGGGTCAGGGGAGTTCCCCACTAGAGGAGACCAGGAGAAGGGGTGTCAGGGACCGGAACCCTTGGGGCCACCCCCACCACCCTCCTGCGGGCTCCTCACTGGACAGGCAGGGACCAGGCCAGACGCAGCAGCAAGGTGGTCGATCAACCGGAGTGTCCAGCTGTCCCCTTTCCATGCATCTGCCCACCAAATCCTCACCACCACCCCTCAGGACAGCGCCCCATTATCAACCCCAACTGGAGGATGAGAACGTGAGGAGGGAGAAGGAAAGCCATGGCCCAGAGCCGCAAAGTTGAGCAGAGCTGGGCTGAGGCTCCAGTCTGGGCCGTCCAGTTCAGACTGGCCTTAAGACCTTCCCCAGGTGGGGCAGGTCCCGTGACCCCAGCCCAGACATGCAGAAATGCTCTCTAGAGGCTGCCCAGCCCTCTGCTACCCAGGATGCTTGGTCCCGAGCCAAGAGGTGAAAGGAACCCCCAAAGGCAGGAAGCCCCCAAGACAGGGCAGCAGCCAGAGCCTGGCCCACAGGTCCCGACCACAGAGCACCTACTAGGGAGGAGGGTGCCAAGCTCTGGGGAGTGGATGGAGCCCCCGGGAAGCTACCACCTGCCAAGGCAGCCTGGCCCAGCTTCTATTTGGAGCCCCCTAGTAGCAAGGGTCCCCCACCTTGCAAACATCACCAGCATGGGGCAGCATCCCCTCCCGTGAAGAGCATCAGGCAGCAAGGGCACAAGCACAGTGGCAGGATGCGGCGTTAGAGCCACTCTTCCAGGCCCAGGGCCAATGCCATGAGGTCCTGATTATCCGAGCCTCGGCTTTTTTGGCTGAAAAACTGGTTCCTTTAAAACCCACTTTCTAAAGGTGTGGGAGCAGGTGAGACAGACTCCCCGTCCACACTTCAACATAGAGGGATCAACAAACAGGATGAAAGAAATGCTCTGATGGAAGTCGCTGGACTTGAGACCATGGTGCAGTCACATGGGTGAGGGATCAAGAGAATGCCCGTCTACACAGCAGGAACCTGCACACGTTCTCTGTGAGGGCAAGGCGGGAAATGCCGGGGCCCTGATGACCATCCCTTCTCTGTCCCCACAAGGCTGGGAGCCGGTGGAGAGGTGTGGCCATGTGCCTTGAAAACTACCTTTGAAGACAAGCGGGCAGCAGGCCGGGCCTGGCCACTCAGCTCACAGCCCGGCTCCCGGGCAAAAAGGCGGCTGCAGGGCCGGAGCTGCACACGGATGAGCCACAAAGGGACCCAGGGCCTCTGGGGAGTCTTTTGGGGTAGTGGAAATGTTCTACAGCTGGATGGTGGAACACACAACCCCAGAACTTGGGCAAAAGCCATCACATCCTCCACTTGAAACCAGAAGTTTAGTGGTATAGAAATAACAGCTCAATAAGGGTGCCGTAAAGAGTTTTGAAAAAGGGGTCCTCCCTGGTGGCGCAGGTAGTTGAGTGCTGTGAAACAGTTCGCAGCCTCTGCAGCGCAGGTTTGATCCCAGCCAGCCGGTGAGATACCCACATGGCGCGGCAGACCTCTCCTGTCTCCCCACTGCTCCCCTCAGCAGTGTATTTCGTCCATCTGCCTGTTCTGTTCCCTGCTCTGTCTCTAATGAATCCTCTCACCCTCCCGCGCACCTGGCCTGTTCCCCAGTTCTTGTATGCATGAATAAATAAATCTTTAAAAAAAAAAAAAGAGTATTAAAAAAAAAAAAGTTTTGAAAAAGGATAGAGAAGACGCAGGCAACCACTGAGCACATACTGAGTTTGTGCTCAGTCTTCACTCCTGCTACTCATCACGCCATGGTCACCAGACACCTGTGGCCCCCGAGGAGCCATATACCCAGCCAGGGACCCAAGGGGCAGCCGGGAGGGCAGGCCAGGGGGGTGGGCCCGCCGCCACTGGACAGGGAGCAAGGAGGCAGCCTGGCTGACGCTGGCACTGCCCAGCCCAGAGAGAGCCAATGGTTCCTCCCGGTGGGCTGGCTGCCAGGCAGGCTCCCAGCGCCCCCAAGAAGCAGCTGCAGGGGACAAAAGCTCTCTTTGTGAGTCCCCGTCTCTAGCCCTGCAGACCAGCCAGCTCCCTCCTGGGCGCCCTGGAGAGGACCCGGGGGAAGAACCCCGTCAGTGGAGGTCTCCGGCAGCAAGGCCAGCATCATCCTAGAGCCTGGCTTGGGCTAGCTCCCTCCTTCCAGTGGGGTGGCCTGGAGCCGCCAGCTTCCCTCTCCCTGCCCAGGCCAGCACGCTTAAGCAGGACCCAGCCTTTCAACGGGGCCTGGTGAGGATGACAAAGCCCCGAAGAGGGGAGAGTCCCAGGCTTCCTGGCTGCGGCCCCCACTCACCTGAATGGCAGCCTAGGCTGGTCACATGTCCCTTGTGCTCTCCCTGGCCGTCCAGAGGCACGATGCCCAGCACACCTGTGAGACAAACACGGGGGCTCTAGTTTCAGACCCAAGAGCGGCCATCTGCCACCCAGGTCTCCCAGGGGAGATGAACCCACCCAACCCCACCGTGGACCTTTCCAGAGCCCCCACTGAGCGTAAGATCGTCCCTCTGTGCAGAGTGACTGGCCCAGGCTTAGGGGCGTGCTAAGAAGTTGTATCTTTCTGACATTGGGGGTCATAAGAGGTCAGTATGGGCCACCTCCTGCCACTTTTCTCAGCTTCCCTGAGAAAGAAGACATTACCCAAGAGCTGAAGGACAGGAGAGGTTGGGGCTGGCTTTAGGCGGGTGCCTCTGGATACAGCGTTGCCCAAAACCCCTGTACTTTGTCATACAAGCCAAAGAGGTCTCATCTTTGCTGAAGTCAGTTCCAGTCTGAGCTATGCCCAGCAACCAAGAATCGCAATTAACACAGGGAACCTTTCAAATCTTTGTAACCCCACTGACCCAGGCACCCCACACCCCCAGGGAGGCATGGGTAGCACATGGGACAACTGGAAATAAAGGGAACTGCCCCACGCCACCCTCCTGGGCATGCTCTCAAAGACCACGGCCAAAGTGAAGCTGACCTGATTGCTGCCCCTTGACCAGCTAGCAGGGGTTTAAGCACCGGCGTGGTACTGACCCCTGAGCCCCAACAGGCCACCCCCAAGCCTCCAGCCTGTGATGAGCCGGCCCGTCCATCCACCCACCCAAGTGACAACGTCTGAATCGCCGTCCTACCTGCACGGTCAGAGTTGAACGCAATCAGGCTGCAGCTTGACTTGATCTGGTTCCCGCAGGAGGGGGCGGTTCCTGCATGAATGTCACTGATCCAGGCCTGAAAATAAAGAATGAGAAGCCGTGACAGGCAGGTCTCTGCAGCGTCTAAAGCAGGGGTGAGGCATAATCCGGGAACTAACTCTACCTAAAAGCTGCACCATTCCCTGCCCCTACTCACAGCTCCCTAGAAAATGCAGAATGTTCTTGAAGTGATAACCTAAGTCATTAAGGAGCCAAGTGGGCCTTTTTTTTTTTAAAAAAGATTTATTTATTTATACAAGAACTGGGGTCCAGGTCAGAGGCACAGGAGGGTGAGAGAATTCACCAGAGAGAGTGGGGAGCAGAAGAGGCAGATGGATTGAAGGCACTGCTGAGGGGAGCAGCGGGCGAGGCAGGAGAGGTCTGCCGCGCCCAAGTGGGCCTTTTAATTTCGTTCTCTTTAATAAGTGGGGAAAGGTTTTCAGAAGGAAGCTCAGGCCGTGCCAACCCAAGAGGCTAACGGGGCAGTGTGTACACACACGTATGTGCTGGGGTGGGGGTGGGGGTTGCATGTTTCTGTTAAAAGGGAGAGAAAAGAGAAGTAAGTCCCTGAGGCAGGACACGGACTCCACTTCCTTACCGTACTGGTGGGATCCACCGCAGAGGCCTCCGTGAGCCCCAGGCCAAGAGCGCCCAAGCTCAGAAAGGGGGGAAAATCAAGGGCCCAGAGGTGGGTGCACGGCCCACCATAAGGAGCAAAGTCCACAGCCCGCCACGGGCAGCAATGGAGCGCTGAAACTTTCCTGAGACTGAGGCCATCAAGATCCAAATGTTTTCTCTCCTGGTATCGGAGCCCCACGCAACACTCCTTCCTGCCACCCAAAACCGACACCCTCACTTCCTAGTCGACGTCCCTCACCCCCAGCCTCCCGGAAACCACCTCCACTGCAGAGTTTCTATTTCGATATTCACCGGCCATGGGTAGAATATTAGTTTGCGTTTCTGTCCCCTCCTGATCCGTGTCTCCTCTGCAGACACAGTGACAGGCACAGCTTGGCCCATCTCCTCACAAAAACCAGTTTGAGCTCTTCCCTGAAATCTGGGGTTCCAGGACCATCTGTGTTCCTAGCTAGCTTGAGGCACACCAAGAACAAGCCCCAGGACCCCTGGGGAACACTCCAGACTCTCCACGCAGTACTTGTCACCCTCAGAGTCACTGTCGTAAAGCAAACCTAAGCCACTCTCTGCCGACCCCTCCAACCTTTCACTGACACCCTCCTGCGCTCAGAATAAAACCCAAACTCTCCGTGTGGCCCTCGGGCTCTGCAGAACTGCTCCAGACTCATCAACACCATGCTGCCCCATCACCACCCGGCGGCGCCCTGAGCTCCTTTTCCTTCCTCCACCAGGCTCTTTCCCACCCCAGCCTGCCCACAGCTGGCTGCTTCTCACCCTTTTTGTCTCAGCTTAAATGTCACCTCCTGCAGGCAGCCCGCCCTGACCACCCCATTGAGATTAGCAGCCGCCTGGACATGCTATCCACCTCCACCTCCAGGCTCGCCCCTCCTGTGTCCCTCAGCACACTTATTAAAACCCGCAGTGCCCGGCGGGCCTGGCGTCTCCCTCAGCAGCAGGCTCCTGAGGAGGAGCCTGCCTGCTCCGGGGGAGCTGCCTGCTCACCCCTGCAGTCCAGCAGCTGACCCAGCGAACCCGGGTGCGGGGGGAAACTGTCCCAGGCTGCGGCTGTTCCTCGGCTCTCCGCGGGGTCCCTGGAGGGCGGTTCTAGGCCCCGTTGCCGGAGAACTCCCGCCGGCCCCCGGACACGGGCGGAGGAGCCGGCACGGCCGCCCTCCGCGGAGACACGCCCCTCCTCAGCTGCCTCTCCGGGGGTGCGGGGGTCCCCAGCACCGGCTCGGCTCCCCCTCCGGGCTCCACCTGCTCGGGCTCCGCCGGGCCCCACCCAGCCCGGCAGCATCACCCCGAGTGGGCGAGGAGCTCGCGCCGGCCGCGGGAGGAAGCGCCAGCGGAAACCCGAGGGAGGGGCGCGCCCCGGCCGAGGGGCTCCCCGCGACCCCCCGACTCGCAGCGGCCTGGGGAGGGCATCTCCCCAAGCCCGGCCCGGCCCGGGCGGGGGCGGGGGCGGCGGCCGGGGGGCGGCGGCCGGGGGGGCGTCCCGGCAGCGCCCGCCCCGCGGCCCCGAGCCGGCGGACCGGAAGCCGGGAAGGCGGCAGCCGGGGCTCGGGCCCCCCGCGGCCGGCGGCGCCCCTCGGGGGTCCCCGGGGCGGGCCCGCTGACCCCCGGCCCCGGGCGGCCGGAGCCGGAGCTGCGGCTCCGCCCGCGGACGGGGCGCGACGGCCGGGCGGGCGCGGGCGGGGCCGGGGGGCGCCCCGGGCGGGCGGGCCGGGGTCCCCGGGGCGGAGGGGGAGGGGCGGGCGCGGCGCGGGCGGGCGGGGCTCACCTCGCGGCGGGGCGGCCGGGCCTCGGCGTGCCGGAACTTGGACGCCCTGAAGCGGTTCATGGCGGCGGCGGCTTCGCGGACCCGCGGCGGCCTCAGGTGCACGGGCCGCGCCAAGACTCCGGCCCCCGCCCGCCCGCCGCGGCCCGCCGCCCGCCGCCGCCGCCGCCGCCACGCCCCGCGCCGCCGCGGCCAATCGCCGCCTGCTCCGGCCCGCCGGCCCCGCCTCGGGCCCCGCCCCCGGCCAATCGCCGCGCGGCCGCCTCTCGAGGCCACGCCCCGCGGCCAGAGGGCCCCGCGCGGGTGGGTCACGTGCCGCGCAGCTGTCCGCCCCGGCGCCCGCGGGCCTCGTGTGCGGGGCGGTGCCCCGGGGCCCCGCGAGGAGCGGGGCGCGCCCTTCCGCACCCCAGCTCCGGGGGAGGGCGAGGCGGAGATGCGCCGGCGCCGTGGCGGGGACGGGGACCGGCTCCCGGAGCCCGAGCCGCCCGCCGGTCGCGCCGCACAGGTCGCGAGTGACCGCGGGGCAGGAGCCCCATCCGCGGGCGGGGCCCCCGAGAGCCCCACCCGCCCAGTGGGGAGCCTGGGGAGCCTCGACACCCCTTGTTAGGGCGCGTCATGGCCGCAGGCCCCGGGGGCAGCCGGGGCGGGGGGTCAACGTGGGCGCGCGCAGGTGGGAGGAAAGGGCCGCGGACGGGGCGACCGGACCTCCTCGCGGGCAGGTGCGCCCGACGGGCCCTGCGTGGTCCCCGGGCGGCTCCGGCGGGGGGAGCGCCGGGCAGGGCCGCTCCCCTGGAGCCCTCCACCCCGCAGGCCCTGCCCGGGCCTCCTCCGCCTGAAGCTGGCGCCCTGGCTGCGGAACACGCTTTCTCGTGAAAAGAGAAGGAGCCCCTGCCCAGGCGTGTCTCCTAAAGCGACTTTGACCTGAGGAATGCCAGCTGCTGTGAGCATTCCTTTTTCACAGCCTCATGCAGCCCGCGTCACCCGAGGCAGAACCAAAGGCGGGTCAGGGTACAGGCATGAATGGACCTCAAAAGGCAAGTTCTTGCATCACTTCTCACAGATAAGCTGTGAGGACCCAAAGGCTACTCCCCAGTATTACCCTAAGGCAGATAAGAGCCGGAAACTAAAGGTCAGTAGAGCTAAGGGAGTTGGGATTCTAAGCGTCCTGCCGCCCCTCCCCTGCCCCCACTCCCTCCGAGGCCAACCCCCTCCACACCCCACCCAGAACGCCTCCCGCCCACTCCCCCGTCCCTCAGCACAGCTTGCCCTGGGCAGGAAACTCCAGAGGCAAGAATTCCAGCAGCTTCGGAAAAGGGGCCTCCCTGCCTTCTGAAGTTGGTTAGGTAAGCAATTAATGGAGCTTTTTTATTTGGGGGGGGGGACCATAAAATTTACCATTTTCAAGTGCACTGTTCCCTAGCGGTAAGGAGGTAAGGAAGGTATTGTGCAACAGCCAGCCAGATGCAACACTGAGACTCTGTACCCATTAAATAACAGCTCCGCCTCCTTCCCCTGTCACACCAGTGCCTTCTGTAGGTGGAATCATCATGCACGCCATTCCTCTGTGCCTGACTTTGCTCTTTTTTTAAGATTTATTTTTATTTATTTATGCATACAAGAACCAGAGTGCAGGCCAGAGATGGGGGGGGGGTGGGCCTGTGCTGGGACAGGTGATTGGCTTTCCACTAACTAACGGGCTGGTGGGAGCACAGTAGGACATCAGCTTCCCAGTGCCCATGGAGACCAGCCTGAGCTCCCAGCAGGGGACCAGGACGGACCAGAGGAACATCTAGGCCTAGACCATCTCCCGTGGTCCCAATCCCTCTAACAACACCTTCCATCCTGCAGGCAGTGGTGAACCTGGGCAGCGCGAGTTACTTGGTGACCTGCAAGGCTGAACTGCAGCCTTCGTCCCAATCCCACGAGTCGATGAATAACCACCTTTGATGTTTATGTGCCACATAGCTCCCTCCACTTGTCTGTAAGGACACTGCAAGATACCTCTCTACCCTGAAAGGCAGTCCAGCAAGATGAGGAGGCCTTGGGGGTTGGTGGCTGGCAGAATGGCTTCAGCCCTACAGCCCGTTTCCAAAAATAGTAACAATAAGAACATGGGAGTCCATGGGAGTGAAGTTCTCATTCTATGAAACTCAAGACATGTGACTGCAGAAGGGACATCAGCTGTAAGAAAAGGGACCAGTGAGAAAGACCGGGGCAAAAACCCACACAGGGGATTTCAAGAGCCTCAGGATGCTCCTTTAGTTCCAACCCTGGTGCCGAAGAAAAGAAGTTTCTGATGCCCCATGGTCCCTTGATTTTCTGAGTGTCCATAAATCAGGATCTGTGCAGAGAGGTATGGATGAGGCCGGCTCAACGCCAACCACTAATTCCTTCGTACTAGTATCTGCCCCTGAATGATTACTTTTTTTTTATAAAGATTTATTTATTTATTTATACAAGCACTGGGTACAGTCAGAAGCGCAGGAGGGTGAGAGAATTCACCAGAGCCAGAGCGGGGAGCAGAGCAGGCAGAAGGACCAAAGTACACTGCTGAGGGGAGCAGCGGGCGGCAGGAGAGGTCTGCGTGCCAGGTGGAACCCTCCTCCGGTGGTCAGGGAGCTGCTGGGGATCGAACTGTTGCCGCAGAGGCTGCGGGCAGCTTCGCAACCCAGCGCTCAACCGCTGCACCACCGGGGAGGCCCCCCTGAATGACTATTAAGATGCACAGAAAATACTTTAATATGTGACCCCTCCCCTGTGCATCTCAGGAGCTGGTGTGGGAAGGCAGATCCCTGAGTTATCTCAATACAGGAAACAAAGCGTATTTCAAAAATCGGGGAGGGCCTCCCTGGTGGTGCAAGAGGTTAAGCACGGCACTATGAAGCTATCTACACCCTCTGCAGCACGAGTTCTATCCCCGGCCAGGGAGCTGACCCACACGGCGCAGCAGACCTCTCCTGTCTCCCCGCTGCTCCCCTCAGCAGTGTATTTCAGTCAGTCTGCCTGTTGTGTTCCCCACTCTGTCTCTGGTGAGTCCTCTCACCCCCCACACCTCTGGCCTGTACCCCAGCTTTCTTGTATGCATAAATAAATCTTTAAAAAAATTGGGGAGGGGCCTGCCCGGTGGCACAGTGGTTGAGCGCTGGGTTGCGAAGCTGCCGGTGGCCTCTGCGGCGCCGGTTCGATCCCCGGCTGCTCCCCGGCCACTGGAGGAGGGTCCCACATGGCACGCAGACCCCTCCTGCCACCCGCTGCTCCCCTCAGCAGTGTACTTCGGTCCTTCTGCCTGCTCTGCTCCCCGCTCTGGCTCTAGTGAATTCTCTCACCCTCCCGTGCTTCTGACTGTACCCAGTGCATGTATAAACAAAAAAACAAACAAACAAATAAATAAATAAAACATGCCTCTAAAAAAAAAAAAAAATTGGGGAAACCTATTCCCCATCATCGTTGCCTCTCACATTATTATTTTGTCTGTCAAATGGCGATAGATGAGTTTATCCTTAGGGCTCTGAAGCCTTACAACACCTAATGATTTGTTTTGAATTTTTATAATATCCTGCAAACTATTTTAAGAGTTAGAAACACTATGGGCCTCCCTGGTGGTGCAGGGGTTAAATAGAGCCCTATCAAGCTATCACCAGCCACTGCAGCACGGGTTCCATCCCCGGCAGTCAGGGAGCTACCCACATGGTGCAGCCGACCTCTCCTGCCTCACCCCCTGCTCCCCTCTGCAGTGTGTTTCAGCAGATTTGCTTGTTCAGTTCCCCACTCTTTCTGGTGAATCCTCTCACCCCCCGCACCTCTGGCTTACAATCCAGCTCTTGTATGCATAAATAAATAAATCTTTTTTTTTAAAAAAAAAGAGAAACACTAAAATGTAACTTTTATGGTGACAATTCACCACTAAAGGGCATTTTGTAGAAAAGTGTGTCATTTTCCAAGGTGATGTGCTTTATGTTGGAGTCTGCTGATCTCGGGGGGACCCAGAGCTTACTCTCAGCATCTGTGACCTTCTTCCTTTGAAAGGGCTCCTTTCACGTCTCAGGTTTGCAAAGTTTTGCTTAAGTTTAACCTTAGTCTGGTTAGTAGCCGCGAGGCCGAAACACCTGTGGTTTGTTTAAGGGCCCGCTATCATGGAGGTCCCACTGGGGAACACTCAGGGGGCCGAGGCCAGGACACAGCTGGTCTCCTGCAGGAACCGCATCCTCTGCAGATGTCATGCCTGCGAACATCTGGCTCACACATTCCACACCCCTTGGAATCTTTCCGGACTGTCCTAGGGTGCAAAGGACGTACTACAAGTGGAGGAACTATGAGCTGGAGACTGGTTCAGGCCTTTCTCCCTCCCTGGAAGACGTCTGACTCAGCAGCCATCCCCTCGCGTGGTGGTAGGCTTGGCTGGTCTGCTGTCTGGACTGACCTGGATGACAGGGAACCACGGAATAGACCCTCCTCAAAGTCCCCACCGCCTCGTACAAGTCTTACTTCCCCAGGAGAGCAGCAAAGGGCCGAGTGGACAGAAAGATGAGCAGGTGGTGCTTCTGAGCTCAGATGCCCATTGCCAGAAGCACTGCTTCTCTGTGAAGCCAAAGTTCTCCACCTTAGACTGGAGAAGGCCTGGCAGTGCGGGCAGGTGTCACCTGCGTGCTTGCCCCAGTGTTTGGCTCCAAGCCCATGAAGGTCCCCATGTCCCGCGCAGCTGAGGTCCTCGGAAGGCGGGCACAGTGTAGGCAAGGGTGAGCTGCATGCACCCTGCCTCCCTGTAGTCACGAGGAGCTGGTGAAAACCAGCACCAGAGTGTGCCCTGCCGACCATGGAGGGCTACGTGACTGGGCAAGCTCCAGGACACGGGGAGCCCCCATTAAAAACCTGCACTCCAGCCTCAGCAACCTTACTTGCTGGTGACCTTGGACAAATCATTTTGTCTTTTTAAAAAAGATTTATTTTTATTCATTGATGCATACAAGAACTGGGGTGCAGGCCAGAGGTGTGGGGGTGAGAGGATTCACCAGAGACAGTGGGGAGAGAACAGGCAGATCTACTGCTGAGGGGGCTAGTGGGGAGAAAAAAGAGGTCTGCTGCGCCATGTGGGTCACCTCCCTGGCTGGGGATCGAACTTGTGCAGATCAAACTCATGCCACTGTGGCTGGTGATAGCTTGATAGCACTGAGACTTTATCCCCTGCACCACCAGGGAGGCCCAAATCATTTTGTCTTCCAGAGCTCATGTGGTGGTGGTTCTCAGTGAAGGGGGAAAGGAAGCCTATCAAAACAGGAATGGTCCTTGCCCTACTGCCCCACCGGGCTGTAACCCTATCTGGACAGCAACACGCCACGGCCCTGGTGAGCTGGAGAGGCCATCCCAGCACGCCGGTCTGCAGACCTCTCCGCAGCCACCGGCAGCCTGAGGTTGGCCCCACAGACATCTCAAATACCGAGAACTCATGTTTCTCCCCAAACCTGCTCCTTCCCTGTTTGTTTTTTTAAAGATTTATTTATTTATGCATACAAGAACTGGGGTACAGGCCAGAGGTGTGGGGGGTGAGAGGATTCACCAGAGACAGATGGGGAACACAACAGGCAGATTGACCGAAATATACTGCTGAGGGGAGCAGCGGGGAGACAGGAGGTCTGCCGTGCCATGTGGGTCGCTCCCTGGCTGGGGATCGAACTTGTGCTACAGTGTAGGCTGTGGAGAGCTTCATAGATTGCATCTTAACCCCTTGCACCACGAGGGAGGCCCTTCTCTGATTTTTTTCATCTTGACATCACATTTTCCGTTTACATGTGTTGTCCCCCGACAACTACCAAATCACAGTGATCCAGGAACCTCAGACCCAGGAGCAGTATTGTGACGATTCCATAAACTTTAACAGGTTCATCACTTGGGTCATCTCTAGCTCCTCCGTGGTGACCAGCAGTGAAACGCACAGGCCCAGGCAGCTGTCAGCACAGCTTTTTTAGTGTTTCCTGTCCCTTTGCGCCTCCCACCCCCATATTCTCCCCAAGGACAGATTTTCCTCTCCTTGGGTAGCCACTATCACCCATGTCCTCGGTCCCCTGCTTCCTAAGAGGGATGCAGGATCCCCAACAATCAGCTATCCTGCTAATCCCTACAAGGGCACACACCCCTTTTCACTATGAAGGATTTTCACTTAATCACGATGGGGAAATGGGTGGGAGGGGATGAAAATACCAAAAAGTAAGGAAGTCACGAGGTCTTCACATTACTGAGCCCTCTCATTCCCGACTTGCTGGGAGGCGAGTCCCTGGGCTTGTTCTCGGCTTGTGCTCCTGAAAGCTGCGAGAGCAAGCCTTGGAGGCCCTAGGGGCTTGGGTCCAGATACCACAATCAAGTGAATAGGGCAATAAAGTGAGTCACATGAATTTTTTGGGTTTCCCAGTGGATGTAAAAGTTATGTTTACACCCTCCCATAGGTGCATTGTCTTAAAAAAAAAAAAAAGCAACATACACATCTTAATTAAAAATGCTTTATTACTAAAAATTGCTAACCTCAGCTGAGCCCTCGGTGAATCCGGATCTTTTTGCTGGTGGAGGGGGAGGGTCTTGCCTCAATGCTGACGCTGCTGGCTGGCCAGGGGGTGGGGCAGCTGTGGCCAGTTCTTGAAATAAGGTAACAATGAAGTTTGCACATCAACTCGTTCTTCCTTTCACAAGAAGCACATTCTTCCTCTCTCTGCAGCACGTGACCTGACCCTGTCGGAGAGTATTTACCCAGAGTAGAACTTCCTTCAAAATTGGAAACAATCTTTTCAAAACCTGCAGCTGCCCTATCAACTACATTGTCCTCTGTTGTCCTGTCAGCCATGCTCACAGCCTTCCCACTAAGTTTCCAAATCAAGAATCCACTTTCTTTGCTGACTCATATGAGGCAACTCTTCACCTGTTCAAATTTATGATTGCAATAGTCCAGTGGTATCTCCAGACTCTACCTCTCATTCTAGTTCTTTCTGTTACTGCCACATATACAGTGGAAAACAACGTGAATCTCTTTGTACATCATAGGTCTGGGCAACCAGGTATATTGTCAATGACCAGTAATATTTTGAAAGGAAGCTTTTCTCCTGAACAGTATGTCTCAACGGTGGGCATAAACTACTCAGTAAACCATGTTGTGAATAGATGTGCTGTCACTGTGGCTTTCTTGTTCCATTTATAGAACACACAGCAGATTTAGCATCATTCTTAAGGGCCCTGTGATATCAAAATGAGCTTTATCTTCAAGTCACCAGCTGCATTAGCCCCTAACAAGAGTGAGCTTCAAAGACAAGCATTGCCTTCTCCTCCTTGCCTTTGAAGTCTTCAATGGCACCTTTTTTTTTTTTAAAGATTTATTTATTTATTTATACAAGCACGGGGTACAGTCAGAAGCGCTGGAGGGTGAGAGGATTCACCAGAGCCAGAGCAGGGAGCAGAGCAGGCAGAAGGACCGAAGCACACTGCTGAGGGGAGCAGCGGGCGGCAGGAGAGGTCTGCGCGCCATGTGGGACCCTCCTCCGGTGGCCGGGCAGCAGCCGGGGACCGAACCGGCACTGCAGAGGTTGTGGGCAGCTTCACAACCCAGCGCTCAACGCTGCACCACCAGGGAGGCCCTCAATGGCACCTTTTAATATTAGATTGTTCAGTCTACACTGAAGATCTGTTTAGTGCAGTGACCTTTGTCCATGATCTCAGCTAGATCTTCTGGGTAACTACTGTAGCTTCTCCTTCAGCAGCGGGTACTTTGTCTGGGGCTTTGACATTATGGAGACACCTCTCCTTCAACTTCATGAGCCAGCCTCTGCTCACTTCAAACTTCTGCAGATGCCTCATCTCTCTGAGCCTTCATGAGATTGAAGAGTTAGGGCAGTGCTCTGGATTAGGCTTTGTCTCAAGAAAATGTTATGGCTGGTTTGATCTTCTGTCAGCAATAAGGCTGTTTCTTACCATTTATTGGGTCACTGGAGTAGCATTTGTAATGTCCTTCAAGAACTTTTCCATTGTGTGCACATTCTGGTTGGATAACTGGTACAAGAAGCCTAGTTTTCTGGGCCTCCCTGGTGGTGCAAGGGGTTAAGTAAGACGCAGTACTATGAAGCTATCTGCAGCCACTGCAGCAGTTCAATCCCCCACCAGGGAGTGACCCACAGGGCGCATCAGACCTTTCCTGCCTCCCTGCTGCTCCCCTCAGCAGTGTATTTCAGTAGATCCGCCTGCTCTGCTCCCCACTGTCTCTAGTGAATGTCTCTGTATATGGGGGTGGTGAACACACACCCGAGCACCTCTGGCTTGCACCCCAGTTCTTGTATGCATCAATAAATCTTTTTTTTTTTTTAATAGCCTAGCTTTCTGCCTGTTTCAGTTTCCAACATGCCTTCTTCAATACTTTGTAGCTTTTGATTTAAAATGAGTCATGTAACTCTCATTTCACTTGAACAATTAGAGGCCACCCTAGGCTTATTAATTGACTTAATTAAAAAAAAATGTCTTTGAGTCTAGGGAGGCTGATGGAGGATTTAAGAGTCAGAAACTGCTGGTGGTGGGAGCAGTCGGAAAACATGCATGGAATCTGCTATCCACATCGTTTGTGGCCACAGTGGTGGGGGCAGCACGTAAGAAACTCCTCTGCTAGACGTGCCAGGCCACGCTTGCCCTTCTGGTCTCATCTCCAGCCACCCACCCTGAATTCGGGGCCTCCTCAGACGGCGCAAGCACGCTCACATCTCTGGACATGTGCTTTCGGTCTTGGAATCTTCATCCCTACCTGACGCACCTTTCATCAAAGTCCACCTCGAATGTTGCCCCGACGCCCCCACCTCGGCTGGGGAGCCCCTCAAGGCGAACGCGTGACACCGCGGCTATGCTAGCCCTGACGGCGGCTGCTAGTCGCTGAGGAGCCTGGCGGGGACGGTGGTCACTCGCCACGGTCTCCCCGCACCCTGGAGGGCGGGACGCGCAGGCAGCGCCGCAGCGTTTCTTGAATTCGCTTTGGGGTGGCTGGGCTCGCATTCCGCCAGGGCAAGTACAGGTTTGGAGAAAACTAACTCGCCTAGAGGCCGAGGTCCGCCCAGAGTGGAGTCAGGCCAGCAGGGGCGAGCTGGGGGGCAGCCAGGCTTGGCAGCAGGGGCGAGGCCAGCGCCCCCGGGGCATTCGCGGAGCAAGACGCCGGCTGGGCCCAAGTCTCAGGGTCAGGCAAGGGAGGCCGCGCACAGCATGCCGGGAGCCGCGGACCGACGCCGCAGGGCCCGCTGGGACTTGTAGTCCTGCCCCTTGCGGTAACCCTCGGACCAGTCACTTTCGGTTTTGCTCAGCCAGGTCCTTACACGGTCAAGGCGCAGTCCTGAATGCCCAGCACAGAAGGATGAGGAGCCCCGGGGCAAGCCCACCTAGTAGCACTCTTCAGAGAAAACCTCATTTCCGCGTGGGTTCCGGGAAGGTGCCGAGGTTGCGGCCGCGCGTGCGCAAAATTGCGTCAGCGGGCGCGCGCAGCGGCCCCGCCCCCGGAAGTGAGGCGCGCGGTGTCCTCGCCGGGCCTCCACCGGCCGGCTGGCGCAGGCGCAGTGTCCCCGGGCCAAGATGGCGGCGCGGTGCTGCACACGCTGGTTGCTGGTGGCCGTGGGGACCCCCCGGCTGCCGGCCGCAGCGGGGAAAGGGGCCCGGCCGCCCAGGGCGGGCGTGGTGGGGGCATCGCTGGGCCGCAAGTTGAGTGTCACCGCCTTCACGCCTTCCCTGGGAGCTCGCGGCCCGGGGGCGCTGCTGACATTGAGGCCCGGTGTCAGCCTCACAGGTGAGGGCAGGCTCCAGCGCCCGAGCGGGGTTTCCAGGACTTGGGACGCGACTCCCTCGCCGGCTACGGGGGTGGCGAGGTGGAGGGTGTGTCCGACCTGTGTGCGGAATTGCTGGGGGAGACGGGCACGCGGGAGGCGGAGGCCCACACGGAGGCTGCGTGGAGCCCCCGGCGGCGGTGGAGAAACGCCCCTCGGCCGTGAACCTTCACCTCTCTGTCAACATTCCCCGAAGCCGCTAGTCGGCCTGCGGCCGCGCCCTCACCGCGTTCCTCTCGCACCCCTTGGCCTCCTCGCCTGTAGCGGAAAGGAGAGGTAACCGCCGTCCCGTGCGCACCTGCTGTGGCGCCTCGTCTCACGGCGCTAACAGCCCTGCCAGCCAGGGCCGTTACCCCGCTTCAGAGAACGGGAAACTGAGGTTCTGACCGAGGAATTGACCCTGCCCTGCCCGAGGTCATGAAATTAGATGAGAAGAGTTGTCCCAGGCCCAGGGTGGTCTCTTTTATGGCTTAGGTTCTTCCACCTCCTGGTGTAAATCCAAGGGCACACGTACTGTCTTTTTAACAAGTTCTGAAAGTTCGTAATCGAAATTCAAACCAACATTTACAGACTCTGCTATGTACCAGGCACAGATGATTTCCATGTGGCAGACGCTATTCCGTTTTATAAATAATCTGAAGGCCAGAGTTTAAACAACGTTTTTTTTAAAGATTTATTTATTTATGCACACAAGAACTGGGGTACAGGCCAGAGGTGCAGGGGGTGAGAGGATTCACCAGAGACAGAATGGGGAGCAGAACAGGCGGACTGACTGAAATGCACTGCTGAGGGGAGCAACAGGCAAGACAGGAGAGGTCTACTGCACCATGTGGGTCACCTCCCTGGCAGGGGATCGAACTTGTGCTGCAGTGGCTGTGGTGAGCTTCATAGGTTGCGTCTCAACCCCTTGCACCAGCAGGGAGGCCCCTAAACAACTTTCAGAGTGGAACAAAATTAAAAAATGGTAGAGCTTAGGTCAAAACCTGGGGCTTTCTTCATTGCCACTGGTGATATGGAAGCAATGTTTACTGAGCCTTTAAGTACTAAGCTGTGAAGGTTTCTCATGCAGTGTGTGCTGGGTGACTTCTGTTTTAGTGAAGAGAAGGGAGGAGGAAGCATTGAAGAAGGAACTATATGCTTCATTTGTGCTCATGGTTTGTGTCTCCTAGAATTTGTGCAAATTTTTTTTTAAGGTTTATTTATGCATAAAGAGCTGGGGTGCAGGTCAGAGGTATGGGTGTGGTGAGAGGATTCACCAGCGACAGCGGGGAACAGAACAGGTAGACGGACCAAAGAGGGGAGCAGCAGGCAAGGCAGGAGAGGTCTGCTTCACCGTGTGGGATTCTCGCCGGCCAGCTGGGATCAAACCCGCACTGCAGAGGCTGCAGACAGCTTCACAATGCGGCGCTCAACCGCCTGCGCCACCAGGGAGGCCCAGGAAACCATATCTTGAGGGAAAAGTTTTCTATTAAATTAACCCTATTCCCTGTTTCCTGTCAGTGATGCCTTTTGGATAACATTACAGGTCATCAGACTTGTATTAATTAGATGTGATTCGTCTGTATACACATGCAGTTTCGCATACAACTGTCTCCCATTCATGATATTGATGCTGTAGCTGCCAGAACCTTTGCCACTTTTGTTTCAGCCTTCCGGTTTGGAGGGAGTGGGGAGGGAGAGGCTGAGCTCTGCAGGTTCACCCACACTCCTGTGTGAAGAGGGCCTGCCAGGGGAGCCCTCGGAAAGGAATTTTCATTGTTTTTCTCAATCTGACCCAAGAAAGACAGCAGTGGTCTCCTAAGCCCAATTTCCACACTGTCTGCTTCTCATATTCCGGGAAGTCTGGTTGCAGCGACAGCAAACAAGTGTTGTGAACACTAAACACAGAGATGTACTTTCTGGTTCTGATTTTAATCTTTCTGGTCATTCCTACTCCTTCTTGTCAGTTATCCCTTGTCTTGCTCCCTCTCAGATGCACTTTACACCCCTGGTTGTCTTTTGCGCTCCTATTTAATTTTAAGTAGCCTGATTTCTGTTTCATACTTACTGTGGCCCCCAATTACCCACAGAATAAAATCTGGCCTCCTTAGGGCCACTCACAGGCTCTCCTGGTTCCTAAGCTTCATGGATCATCATCTCTAATCAACACACACACGTACACACACGCACACACTGGTCTCTGGTTACATCACACTATCTGCACTCCTAAATGCACGGGACTGTCTTGCAAACCAAAGAGAATTGTGATTTAGTCTCCAAAAGGGGCACTTTTGAAAGTGAAAGGGAATGCTCTTGCAGGCAACACCAGGACTGCGGGAGGAGGGCTTGAGCCTCTCTTTAGCCCAACTCATTTCTACAGCTAACAGCAGGGCCTCAGAAGACCTTCCTTCACCTTCTTAGGTTGAGTCACCCGTGGCTCGCAACTGGGAGGGACTCTACCTACCAGGGGACATCAGGCATTGTCTGCAGATGTTTTTCAGTTGCAGCTCCTGAGGGGTGGGGATGGGGTGCTGCTGAGCCTCCTCAGTGCCTCCCTCAGCACGTAGCTATCCCAGGTGTCACGTAGCTATCCCAGGTGTCACGTAGCTGTGACAATGCCCACACACTGGGTACCTGCACAGCGGAAGTATATTTCTTCACAGCGCTGGAGCCTGGAAGTCCAAGAACATTATTTTGGTGGGATTGTCTTTAGAGAGCCTGTCTCCAAGTACACTTGCTTAGTGAGGTGCTGAGGGTTCGGGCTTCAGCATGTGAATGAGGGGGACACACTTCAGCCCACCTCAGAACAGCTCCTCCACGAGGAAGCCGCTCCCACCATCAGCCTAGCCGAGGCCGGGAGCCCCTGTGTTCCTGAGGCCTGTCCCAGGGAGCTGCTCTGCCCACGCTGCTGGCACACTCTGGGCTGGCGCCTTTATGCACTTGTTTCCCTCATGCCTGGCTCAGGGTTGGGAGTCTCTGTGGTCACATGCAGACTCCAGGAGGGCAGAGCCTGTCAAGGTTGGCTGCCATGTTCCCAGTGTGGAGCCCAGGGCTTGGCTGGAGGTGCAGGCTCAATGAGTGGTGCTGAGGGAGCGAGTGGGAAACATGGAAGCTGTCCAGCATTTGACTTAGGAACCTGGAGCTGCCTCGTGTTCCCCATGCCCCCTCTGGGCCCTGCTCCCCCCCTCTGCCTTCACTTGCCCCCTCTCGTCCCCAACTGCAGTCGTAACAGCCTAGGTTGGAGGTTCAGCAGCTGCTCCCTTCACTTTGTGACGGCCACCCTGTGCATAGGCAGCTGGGTGGAGGCCTTTCCCGGTCAGCTGATGCAAGAGGCCTGAAATGAAGGCCCGGAGTCCAGCTTACCCAGGGTGGTGACTTCTGGCACAGGTCCTGTTAACTTTGTGTGTCTGTGTGTATTGTTTTTAGGGGAGGGTGTCAGGTTCCCTGAGACTAAGCCATTTCTTTGTTCTTTTTTTAAAGATTATTTATTTATTTATGCATTCAAGAGCTGAGGTGCAGGCCAGAGGTGCAGGGAGGTGAAAGGATTCACCTTTCAGAGACAGAGTGGGGAGCAGAACAGATGGATTGACTCCTGAGGGGAGCAGTGGGGGACAGGAGAGGTCTGCTGCACCATGTGGGTAGCTCCCGGGCTATAGCTTCATAGTGCTGAGTCTTAACCCCTGTGCCACCAGGGAGGCCCCCCACCCCCAAGCCATTTCTTTAGCTCAGTATTTCTCAACGTGAGGGAGCTACAGGTGCGCTCCTGGAGGTGGAACCACACAGCACCGCCCGTGTCCAGTCTCTGGGGCCGGGTGTGAGGACTGTGTTTCCAACAAGCTGATAATATTGTTGTGCTCTGAGAGCGCCCCAGGTGGCATGGAAGAGGGACTGAAAACGGGCAGGGTGCTGCAGGGAGTACGCAAAAATAGCTGGCATGTGGAGGGTGGGTGCTCAGGCAGTGAAAGGGCGCTGAGTGCCTGCTGCAGGTATAGGTGCAGCCCCATGTGGGATGCAGTTCTTTTGGGGGTACAGTGAGGCTGCAGCCACTTTGTGATCCACAGAGCCCCCCCACCCAAGGCTTTGACCTTGTTTCAGGCTCGGCGTCCACCGCCACCCTAACTAGCTTTGAAGGGCAGGCGTTGTGTCTCCGGCCGGGGAGGTGGGCTCTGGAGCTGTGGGGCGGTGCAGGCCTGCGGTGTCCCGCGTCTCTGGCTGGCAGTTTACTCGGTTTCCTTGTGTTGAGCGCATGTCCGGAGTGATTTTCTTTCCTTTGTTCGTTTTTAGGAGTAAAAAGTTACCCTTTTATTTGTACTGCCTCCTTCCACACGAGTGCACCTGTGGCCAAAGAAGATTATTACCAGATATTGGGAGTGCCCCGAAACGCCAGCCAGAAAGACATCAAGAAAGCCTATTACCAGGTCTGTGAGCAGCCAGACTGCGGCATCAGGGCTGGGGCTGGGGCAGCAAACAGTGTTCTTTGAGCAGGATCTGCTGCACGGGCTGGGGGTGGGCCTGTCGGAGGGGCCCTTTGCAAGTGCTGAGACCTGATTTAAAAGAGAGCCGGGCCCAGTCAAATTTCAGGGATGGAAACACAATGCTCAGGTGCAATTTCAAATTGGAAGTTTTCAAAGTGGCCTTTGTGGAGCAGCTTCTGGGCTCGGGCCTATTCTGCTCCCCACTCTGTCTCTGGTGAATCTTCTCTCCCCCTCGCACCTGTAGCCTGCACTCCATTTCTTGTAAGCATAAATAAATCTTTTTTTAAAAAAACAAAAGAGTTGTTACTGTTTGCACAACTTCAAGAGAAAGAGCTGCTGTAAAGGGGGTGAGAGTGTGACGAACACTTGGGGTTCAGCATTAATAATTATCTTGTTACTGTTACCTCCCGCAGCTTGCGAAGAAATACCACCCAGACACGAATAAGGACGACCCCAAGGCCAAGGAGAAGTTCTCCCAGCTGGCAGAAGCCTATGAGGTAGGGTGGTCGGGGCGCATGTCGCAGGCCAGCGTGGTGCTGTGCCTGCATCAGGACCTCGGGGAAGGGAGAACAGCTCCCTGGGCCTCACGGCACTTCTGACTTGGGATCTGCGTATTGACAGAGCCCCCACGTTGCCTGGACCTGTAGTTGGGTCCACATGGAACTCTGGTTACATTAATTACTTCTGCTTTTGAAGACACCGCACACCCCACACACACTCGCCCTGTTGGGGTGGGCAGGGGTGGTAGACATAGGAGACATCGCGGCCCTGGAGGGATTTAAACTGTAGCCAGAGAGCAGGACAAACTGGCCAAGCACCCCACTTATTGGCACGGGCCCTGGCATGGGCCCTGACTCCCCAGCCTGCCGTTGTGGTCTGTGTGGGTGTGTGATGCCCCTGCCCCGCCTCACCCTGCCATTTGAGGGGGCATCACACGTGCTCTGTCTCTTCATGCTTACATCTTGCCCACCTCGTTGTGTTCTAAACCAGGCGCACACTCTGCACAGCCACAGTGCAGGTGTCCAGAACAGGGCCTGCACCCACCCCAGCCCTGGGCCCGGCAGCATGGCCCTGACATGTGCCCCTCACACAGGTACTCAGTGACGAGGTGAAGAGGAAGCAGTATGATGCCTACGGCTCGGCCGGCTTCGACCCTGGGGCTGGCAGCTCGGGGCAAACCTATTGGCGGGGGGGCCCCACCGTCGACCCCGAGGAGCTCTTCAGGAAGATCTTCGGGGAGTTCTCCTCGTCCCCATTTGGAGATTTCCAGAGTGTGTTCAATCAGCCTCAGGAGGTGAGCCGCTTATCCTTAAGAGTGTGCTGTGAACATTTTATCATCTTCTGTTCCTCAAAGAAAGAAGCCAAGCAGATTAGATAAGGGCTGGATACGGCCATCTTGGTAGGAAACAGTATCTGCATCCTTACCAGGCTGAGTCAGCACCTGAAGTGCTCAGGGCCACGGTCTGGGTGTGAGCATTTCTCTGGGGTGCTGTGTTATAGCCAAGGAGACCTTAGCTCTCCCGCAGACGCTGCCAGCCCTCCTCTCCTGCGTTCACCTCTCATGTGACATGGTCAGGGCTGAGGGGATGCTGTGTGTCTATGACAGGACCGTCTAAGTGTGAGTGGTTGGCAGGACCATGTCCTGATAGTGCCGTGAACATCTCTTGGTGAAAGTATATGTTCACTTTTATTTATTTATTCGTTTTTAAAAGACATTTATTTATGCATATAAGAGCTGGGGTATAGGCCAGAGGTGCATGGGGTGAGAGGATTCACCAGAAGCAGAGCAGGGAACAGAACAGGCAGATTGATCGAAGTACTCTGCTGAGGGGAGCAGAGGGCGAGTCAGGAGAGGTCTGCAGCGCCATGTGGGTTGCTCCCTGGCCGGCTGGGGATTGAACTCGTGCTGCAGAGGCTGCGGATTGCTTCATAGGTTGTGTCTTAACCCCTTGCGCCACCAGGAAGGACCTTTACTTTATTTAAAACAGATATTATCTCTTAAAAATCCTGAGGAGTAGGGCAGAGTCAGTGAAGGGAGCCCTGCCCGCCCATCTGTGGTCGAGCAGAGGTGGGAAGTGGTGGGCAGGTAAAGCAATGGTGGGGGGTTGGGCGAGTAGGTGAGCACCAAGGCCATGTGTGGCGTGGAGGTGCTCATTGTGGCTGTCGCCTGCCTCTGCCCAGACAGCGGAGTGGGCCACACTGGGGCGAGCCTCAGAGCCTGGGCCTCATGGCAGGGTGTCCGAGCAGCTTTGTCTCTCTGGTGGCTGATGTTGGTCGTGGGGAGCCTAAGGCGGGGGTCAGGTTGGAACTCTCTACCTGCCTCTTGAGTTTGTTGTACACTAAAAACTGCTCTTGAGAGTAAAGCCCTAGAGGAAGGCGTCCAGTAACTGGGAGCTGCTGGCCAGCGCCCCGTCCCTTGGTGATGGCGAAAAGAAAAATGACAGGTTCTCCCTTGATTTCACCAGTACATCATGGAGTTGACCTTCAATCAAGCTGCCAAGGGCGTCAACAAAGAGTTCACGGTGAACATCACCGACACCTGCGAGCGGTGTGACGGCAAGGGCAACGAGCCGGGCACCAAGGTGCAGCAGTGCCACTACTGCGGGGGCTCCGGCATGGTGAGAGCAGCCCCCTCCCCAACCCGCTCCTGCTCAGGGACTCCGGGTGCTTGTAACTGGGTGGGGCTGTTCTATCTAGAACTTTCTGAATTTCTCCAGGAGTGCATTGTCTTGGCCTGTACAGAAAATGCAGGGAGACGGCTCTCTCCTCTGGAAACACTTTGGGGTATTTTGGCACTTGAAACCCCCTTAAATTTATTTCAAGTGTAATCATTTTATTCTTTCTGTTTGGCAACTTTTTGATGTAATTCAAAGCTCAGGGCTGTACAAAAAACCACTTGCTCCTGTTCCTTATTCCCAGATTCCCCAGCTGTGGGCAGCTGGTCCGTCTGCGCTCATTCATGCCATGCTCCCCGCCTCCCCGCTCAGTGCTCGTTGCACATGGGCGCATGCGCGCAGCCCCTCGCCTTGGGGAGTTGGCCTGGTGCTGGACCCCCTCGCTCCTGCTGAGAGCTTCAGTACATGTTTTCTAAGAGTGAGAACCTGTTGCACAACCTCAGTAGAGTTATCAAAATCCGAAATTGAATGTTGATTCGATGCCATCCTCTCTAGTCATCAGGTTTTTCCACTGTCTGTGTGAGATCCTTTATTCTCCCTCAGGACCCGGTCTCGTGGCTTCATGTAGTATTTGGTCGTCTCAGCTTTAGTCTCCTATGATCAGGATTTTGCTTTTATGAGTGTGACATTTTTAGCATTTTAATGTCTCTCATTTTAGGGTCTGCTGAAATTTTCTCTCAGGTGGCCGAGTCATCTGTATGTAGGACTCTGGGCAACTCGTGGTGGTGTTTGCTCTCCCTCCCGCCATCTCTTCTCCCTTCCCTAAAAGAGATGCTGCAGGGAGGAGAAAAAAGTCACAGTTCTTAGTAGAATTCATGTGAGAACTCTGTTAGGGTTATTGTACTTTGTTGATCACGTTAATTGGATTTTCTGGAACAATCCAGATTTCAAATATCTTGGTATAAGCCATTAAAATGCTGGGAGGTTACAAAAAAGAAAAGAAATTCTTTATTTAAAGATTTATTTATTTATTTATTTGCACAAGATCCTGGGTACAGGCCAGATGTGTGGGAGGGTGAGAAGATTTACCGGAGACAGAGCGGGGAACAGAGCAGGCAGACTGACGAAATACAGTGCTGAGGGGAGCAGCAGGTGAGACAGGTCTGCTCGCCATGTGGGACCCTCGCCGGCCGGCCGGGATTGAACCGTCGCTGCTAAGGCTGCGGACAGCTTCACAGCGCGGCACTCAACCCACTGCGCCACCAGGGAGGCCCTGAAGTTTTCTCTTGACATAATTCAGTTCATGCATTTTTGCGGGCGCAGGCAGTTGAGCTCCTCAGGGGCCGAGCCAGACCTCATAGGTGTCTGTCCCATGAGCAGTAATGCTATACTGACCGCAGTCAGCCAGGGTGAACTGGTGTCTCCACTGTGAAGTTACTGTTTTTCCCTTTGAAACTAGTGAGCTCCTGTTCACACTTTCCCCCAGTGGGCACAACTTCCAGTCTTCATTCTCGCCTCAGTCCCTCCCTGTGATGACTGCAGAATGGGGTTCCTTTTTCTAGTACCCTTCTGCGTCGACGAGCTGGTGTTCTGCTGAGACGGCACATTCTCTTCCTTTATTGGTTCTCTCATATCAGTAGAGTAGAAGCCTGTGGATTCTGGTTTTCCTCACTAGGCTGTCCCCAGTGTTTACTTACTGTGATGCTCAGATTGCCCCGACTTGGCCCGTGGGAGTCCCCTCCGCTGTCTCCCATGTCCTGTGGCACGTCCCACCAGCCTCTGAGCACTTGCTTCCTTTCTGTCCCAAGATGCTCAAGTGTGTGCTTCCTGCCACAGCCAGAACAGGCCATGCATCCTCTCTCCTGTGTGTTCCTGCGGGGATGTAGGGGCCAGGGCCCATGGTCCAGGCGCACCTTGTGCCGTGGCGTCGCCACCTCTCGGCCATCCTGGCAGCCTGAGCCGGGGCAAGTGCATGTGTGTGTGTGTATGGGGGGGGGGTGAGTGGGTGTGGACACACACCCCGTCTGCCTCTCTGTCCCTGACCACCCCACGTCCTTGTCCCCACACGCCTGTTCACATAGGTGGTTACACAGAGCCATTCCTGCTGATCCCCACTGTGGCATTTGAGAGAGTTAACTAGCACTTGTTAATGGGAAGTGTCGTTTCTTGTTTTATATTAGTTTTTAAATAAGTAATAATATACGCAAATCATGAAAAATTAGGTGGATGCACAATTGCACGCCTCCATCCCGCCTTGACTAGCCCTTGAGCCCCATCTGGAGGCAGCCCCTGGTCCTCCTGGTTTCTCTCTGGGGCACCGCACTGTGTGTTTCCTACCGCCCGGGCAGCGGGCATGTTTGCACTTGGGCTTTGCTTTGTTTCTGCTGCTCAGTGTGTTTTGGAAACGCTCTGTGCTGCAGTGCCTCGGTCTCTTCATGGCGTGTTCCTTCATGTTGCCGTTTACGTGGCCAGTGCTGTGGGGACACGCTCAGGTGGCTGTACTGTGCTGTCCAGACAGGACCCCTGCGAGGCGCACGCCCCGCCCTGCTTGCGTGGCTGAAGCCGAGCCCAGGGACAGCCCTTTTCATTCGCATCTGCTTCAACCTTTAGTTCTTTTTTTTTTTTTTTTTTTTAGGATTTATTTATTTATTAATACAAGCACTGGGTACAGTCAGAAGCTCGGGAGTGTGAGAGAATTCACCAGAGCCAGAGTGGGGAACAGAACACACTGCTGAGGGGAGCAGTGGGCACAGCAGGAGAGGTCTATGCGCCATGTGGGACCCTCGCTGGTGGCCGGGGATCTAACCAGCGCTGCAGAGGCTGCGGGCAGCTTTGCAGCCCAGCGCTCAACCGCTGTGCCACCAGGGGAGGCCCAACCTTTGGTTCTTTTATCTATGAAGTGATTCGTCTTTCTCTTGTCCATGGGGAGGAGCTCTGTGTGAGTCAGGGAGCTAGTCCTCTGCTCTGGCCTGAGTTTTTTTCTCGTAATTTGTCTGCCTTTTGACTGTTTCTGCTCCTGTGTGTAATTTTCAGCACAGTAGAGAATCATGCATGCAACTTTCCCCAGTCTTCATATAAGTATTTTCCCATATGTTGGATAGTTTGAAACATTACTTTTGATGATGATTAATAGTCGGCTGGTGGTTGTACCCAGTTTACTTAACAAACACTTGGGTTGTTAAAGGACCAATTTCAGCTTGGTCTGAGAAAATGCAGTGGAGCTTGTGTTCCTCTAGAGGGCGCTCTTGGAGGGGGGTGAGGCATCCTGTGGCTTGGAGCAGAGCTGCTGCCCTTGTTAGAGGTATTTTCTGTTGATTTTTCCCAGTTCTCTCACTCCCAAGGTCCATTGTCCAAGGCCCCACATCGTTATTACTGTTCTTTTTGGGGAGATAGTTCTCTTTGAAAAGGGGAAAAAATTGTAACACATTGCTAAGGGATCCCCCTTCCTGTGATGTGTGAAGGGCTCCTTTGGAATGCTGAGAAAGGCAGCTCGCTGGAAGGGCTGGTGGAGGAGAGCCGCAGGCGGGGAGCGCGGCGGGTCATGCTCTTCAGCGCCCACAGACAGGCGTGTCCCCACCCACTGAGGTAGGCGCCGGCATGGCCTTGGCGCAGAGGCTGTAACGGCTGCTAAAACATCCCTGCTGAGTTATAGCTACACATCCCGCATGTGAAGTCACCCATCCGGGCTGTCCTTTGCAGCCTGTGGCTAACGGTGGGGGGCTGGACAGCCTCAGTGACCTGCGGGAGTGGGTAGGCTAAATGCTGGGGCACCTTGGGGGATCGTCAGAAACAGCCACGGTGGCTGCAGAGCCACACACAGGGGGTGCTGCCTGGGTGTTATGGGGATTCATGTCTGTGCACAGTGGCGCCCCAGGACGCACAGCTGCCTGCCTTTGTAGAAGGCACTGGGTCAAGGTCATCGTCCCCCATGTTTTGCTTTCGAATTTGATGCCAGGAGCACATGTTACCTTTTAGGGCCGCGTAATGCGCACCGCTGTCCCTCTGCCCGCCTTTGGGGAGCGGTCTTGCCAGAGACAGGCATCGGAGAAGAAGGGTAGGTGTGGAGGCTCTTTGTTTAGTGCTGAGAGGTGAATGCTAAAGCAGAGAGGCTGTGTGGCAGGGTGTTCGTGACTGTCGCTACGTCAGTGAAGAGAGCAGGCTGCGGGGTGACACGTGGGGTCCACTCCCACTGTAGAGTCTTCACTTCAATGGAGACTTTTTAGGGAGTGCATTGTGGAAAGGACGCCTCACACTGGGAACTGTCATGAGCTGGCCACCATGGGAGCCCAGGTGAGGAGGAGACCAGCGCCATTTTCTTTACACACCTGTGTCCTCTGATTGGCCACACAAGCCTGTGTTGACTGTTTACACCCAGGGACTTAGGTTAAACCAGAAGGTCTCGTTTTCCAGTGCCTAGGAGGTGCTGCAAAGGGAAAGGCCCCGCAGTGTGGGAGGGCCTGGGAGCTGAGGGGGGTGGGGTCGGGGAGGGGGAGCCTAGGGGGCAGTTGGTTGACTCAGCCCTGCTGCTCTTCCCATGTGCGCTGAGGGACAGAGGGGCCTGTGGGAGCTCAGTAAGCAGTGGGGTGCTTTGCTTTCGTGACTAGGGAGATGGGTTTGCTTGGCTCCCGGGGCTTTAGGGCCTCTGCAGCCAGGCAGTCGCCCACTTTTCAGTCTCATGTGACCTGCAGGGTGAATTGTAATCGAGAGGCAGGTTCTAAAAGAGAGGAGGGTTTGAGCCTCCACGCCCGTCTCCTCCCGCATCCTGGGTGCGCATCCACACACAGGCCACAGTGGCCCAGTGCTCAGTGCCGTGGTCCCAGCGCCTTGGCTGTCCCTTTACCTGTTGCTTAATGTCCCGTTCTTCTTTTACCAGGAAACCATAAACACAGGCCCGTTTGTGATGCGCTCCACGTGTCGGAGGTGTGGGGGCCGAGGCTCCATCATCACGTCTCCCTGCGTGGTGTGCCGCGGGGCCGGCCAGGCCAAGCAGAAGAAGAGAGTGATGATCCCTGTGCCGGCTGGTTCGTTCTGGCTCTTCCATGCACGGGTCTTGTGGGGTCCTCGCCCACGTGACTGCCTCCCCCTCCTGCTCCCCGGCATCTTCCCACAGGGCGGCCTACTGCCTGCCTTGCAGTCTTCCCAGCTCCGGAGTCTCCTGTTTGGGTCTTCCTTCTAAGCTCACATCTCCCTCTGCTCACCCACTTACTGGGACCGCCCAGCTGCTCTGCGCTGGATGCTGGGACCTGGCGGGAGGCGGCTCCTGGGAGGCAGGAGGTGGGCGGCTGGTGGCTGGTCACCTCGTCCTCAATGGCGTGAGCGTGGAGTGCATCTGGGGTGAATGAACCTCAGGTGGCCCCCAAATCGTTGTTCTCTCCAAACTCTTGTCCTTGTAGGCGTCGAGGATGGTCAGACAGTGAGGATGCCCGTAGGAAAAAAAGAAATCTTCATCACCTTCAGGGTACGTGTCCTGCTCTTGGCGAGGGCGGCTGAGACTATGCTGGCACCTCGCTACCTGTCTGGGCACACCCAGCGTGCCATTTGTTTTTCCACCTCACATATGTGTGAAGTGTGTCGTGATTTAAGCCTAAGACAAGAACAGTGTATAGAGTGACCTTTCTAGACTGAGAAATCCAAAGACAGAGGCAGAAGTGGAGGCCAGTCCTGAGAAAAGTTGGGGAGAATTCATTTTCCCCTGTCCAGTAAGAGAGCAGGAAGGGGGGGTGGGGTGGGCGCCAGCTCCAGGCAATTTGTGCCAAATGACCTTTTGGAAAATGAACTGCCTTGCCTTTGTGAGTATTCGAGTCTGTTTCTCTATACTTCCAAGATTTTTCAATTCCTAAGATTTTTTTTAATGTTCAAAAGCCAGTTTTCATTCACGACTGTGGACTTGATCAGAGCTGAGGGGACAGGGCCTCCTGCCCTGTGGGTGTGGGCGAGTCCCAAGTGTAACTCCCGGAGCTGGGGGGCTTGTCGCTGTGGTGAAAGTGGGCTTCCCCCGCTACCTTGCTGTGGGCCCCAAGTGCAGGGCGGGGGCTGGGGAGACCAGTGGGCCCCTCCGGTGCTGACATGCCTCCTTCTGCTGCCCTAGGTGCAGAAGAGCCCGGTGTTCCGGAGGGACGGTGCAGACATCCACTCCGACCTCTTTATTTCTATAGCTCAGGCCATCCTGGGGGGCACGGCCCGAGCCCAGGGCCTGTACGAGACCATCAACGTGACGGTGAGAGGGCGAGATGGTCCGCGCCCCTGCACTCACTGCCCCGTCCCCTGAAACGGGAGGCGGCGGGCACGGCTGCGACCTGCACCTGCTGGGCTTCAGGGGCGCGGTGGGGCAGGAGGGGTGGGAGGTCTCTCCTTGGCTGTTGTCTGTGATCTCCAGGCAGGCACCTGCTGGGTCGCTTCCGCTCCTGGGGACACACCCTGCTCTTGGCGTGCCACCCGCGTCTTGTGCCCCGTGCTCCCTGTGCTTTCTGCACTTCCCTCCCCCAAGGCCCTGTTGCAGGCTCTGCCTGGGGTGGGGTTGGGGCAACTCCAGTTTAGCCAGTTTCCACGTGGACTTGGCCTGGAAACAAAAATGGGTTTTTTTTTTTTTTTGCAAGGGGTCAGGTGGTCTTTGTGTAGAGAGAGGTTTTCATTTGCACACCTGGAGACCCAGAAAAACAAAATCTCCTGTCATCATAGATCCCCCCTGGGACTCAGTCTGACCAGAAGATACGGATGAGCGGGAAAGGCATCCCGCGGATCAACAGCTATGGTTACGGCGACCACTACATTCACATCAAGATCCGAGTTCCGAAGTGCGTGCTCCAGGAGGGGCCCAGGGCACTCCCGCGTCCGCTGGGCTCGGGAAGGCGCCTCCAGCCGAGGGTGTCCTGTCCGAGTTCTCCTCTGCAGACTGAGCGCAGCCAGAAAGGGCAACCTCATTGAGTTACTGGGGCATTAAATGCGTCACCAGGGGAACACTGAGCTGTTGCTGCTGTCGATTTCCTTGCTGGTCCTCTCGGGGTGCTGGCAGTGGTAGGGAGACAGATCTCTGCTGGTCACGGCACCTGACGCCTCACCCAGAGGAGTCTGCACATCTGGGTGTCTGGCGACCCTTAGTTCCATGGAGAGCCCCTTGCCCTCACCCCACCCCCTCAGTAATCTGCTTAGCACAGTTGTTCACATAGCGTTTAGTAGCTGAGGATATTTTCTAGGCAGGAGCTGGGAGGGCTGGCTCTCGGGTGGAGGTGCGGCCCGCCTGCCCCGCTGGGTGGGGACACCACGTGTGCTTGGTCCGCAGGAGACTGACGAGCCGGCAGCAGAGCCTGATCCTGAGCTACGCCGAGGATGAGACTGACGTGGAAGGGACGGTGAATGGTGTCACCAGCACGAGCACTGGTAAGGTGGCACAGCAGCCCCGCGTCCTTCCATTCTCCCAGAAGATGGGCCGCTAGGAGGCTGGGGTTTCCCCTCAGGGACCTCTGTGAGCCCCTCAGGTGCACAGCAGAGGGAGGGGCACATGGGCTGGAGTTGCCGAGGGCCAGCAAGGCCAGGGACGTTCTCTTTGCCTGCGTGTAGTGGCTGAGGTTAGAGGGACCAGGGCTGCCCGGCCAGAGCAGGGGCCAGAGGGCCGCCCTCCCACTTCTATCCTTGGTTCTGCCACTTGCATGGTGACCCTGGGCACATGCCTGCACGAGCCCTCACAGCCACTCACGGGCCGCCGCTGCGAGGCGCCTTGGTGTCTGAGCAGAGCCTCCCGAGTCTCGGGCGACCTGGAGGCGCGGCCAGCACGTGAACCAGTGCTGAGTCCCTGCAGCTGCCCTGGAGGGCAGGCCCAGCCGGACCTGACGGTGAGCGGATGTGTCCTTGACGCCAGTTCACGGGTCACGCTGTCTGGAGAGTGGCTATACATTAGCGCCCTGGCTGTCCGTGGCGGGGGGGCAGGGAACCCCACCGGGGTCTGGGCGGGCAGTACTGTGTGGTTGTTGGCTTCACTGCACAGCTCATCCATGCCTTGTGGCCTCGTGCTGTGTTTGTCCGGGCCCTGCGGCTCCGCGCAGCTCCCAGGCGTGGGAGGCCGGCCCGCTGCAGCGAGGGCCCGGAGGTGGTTCTGGCCCAGCTCTGCCAGCGTTGGCCGCCAGCCTGGGCAGGTTGCTGTCCAGTAGGGGCTGCTTCAGAGGGTTCTTGTTTCATCAAGTGAGGTCATGGGTAAAGTGTTCAGCCTAGTGGCAAGTGTGTGAGGCCTCCCAAGTGGGGGTCAGTGCAGCGCCCCCCCCCCATTTTCCACCCCACCTCCGCTGTCTCTTACCGGAGACCCAACAAGATCCGATACTCTTTCTTCTTAAGGGAGGCCCAGGAGTGATGGGAAATGTTTGGTGTGTGGGTTGCTCTGTGCTGGGAGCGTCCTTTTTGGGTAATTAAGCCTTTATGTTAAGGAAGAGGGACATGAAGGACCAAGCGGGCACCCCTGACCTGGTAACCTGCGGCAGTGGGCACCTGCCATGGCTTTTGTGCAGGGCCACCGCCTGGGTGCCCGTGCTCGGGCCTCAGCACCTCTGCTGGCTCTGAGGCAGGCCAGGTGCAGTGAGCTCCTGTTGTGTGACACGCCCTCCCCTCCCCCCCCCCCCCCCCGCCCGCGGGGCCTGCTGTCCAGAGCTCTGGGGCTCCCTCCCACGAAGGCCTCGGAAACGGTAGTGTGGGGGTGGTGATGTCATTCATGCTATGCCCGGTGCTGGCCAGTGCCGCCCCGGCATGTAAGACAGTACGTGCTCCAGGAGGGGCCCACCGGGCACTCCCGCTTCCACTGGGCACAGGAAGGCGCCTCTAGCTGAGGGTGTCCTGTCCGAGTTCTCTGCAGACTGAGCGCAGCCGGAAGGGGCAACCTCATTGAGTTACTGGGGCATTAAATGCGTCACCAGGGGAACACTGAGCTGTTGCTGCTGTCGATTTCCTTGCTGGTCCTCTTGGGGTGCTGGCAGTGGTGGGGAGACACGCGCCCTGCACTTTATACAGTGAGCAGGCTCTGCAGTTGACTCCCAGCACCTGCCTGTGTGCACCAGAGCTTAGGGGAGTGTGTTTCTGTGCAGAGTCCCTCTCGGAGCAGCTCCTCTTTACCTGACCGTTTCAGGTAAAGCCTCTGGAAGGGAAGAGCTGGCCAGTGACACACAGGCCTCCCTGCCATCCTCAGATGAGAAGTGCGTGGGCAAGGGCTGCAAGCACCTGCCGCCTGTCCCAGAGACAAGCTCGCGCGTGGGGTGGGGTCTGGTGGCTGGTCAGCTGGGTCCTTGCCCGAGAGCAGGGGCGTGGTGGTTGAGAGCTTGGGCTTTGGGGTGCAGCGACTTGGGTTGGAACCCAGTCTCCCTCCCACTTAGCAGCTCAGTGACCTGAGCTAACTGGCCAACCTCTTTTTTCAAAGATTCATTTATTTATGCATACAAGAGCTGGGGTGCAGGCCAGAGATGCAGAGGGTGAGAGGATTCACCAGAGACAGAGTGGGGAGCAGAACAGGCAGACTGACTGAAACACACTGCTGAGGGGAGCAGCGGGCAAATCAGGAGAGGTCTGCTGCACCATGTGGGCATCTCCCCGACCAGGGATCGAACTCATGCAGAGGCTGCAGATTGCTTCATAGTGCAGTGCTTAACCCCTTGTGCCACCAGGGAGGCCCAGCGAACCTCTTTGTGCCTGTGTCTGGTGAGGTTTACTGTGAGGCCATCCCGAGACCTGACTGGGCCGCTGTGGGAGCTGTGTGGCAGGCCTGAGGTGCTGGCTCTTGGCTCTGTTTTGGTTATGAATGTGCAGCTTGAGACAGCGGCTGGCCATCCAGCTCTGTGTCTTGTCTTGGGGACCAGTGGCTCACAGGGCAGCTGGGGTGCGCTGTTGCAGATCACATGACTTCCATCAGCCATCTGACTGGCCAGCTAGGAGGGACCCTCTCTCGCAGTGACATTTGGTGACAGTTGGCCCCTGGGTGGCCAGAGGTGGGTAGACAGGGCCTGGCGTGTGACTCTTGGAGGTGTGTGCCCTTGACCCCAGTTCTTTCCGCTGTTTGTGCTCAGGTGGCAGCACCATGGATAGCTCCGCAGGAGGCAAGGCTAGGCCTGAGGCTGGGGAGGACAAGGAGGGATTCCTTTCCAAACTTAAGAAAATGTTTACCTCCTGATATCCCAGCCGAGGTAGGATGACCCTTGAGGTTTCTTCTCCTTGTTTTCCTCTGAACTAATCCCTGTTTTCCCTGCTTTAATGGAATCATACCCTGCCTCAGAGTTGGAAGAGGTGCCTGTCTGAGGCCTGTCTCAGCCTCTGCATCAGTATCATTAGCCTCACAGGCCAGAAGCACCCCAGGACAGGCTGACCCAGGCACAGCGGCCTTTTGCTGTGACCATGTCCTGGAGAGGTAGCCTGGGAGGCTGTCTGACAGCCCTGCACCCAGCCTCCCAGCGGGCTCTGCATCCCAGGTATCCGCAGTCACAGAAGGCAGGTCCCCACAGGCCCAGGCCCAGAACTCGGATCTCAGCCTCCAGGGCTTGCCTGGGAGATGCAGGACTGTGAGCCTCAGGGGGGCTGCCGGGACCTGTGCTTGCTCACTGGGCGTCTCGGGACCCACTCTGTACGTGTGCTGCTCCCTGGGGGCCAGGCTTCTGGCGCAGCTCATTCCCCCTATGACGGCGCTCACACAGGAATGTTCCCCCGAGAGGTGGTGGGGACGTAACTGTTGGTCTTTTGGTTCAGGAAAACGGTCCACTGGGAACTAGTCCGGAGCAGCGGCCCCTCCTCATGCCTGGGCACCTAGAGACAGGAGGAACCAGATGAGTAGCACCACACAGGCCTGCAGGCCCTCCGCCCCGCCCTGGACAGCAGTCACGTGACTGCACCTCCCCAAGGAGAGGCCAGCCCTTGGGCAGTGAGATGCGGAGGTCGGGGGCTCTGAGACGTTCCTTCCGGGTAGGTAGCTTGACCTCTTCTGGCTCAGGCAGTGTAAGGCCGCTGGATTCTTGCAGAGCTGACACACTCATTTGAAACTGAATGTGCTGGAGATCTTAGTTAAAGAATTAAAGGCCATGCTCACAGCTTAAAAATGCTGCCTCAAGCTGTTCCAGGCGTGAAGTGATTCCTTTCCCTGTCAGTCCTTGGGGGGCTCCGGACAAGTCTTTCAGACAAGCGGTCTTTGGGAGACCGGCGCTGCGGCCCCGCCAGCACTGTCTACCCCTCGGCAGGAACTTCACCTGCTCCTCTTGGAGTCTGTTTTAATCCCCAAAGATACCAAGCAGCTGGAACGGGGTGCCTTGGGGCCCCCGGGGGCACAGATGCAGACCTTGGAGGTGCCTCTGAGACCCCATGATCTTTGTCTGGACAGCAGGTCTCCCTCTCCCCCCACGCCGGGTGGCCTGTGAGCCCTGCTGCTGAGATCTGGTGGCCCCTCCTGGGCCACGGCGTCCGTGGCGCCGCCTGGAGCGGGCTGCCTCCCACATCGCCAGGTCCCCACTCCCGCTGCCGGCGTCTGTCCTCAGTGTATTTATTCCATGCTAAGAATCATGGTCTTTTCCCGCGGGGTGCCTGGAAGAGGAAGCAGCATCTGGGGTGGCGCAGGCTCTCGCTGTGCAGCCAGGGCAGAGCCTGTCCTGGCCCCGCGTGCTGAGGCAGGTCGATGAAGACAACTGTTGAATAGTTTCCTTTTGTTTCCTTCACCATTTACTAAAATAAAGCATCGGCTAGTGTTTGAGTTAAGAATGTAAAATGATTCTGTATCAATGTAAATAAGATTATCTACTGCAAGAAGATATTTAAATCTTAAACTGTGGTCATTTCTTCTTTGAAAGCTCAGGCGGCTTCTGCGGTGGCTTGGGTGGGTGTCACTGGTGTTTGTCCACCGCAGGCCACTTATGGGGCGCTCCGACACGCCCTCCTTAGGCCAGGCCACGTGTGCTGGTTTGCATGAATGTTTTAGAATGTGTTGTGTAGCTTTTCCTTGGGGGCCCACCCCGAAGAGTCTGTGCGGCCTCCCGGTCCCCACACGTCACCGTCTCCATTCCATAGATTTTTCTTACTCCATTATATCTCCAGAGGAAGGGTAAAGCTTGTTCCTTATGTAACCAGTCCAGCTGACGGCAGTTTAACAGGCCTGGCCTCCTGGCACATGCGCAGGAGCCCCCATGCGCGTGGGTGGGCCCGGCGCAGGGCTCAGTCATCGTGGGGTCTGGGCTGAGCGGGGGTGGGCGCGCACCTGCCAGGTTGGGCAGAGAGGCTGGGAGCGGCCTGAGGGGCATGAATGGCTCACGGTGCCATTGCTGGTTCCTGGCCTCATCTCACCACTGAGCAGGCAGGCCCACGAGGCAGAAGCAAGCCGGCCACAAATCTGGGGTGCGGGGCCTGTGCTCTCAGGGCCACTTCTCCTAAGTGACCAGGATGTAGTGGCTGTGACCCCCCCCCACCCCCTGCTTTCGCTTCCCAGCATTTGCTGTCACAATACATCACTAAAGTCCGACCACGGAGATCCTGGCACTTCTTCCAGCCTGTTTTGAAGCTCAGGCTTCCTAGGGCTACACCTGAGGGCAGGCCCCCAGGGGTGTGGGGAGAGCAAGAAGGTCCCTGCCCAGGAGCTCAGGAAAAACAAGTGACCAGCTTTCTGGGGATGGAGGGCCGTGCAGGGACTCGAAGGGCCTCCCGGCTCGGGGTTGGGGGGTGGCCCTCACTGTCAAGGCCCCCTGGTCTGTGAGTGAACCGCAAATGTGGCAACAGCCTAGGCCCAGCTATGGTTTTGTGTCTGAAGTATCTTCAGTGGCCTAATGCTCTCCTGCCCCTCACACCACTTCCTTGAAGGGGGGGAGGCCTGGGCCTCACCAGTCACTGCAGCTGCCACCCCAACCCAAGTCCCGCGAACAAAGCCCCTTTCTTCTGGAAGCCATCTGTAAGAACAATGGCCTTTATTAAAAAAGAAAATTGTAACACAAGAAAGGATGGCGGTTGTGCCCCACCCCCAGCCAGGCAGCCGGGCTGAGGACAAGGAGGGTCACAGCCATGCAAAGTCCCCTTTGTGCTGCTCCAGCCACTGCTCCAGCGTCCGGGCCTTGGGGTTGAGCCGCAGGGTCAGCTCGATGTCCCGCTCGGGTCGCAGGGCGTAGAAACGGAACATGTTGGCGAGGTCCCGGGCGCCGGGGAAGCCCAGCTTCTCGTAGTCCTCAGGGGTTGTCTGGAAGCAGAGGGCGGTGGGTGACCCAGCCCCGCGACCTGCACCCCACCCGCCGCTGGCACCTTGCCCTGCCCCCGCCCTCACTGAGTGTTCCCCCAAAAACCACCCTCCCGAAGAGAAGTCCGAAAACCCCAGTTCTAGGTCAGTTGAAATCCTGTCCTTTCAAGGTCGGGATGAAAACATCTCAGCCTCTCCCACGGGAGCGCAGCTTGTATCTCTTGCTCCCCTTTTCCCGACTGAGCTGAATCTTAACTGCTCACACCCTCCGTGACCTGCCTCGGGCCTGCCTTTACAGATGGCCACAGCGGGGTTAGGCTAAGGAAGCATCGGCGAGACCTTTCCATTGAGCCCTCACCTCCCAAGGGGGTGGGTACTGGTCACAGGCTGCGTCCAGCGGTGAGGAAACTGAGGCAGGGTGGGCTCAGGGCCTAGGCCCTGGAGGTGACACACTCTGGTGGGTGTGAGGGGCTGGGGCCAGGCTCCACCTGAAACGCAGCCCCTGGCCTCCTCTCCACCATGGCTTTGCTTGGGGCTGGGGCTCTAGATGGTTTTGTCTTGGAATCGCTTGGAGATTCCCGAACTTTCTTGAATGAGAAGTTCTTACTCAGAATAGAATAGCAAAGCAGCGTGATGTAGTGAAGTGGGGCGGGATTCTGGGCAGGAAGGTGGTCAGAGGAGAGGAGGGACCACGGGCCCTGGCCACCCAGCCAGGCGAAGGGGGTCCAGGGTGGGGCCAAGCCTTCCTGCCCTCGAGAGGAGTCCAGCAGCTGTTTCTATGCTTCCTCCTGTCCCTCCCCGCTGGACACCCTCTGCACGTGGCCAGCCCCGTAAGCCAGGAACCGCACCTGGCGGCCACACGTGGCTCCCAAGTCCAGCCCATGATTTCCCCTGCGCAGGGCGCTGGGCAACCAGAGGCCCCTTCCCGGTCACCAGGCCCACCTTGGCGTCCCGCACAGCCCGGCCCGTGTGCTTGGAGAGCAGCCGCGCGTACTCCTCCGCCGTGTGCCTGCAGGTGCTGAGCCCCAGGTTCTGGCCGACGTGTGCGTCCGGCATCTTCAGCAGGCTGAGCACCACGGGCCCCAGGTCGGTCACGGACATGCCGTCCATGGGCACATCACCCATGGGCAAGCCTGGGGGTGGACAGGGAGACTGAAGTGCTGGCAGGTGTCCAGCACGCACAGCGCCCTTCCCGGAGGGAGGTTCTCCCGCCCGGACACGGCGCCCCTGCAACCCAACCCCTCAAGGTGTGTGTGGTGGAGCAGAGGCAGGGGTGAGGCAGGAGGCAGTGGGCTCCATCTCTGCCTGGGGCCCGAGTCTGTGACTCATTCTTGGGGGGAGGGCAAGGACCAGGCCCATCCACCTCCGGGGCTCAGATGGGAACAAGGGGAAGGAAGGGAGCGGCTGCTCCCCAGGCGCCCCTGCATCTGAGCCTCAATTCCCAAGGTGGGAACCCAGGTGGGCCCAGACACCTCAAGGGGAAGGCCAGGGCTGAGGACAGGGCCTGGCGCAGACGTCCAGATCCCGGCGACTCTGCCGCAGGTGGCTCCCCGGACGGGAGGGCAGTGTCTGCCTGCGCGGGAGGGCATGGGTCCTGCCGCTGTCCTCGCCTGTCTAAAGGCCACAGCAGCTGCCCACTCAGGCCACCCGGGGGTTTGCAGGATGAAGCTGCCACTCAGAGAGTGAACACGGGTGCCCAAGCACAGCCTTGCAAACTGTAAAGGGTGCCGCCAGGCCGGGGGTGCTGCGCGCCCACTTCACAGAGGTGCCCCGCGAGCTTCCTGCTTGGCAAACTCCGCCCCGCGGCACGTTGCCCGAACCCTCTCCTTGTCTCTGAAGGAGGACAAGTGCCTGATCTCTGCAGCTTTTCCACGGGACAGAAGCCCGTGTGGCCACATGGGGTGGAGCTCATCGCCCCTCCGGGGTCAGCACCACGTCCACAGAACAGAGGCCGAGGCTCAACATGGGGAAGCCAGGCCTCCCACCCGCAGCCCCTGGCCACAGCCCGCCTTCCACACCCCACAGCCCGCGGCGGCGCAGGGCCGAGGACGGAGGCACTCACTCAGCAAGTAACCCTTCCCGTCTGGGGCTTTCTGGGGCAGGAAGTAGGAGAGCAGGTTCTCAAAATAGCAGGGCAGGCGCACGCTGGTCATGGGGACGCCGAGCTCCCGGAAATACTCCTCCACCTCCCCTTTGCCGTCGAAATGGCCCGCGGCCAGCTTCCCGGCCGTCAGCTTCTTGATGTTCTCCAGGCCGCTGTAGACCACGTAGCGCAGGCCCAGGCGCTTGGCCACGTCGGCCAGCAGCTTTCCCTGGGGGGCAGAAGGGGGACCCGCGGCTGAGGGAGGCCGGTCTTTCCAAGTGCAGAGCGGCCGCGGTACGGGGCCCGGAGCCGGGCACCACTCGGCGTGAAAAGGCCACGCGCCCTGGGAACACACCCTTGACCGTGGGGCCGAAGCCCCCTATGGTCTACATCACACGTGGTCACGTGCACTCAGCGGCGGGCTGCCCGGGGAGGGTTCGGTGGGCCTCGTCCCGGGTGCCAGGCTGCCTCGTTGGAGAGCCGAGGACCATGCTGGGGGGTGGTGGAGCTCAGCGCTCAGGCACACGGGCTTGGGTCTCAGACCCTGCTCTGCGGTGACCTAGCTGTGTGGCCCAGGATGCCAGACCCCACCAAGCCTCCAGCCTCACCGACCCACTGCAGAGGGGTGAGGAAGGTGGAGGGCAGGCTCCAAAAAGACCCGGACACGTCATCGCCCCGGGCACCTGAGACTTGACTTGGAAGAAAGGTCTCTGCAGGGCCTCCCCGGGGGCACAAGGGGTTAAGCACAGCACTGTGGAGCTATCCGCAGCCTCTGCAGCAAGTTTGATCCCTGGCCAGGGAGCTGACCCACGTGGCATAGCAGACCTCTCCTGTCCCGCCCGCTGCTCCCCTCAGCAGTGTTCCCGGCAGGGGTCAGCCCCTCTGGCAAGCTAGAAATGGGGCTCCCCTCCTGCCTGCCCTCACCTGCTTGACCTCCTGCTCCTGGCTGCAGTTCTCCCAGTAGTTGGTCACGATGAAGGTGGCGTGAGCCCCGGTCAGGGCCAGCTCCATGCTGGCCTCGTCATCCTGGTCACCCCGCACTACCTCTGCACCCTGCAGCTGCAGCTCCTTCGCTGCCCTCTGTCCGGGGTCCCGAGTCACCGCTCGAACCCTGAATGTCCCGTCCTCCAGGAGCGTCCGGGCCACTGAGCCCCCCTGGGCACCTGCGAAGAACCAGAAGGCCCAGAGGGTGCGTCTGCCTGGGAGTCACCCGGTGAAGCTCCCGGGGGCTCTCTGCCAGGGAAACCACCAATTAATTCCCGTTCATCCTGCCGGACACCCTTTCAAAAATAATAGCTTCACTGAGAGAGAATTCACACCAGTGACACGCGCCCTTTGAAAGTGTGCAGTGCAGTGGCTTTGCATCTCTTCAGGCTGCTACTCAGATTGTGAACTTCAGAACATTTACAGTGCCCCCAAAAGTATCCCTGTGCTCCCACTCACTCCTCACCCCCCCTTCTGTCCCCTCTCTGCTGTCTCTGCGGGTTCACCTGTTCTGGGCGTGTCACAGAAACAGCATCACACAAAGTGGAGCCTTTGCGTCTGGCTTCTCTCACTCAGCATCTTGGCTCCAGCGTGGCCCCACGCTCAAGCAGGTATCACACTCACGCCTTTCCTATTTTGAATTATTTAGCACATAAAATACAGAAATACCAATAGCCGTGGACACGCCTCTTAGTTTCAGAAGTCAACTACTACCTACATCTTCTTTAAAAAGGGACCAGAAGGGCCTCCCCGGTGGCGCAGCAGTTGAGCGCTGGGTTGCAAAGCTGCCCGCAGCCTCTGCAGCACCGGTTCGATCCCTGACTGCCAGTGAGGGTCCCACATGGTGTGCAGACCTCTCCTGCCGCCCGCTGCTCCCCTCAGCAGTGTACTTTGGTCCTTCTGCCTGTTCTGCTCCCCGCTCTGGCTCTGGTGAATTCTCTCACCCTCCCGTGCTTCTGACTGTACCCAGTGCTTATATAAATGAATAAATAAATCTAAAAAAAAAAAAAAAAAAAGGCACCAGAAAATTATAAAAATAAGAATCATCAAAAGAGGAAAATAAAGGGCCTCCCTGATGGCTCAAGGGGTTAACCACTGCACTATGAAGCAATCCGCATCCTCTGCAGCAGGAGAGCTATCCCTGGCCAGGGAGAAAACCACATGGGGAGGCAGACCTCTCCTGTCTCGCCCGTTGCTCCCTTCAGCATTGTGCTTTGGTCAATCTGCCTGCTCTGTTCCCCACTGTCTCTGGTGAATCCTCTCACCCCCTGCATCTCTGGCCTGTACCCCAGCTCTTGTGTGCATAAATAAATCAATCTTAAAAAAAAGAGGAAAATAAAAAGCCACGCATCTATGTACAAGAACACTGGCTGCAGCACCACTACAATAGAGTAAATTTACAGACAGCCTAAGTGGTCTGGGAATCTGGTTGGATAAGTGATAAATCCACACAACAGTGATTTGAGCCTGTGGCAGATCTATTTTGTGACTCAGATGGGTGACTGCGGCACCTCTTGGAGTGGAAAAGGCAAGTGACAGAACCACAGCCACCCTCCTGCATTGCTGGTGGGGATGTAAAATGGCGCAGTCACTTGGAAAACAGTCCTGCGGGTCCTCCAAATACTATGCCCAGAATAACCCTGTGATCCAGCAAGTCCACTCCTAGGTGGGCACCCAGAAGTGAGACAAACTCCATGTGGAATCTCCCATACAAACTGTTCACAGCATTATTCCTAACAGTCAACAAGTGAAACAAGCACATGTCCATCAGTGGGTGAGGGGATAAACAGCACCTGGCCCATCATCATACAGCGGAGAATTACTCAGTCATGAAAAGCAACAAAGCTCTGACACCTGTCATAACATGATGAACCTCGAATAAAACAGATGCTGAATGAAGCCGAACACAAAACGGAGCATAGCTTCATTTACATGAATGGCCCAGAACAGGCAAATCTATGCAGGAAGCGGACGCGTGGCTGCGCGGGGTGGGGGGGCAAAGCTGGGGGAAAATTGTGAGTGGCTGCGAGTGGGTCTGGGGTGATGAAATGTCCTAACACTGGCGCTGGCGATGGTCCCAGGGCTCTGTGAATACATAACCCAATAAAACCTGTATTTTAAATGGATGAATCATATACTAGGTCAACAGTCAATACAGCTGTTACATATTATTTTTTAATTATAGAAAGGAAAAAACAGGTGGGGGCAAAATAAAATGCTAGCATTATAAACCTGTGGGGGGGGGCCTCCCCGGTGGTGCAGCGGTTGAGCGCTGGGCCAACCTGCCCGCAGCCTCCGCAGCGCCGGCTCAATTCCCCGCCACCTAGGCGAGGGTCCCACATGGCACGCAGACCTCTCCTGCCGCCCGCTGCTCCCCTCAGCAGTGTACTTCATCACTCTGCCTGTTCTGCTCTCTGCTCTGGTGAATTCTCTCACCCTCCCGCACTTCTGACTGTACCCAGTGCTTGTATAAATAAATAATAAATAAATCTTAAAAAAAAAAACCTGTGTGGGGCCTCCCTGGTGGCGCAAGGGGCTAAGCACTGCACTATGAAGCAATCTGCAACCTCTGCAGCACTGAGTTCGAACCCACACCGGCCAGGGAGAAACCCACATGGTGAAGGCAGACCCCTCCTGTCTCACGCTGCTCCCCTCAGCAGTGGATTTCAGTAGATCTGCCTGTTCTGCTCCCCACTCTGTCTCTGGTGGATCCTCTCATCCTCCCACATCTCTGGCCTGTACCCCTGCTCTTGTATGTATAAATAAATAAATCTTTAAAAAAAATATATATATATATAGGGCCTCCCCTAGTGGCGCAGCGGTTGAGCGCTGGGCTGCGAAGCTGCCCGCAGCCTCTGCAGCGCCGGTTCGATCCCCGGCCACCAGCGAGGGTCCCGCATGGCACGCAGACCTCTCCTGCCGCCCGCTGCTCCCCTCAGCAGTGTACCTCGGTCCTTCTGCCTGCTCTGCTCCCCGCTCTGGCTCTGGTGGATTCTCTCACCCTCCCGCGCCTCTGACTGTGCCCAGTGCTTGTATAAATCAATAAATCTTATATATATATAAACGTGCGCGCGCGTGCGAGCAGCTCTCCTCCGCAGGACACTCGAGGATGCGCCAACAGCGGCGGGTGGGGCGCCGGGCCGGAGGCGGGGGCTGCCCGGGGATGTTGGGGGGAATCTCTCAGATAAAGGGAACCTGCTCGGGCCCCAGGGCCGCCCCCCACACCCCGCCTTGCGGGATGGGGGTCGGAGCCATCTCACCCCCGCGACGTCCCCCCGCGCGGGGGAGGGGGTGTCCTGGTTCCGGGGGGCCGGCCACACGAGGGGATCCGGCGCCGCTGTCCCTTTGGGGGTTCGCTCACCTGTGGCGCCAAACACCACCACGAGCTTCGGGTCCGCCATGGGGGCGCCGGGCCCAGCGCGGTCGCGGGAGCCTGGGAGGGCGGAGGCTCGGGAGGGGCGAAGGGCGGGGTTTCCGCGCCGCCCCCCACGACCCGGCGCGCGCCCCGGGCCGCCGCCCCGCCCCCCGGCTCCTCCCGCCCCGACCGCGGGCCTCGGCCCCCGCCCCGGCCCAGGCACCCGGCCCCGCACCCCCCGCCCCGTCGCGCCCCTCGGGCACCCCCAGGCCCCGCACCCCCACCCCTCGCCCCGTCGCGCCCCTCGGGCACCCCCAGGCCTCGCCCTCACCGGCTCCCCCAGGCCGCGTCACCTCTCGCGCAGCCGGGCGGGAAGCGCCGCGGGGACTGGAGGACCCCATTGGGCAGCCGAGTCCACCCCCGCGGGGGGACCCTGCCCCCGGCCGCCCCGCCCCCGCAGCCCCAGCGCCCCCCCCCCACCCCCCCCCCGATCCCGCGAAGAGCCGCCGGTTCCAGGCGCTCCAGGCCCGGGAGCCCCGGCCGCGCGCCCCTGAACCCCAGCTGCCCCTGAACCCCAGCTGCGCGCCGCCCCCCCGGGCCTCCCCTCCCCCCGGCGCGATGGCGGCCCCGCTCCCGCCACCCCCTTGGTGACCAGGGGGGCCGCGCGGCCGAGCGGGACGAAAATTTCTCATTTTAATGCTGCGTGTGCAGCTGAACTCTCAGATATGGGGGAGCGCGCAGAGACCTGACAGTGGCACCCCTGCGTCCCGGCCCCCCCAGGCTGCCGGCGTGTGTGCCTGGCACACCGGGGGGCGCTCGCTGCGTGCACAGATTTGGACTTTTTATTTTATCTTTTGTAAAGATTGATTTATTTATGCATACAAGAGCTGGGGTGCAGGCCAGAGGTGGGGGGCGGGGTGAGAGGACTCACCAGCGACCGAGTGGGGAGCAGAGCAGGCAGGCAGACGGAAACACTGCTGAGGGGAGCAGCGGGGAGACAGGAGGGGTCGGCTGCGCCCTGTGGGCAGCTCCCCTGCTGCGGCCGCTTCCCAGCGCTGCGCTCAACCCCTGCGCCCCTCCAGCACCCAAAGTTAATACTTGCCGCAGAGTAGGCACTTGTCAGGGTGCAAAATTTCGTATCCCCAAATAGGTCTTTTTTGGGGGGCATAAGGATTATTTTAGGCCCATAATTTTGAAGAAACAGAAGACACTGGAAGTTTTTCTTGACACCCCCCCAACTCCCCCCTCCCCTTAACTGCCCTAAGGAATCCAGGTGGGAGGCCCGCACCGGGCAGAGAGCCCTACCTGCAAAGTGGGCTGTGTGTGCATGTGGGAACGCAGCAAGGCCTGTTCAAATTCCTTCCCGAGTTCCTTTGTCTCTGTGACCTGACGCACTTGCTTATCGAACATTTGCTGGGCCTCTGGTGGCGCAAGGGGTTAAGACGCAACCTATGAAGCTGTTCACAGCTTCTGTAGCACAAGTTCAATCCCCAGAGGGCCAGGGTAACCCACATGGCGCGCAGACCTCTCCACTCGCCGCTGTTCCCCTCAGCAGTGTACTATGGTCAATCCATCCGTTCTGTTCCCCACTCTGTCTCTGGTGAATCCTCTCACCCTGTGCCCCCCCCCCCACCTCTAGCCTCTACCCCAGCTCTTGTATGCATAAATCTTTAAAAAAAACACATTTGCTCTTTCACCTCCCTATGGATTGTCTTACCCCCTTTTCTGGGTCCCAGACCACTACCCTACTCCCCCTAGCTGAGGCCAGCAGCTAAATCTCACTTTACCTGACTGTCTCGAAGCCTCTGTGTCTTTGTTGTGGAGGGGAGAGGGGGGGTCTAGTATACATGAAATTTAATTTCTTTTTTTAAGATTATTTATGCATGTAAGAACTGGGGTACAGGCCAGAGGTATGGGAGTGAGAGGATTCACCAGAAATAGAGTGGGGAGCAGAACAGGCGGATTAACTGAAATACACTGCTGAGGGGAGCAGTGGTTGAATCAGGAGCGGTCTGCTGCGCCATGTGGGTCACCCCCCTGGCTGCAGATAGCTTCATAGTGCTGCATCTTAACCCCTTGCCCACCAGGGAGGTCTTATGGAATTTAATTTCTTTTTTTCTGTTAATCTATCCTTTACTATGGGAGTGTCTCAGCCAGGAAATTAGAAAGGTTAAGGAAAAGAGCTTTCCCCCTACATGCTCAGTAAATATTTATTAACTGTCTAAACATTCACCAGATACTAGAATAACAGCAGAAATCGAACTAAAACTGGTGCTGTTCTTCTGACCTTGAAATCTAGCGGTGGAGGTAACTCACAAGGTAATGTGTAGAGACTGAAATAAAACTGTCCGTGATAGGGCCTCCCTGGTGTCAAGTCTCCCTGGGGTTAAGTCTCAGCACTATCAAGCTACCGCCAGTCACTGCGACATGAGTTCGATACCAGGCCAGGGAGCTGACCAATGGAGCACAGCAGACCTCTCCTGTCTTGCCAGCTGCTCCCCTCACCAGTGTATTTCAGCAGATCCTCCTGTTCTGCTCCCCACTTTGTCTCTGGTGAGTCCTCTCAACCCCCGTACCTCTGACCTACACCCCAGTTCTTATATGTATAAATAAATAAAATAAAATAAAACTGTCCCTGATAGTTAAAGAGTTTATTAGATAATCAAAGTGAGGATTTGAACCTGGGAAGTCAACAGTCTGACAGATTTGACCCTGTTAGAGCCATCATGCGTTTGAGCTGAGTTTATATAGGCAGGAGCAGAGTCGTTGAGGTCAAACTGTAATTATTTTTGTAGCTTGGAGGCTTTTGGGTTTTGTCTACAGGCTTAGATTGTTTAATTTCTGAAATTGTGTTGCCCTAAAGCTGTGGCTGCTTTCTGGAGAGGACAGCAAATCCTGGGGGGTAATTGCTTCCCTGACTTCTAAAGAATGCACCATGGTGATGCCAGGCTGGTACCCACTGTCTAAATCTTCCTTAGCCAGCTCCTTGGTCAACAGTGGGGCTTGAAAGACTGGCTCACAATGAGGGCAGCAGGTTTTCCAACAGCTGCTTCCAGAACAAGAACAGGAAGCAAGTTCTGACTCTAAGCTTTGCTCTCTTGCCTGCTAGGACAGGGGTGGGGCTTCCCAGAGCATTGACTACATACTCACATGTGTATTTTATTTATCTAATATAATAATATTGCTCATTATTTATTATAAGAGGCATATGTTTTAATATAGATCCTTTTTTAAACATTTGTAAACGAGGTTATCATCTTGTGTTTATCTTACATAAATCCCTTCCACATCCTGTTATGTTATGCCTCTCTGTTCAGACTGTAAAGTTTGTCTGGAATAACTTCCTCTTATCACCTTCAATAGGGTTGAATCCTACTGATTCCTTAAGATTCCACATAACCATCACCTCCTCCAGGAAACCTTCCCTGACTCCTAGGCTAGGCTAACTACTCCTATCCCATACCCATCTCTGTCTGACTGGCAGAATTGTCTCAACCACATGAGACCAAGTGCTTCCCGAGAGCTGGCCCCAGACTTTATTTGTCACTGTGGGTCCTCTTCCTGGCACAATGTCCAGAACTCAACAAATACCTATCAAATGGAACCCAAGTGCGCATTATTCTGGTGTAAGATGAGATCTTTCTTTAAGTGCATGGGGTTAAACCACAAAACCCAATGTTCTGAGAGTTCCACTTTCAGGAAATAAAACCGAACAAGGGCCCCAGCAGGTCTGCTGCACAGTTTGCAAGGCCCAGTGCGAAAGGAAGACATGGGGCTCCTGGTTCACATTCAAAAACTATCAAGAATTTGAAGTCAGGGACAGCAAATCATTAAAACAAGTGCAGGGGCCTTCTGCGCATGGGGCCTGTGTGTTGCTCTGGTCACAAGTCCAGGCAGCCAGTCCCAGAGTCCAGCTTCAATGAGAGTCACGTTCCTGGGCCACACTGGGCCCAAGCAGCCGTGGTGAGCTCACAGCTTGGAGGCCAGCACCAGAGCTGGAAGGCAGGTGAGCTGGTGATGGGGCTGTCAGGAAGTGGGTGGGTGGATTGGCAGCTGGAAGCTGCACTGCCCACAATCAGGTGACCTGCCCCTACCGCCCTGAGGAGAGAGGGCAGATTCGCTCTGGATTGCTGCTGGCTCAGCGTGACTCAGCACTTTCTGTGGGCCTTTATATCTGACGAAGGACTTCTTGCAATGCCGTTGCCAGTTGGCCGGTCCAGCCACATATAATTATGATGGCTACAGTGGGAAGCCTCTCTGGGTCCCCACTGTGCGCCAGGCGGGCGCTCAGTCCCACAACTCACTTGAGCCTCTGCAGCCACTTGGTTTTGTTCAACTTCACGAGTGTGTGGGGCAGGGGCGGTGCCGTGAGCCCTGCCTATCACCCGTGAACATGTTGGAAAGGCTCGGAGTTCCCCTCCCTGGTCTAGTGGGCCTGAGAAGGAAGCCACTTGCGAGGGCTAAAGTAGGAGCAGGCTCTGTCCCGCCCTGGGGGCAGCCAGGCAGGGCCCCACTGCCTGCAGACAGAGCAGCCTTTCATCCCGCCCCCCAAGGACAAGTAGCCAGCTAAAGGAGATGGAGGAAATGGTAAACCAGAGAGGGGACTAAGCTCCTCTCTGCAGGTGGAGCAAATCAACGTTTCCTTAGATCACGGTAGCCTAGGGTATGGGATGATCTAGAGCTATGGAAGAAAACCAGAAGCCCCGGGAGACAATTACACTTTTCTAAAGAACAATTACATTCCCGACTTCAGTTACTCACTGCTCCTATCTCTGCAGGCTTGCTTTTCTGTAACCAGAATAGCAAGGAAATTTAAAGGGAATCCAAACGTGCGCTAGCCAGGGCAGTCCTTCTGTTAGGGGGAAAAGGCTGTCCTAAAGCTAATCCCATACAGGCTTTGTGGACTCCACCCCCACCCCGACCAAAGCCAAAGACACTGGGAACTCCACATCCCATCACCACCCAAGGGAAGGTGGCTGGGACCTGAGGGTGGGGTTCAGCAGCCAGGTGTGGTATAAAGCCAGACAGTGGGCTTTGGAGGGGATCCCCCATGTTGGCTCTCCGCCAGCTCGCAGCATCCAGCCAGCTCTG